GTGCGCAAGGAAATGGCATTGTTGGTAACGGAGCATATTTCATGTATGTATGCTGAGGTCTCTGTGCGGTACTGATTAAGCACACAACGAGGAAATATAATTTTCACAATTTCCATACATTATGGCAGAGAAACTCATGTGCACAATATATACATACCTTTTGAAAATTCCTCCAAAATGCTCAGCGGTATTATAAGCAAATATTAAGTGGATTGGCGCTTTCGGAGCGGGGAAGAAGATGAGGGAAAGTCAGGGAAAGAAGTATACCAGCGATGTGACTCACTTAATGTTGCCAGTGTGAGAATAAAGAGGACTTTAGATTGTAAGGAATATTATTATATAGTGTCTCGTATCATAAAGGGAGACGATAAAGTCGCAATGACGCTCACTCTCACAGGGGGATGAAGCACGTGGAGCCACTGTGATTGATGCAAATTGAATTAGTCGAGCATTAATTGCAACTCTTATGTGAGTTTCAGTGAGCCACACTTGCCCCTCTCAATAATATTCAAAATCCACCCCATGTGCACGAATTACGCTCCGGAGGAGATTTTGTAGCTCAATTTCTCCCACCCACACTTTCCCAGCCAGATTGTTTTTCCGCCTGATTGACTCGCAAGTGCGTGAAAATATGAATGGTTGAGTGTCTAATCTACCGTACATTATGCCTATTCCGTATTCCATTAGATTAGTTTCACTCACTTCTCAATGATGGGCTCGGACAAGGGGGAGATATTCGCATTGGAGTGGAGAAAAGCAGACGCCGCAAGCGCTGAGCACAATATTATAATGTTGTATTCAGTAAATTGTCAATGGCGTGCTTAATATAGAATACAGTGTATCAAAACTGCATTATGTAACTTATAAGCAAGTTAGTTCCGTTCTTGCATGTAATGTATTAATGCTGTGAGGCCTAAACATAATGAATTCTACATTTATAGATGATAGGGATTAAAGTGAGAATGATTTGTGGATAAAAGAAAGGACGGTAAAAGAGTGAACTTTAACTGGTATCGAATTTCAGCTACAATATACTAGAATTTAAAGAAAATGCACCGTCTTTGCTCTGAAGTAATTGATTTTGAAAGTTCGGAAATAGTTTTGGACTTTAGCGCCCCTAGCGGTTGTTGCATCAAGTAAAATTTCATTAAGTAAAAGGTTACATTTTGTAGGATTTTTCCAATGAGCCTAAAACTATTTTCTTCGGTTAAACAGAGCCTAAAATAATAGTTCATTGGAAAGATCTTAAGGTTAACTCTTGGGTTAACTATAACATTCTAAAATTTGTTAGTGAAAAACAACACGATGTTGTTTCTTAATGTTTTAACAATAATAGGTAGTTTTATTGACTTATGAACTTTGAAAAACTTCAATCTCGAGCTCAAATTTCCTTATTTTTTGGCCAGGCTCAAGCCAGAAAGTCATAAAGTGTTAAAATGTGTGAGAAAAGAGAGAATAATACGATATTTAAGCGTCCCCCACGCCGACTTTGCTGCCCTCTGGCGGCGATATGTGGAGAAAATCATGAAATATTTAAATTTTAATGAAATATCCAAAAAATATTGGAATATAATTTGATTATCTTGCAATTCTTCTTTTTGTCCATACAAAGTAGTAATTAATAATGAAATATTTAATTGAGACCACTAAGATTCCTCGGAAAATCGCTTTTGGGACTTTGTCGCTTGTGTTGAAAGGTCTCTGATGGTGTACACTACACGGTGATGTGTCTGTGCTTTGAAAATCGATGATGACGGGGAGTTTCTACGGATGGGATCACATTGTATATATGGGGAAGATGGGTTCTGTAGTGCTTTTTTGCCACGCCATGCCTCCACCATAAGAGACACTCCCATGGCAGTGAGAAGAAGTGGTGAATTGGCTCTGTGCGATTGATTTTATCAAGTCAATTGCACACGCAACGCATCCATAAAGAAAATTTTCAAGTAAATTGAATGCTATTTGCACATATTCTACTCTTAAGCATCGCCCCAGCAGACAAAATGCCGAAGTATAAACTCTTGTATTGTATCGTGTGCCACTCTGCGTGTCGCCGCCTCAGAGCGCTAAGCCATAAGAGTAGAGTTGGTAATGTGGCGCTGATAGGATTTCTTTTAAGGAAAAATTTCCATTCCCTTTTTTTTCAATTTCAACCCCTTGTATGGGTGAAAAGTTCAGGGAATAAATGTACTCTTTGTCTTTTTATGTGGCCCGCTCTCTCTCTCTCTCTGCCCCCGCCGAGGGTGGCAAAATGGGGGTAGAACAACATTGTCACCAGAGTTTTCAGCATATTACGCACATGTACATGTATGTTGCTATTATAACCGAAGGAAAATTGTGTGAACGCAGTGATTTCCGAAAAAAAAGGTGGGCGATAAGTGTGGGTGGTTGATGAGGAGTTGCCGCTTTTAGTGGGGGCTGCTCGGCAGAGTTGGGGTGCATGTTGTGCGATGAACGGAGGAAAAAAGTGTTCACGGCATTTTATGATGGTTTCACGGATATAAAATTTTACGATTGAAGTCTCTGTGTGAATGTTTAAGTGAGGCGCATAAGAGGCAGAAAATACACCTCAAGTTTGTTGGACCAAACGAGGAGGAAAAACGACGGTGACGTCTTTTTTTTTCGGTGTCGGTGCAAAATTGGGAACCACTTTTAAGAAAAAAAGTTAACTTCCTCCCCAATATCGCACTCTCACCATCAATAATATCACGGCGATACTATCTAATCGGATACATTCCCAATTCCCAGGGAGATATTACCGAAAAACACGCCCTCGCATAACTTTCACCCCCACACACTGTCATCCCCCTCGTCCTCGGCGGTGCCAATTCACTCTTGTTCAGCACCAAGAGGGTTCACACATAACGAAAAGTTTTCAATTTAATGTTTCATGCAGGCTTTCAATATTAAATGGAACGCAAAGGCTGGAGTGCCTCGAAAGTGGTTGGAATATGATGTGTGATGATGTAAGTTTTGAATGATTCTCACCCTTGCCGATTTCCTCTTTTCATTACATTGAAACCCTGTGGAATTGTGCGAAAATATTGCTTTAAACATATTCATTACTGATTTATTTCTGTAGTTTTTGCAAATACAAAAGCAGAGTGTAGAGAAAATTGAGAATTTAGCATTGATATCGCTTCGAAATTTGCCAAATTTTCCTTCATTAAAGTGCTAATATTTATTTTGTAAAGTTTTGCAGTTGAATTCATTCGTTATTTATTGAAATTATCAATAAACTGGAAATATAACCTTGCAAGAGTTTTAGAGATAATATGGGCAAAATGAAGATTGTTTAAAACAAGACTAAAATCTAACTAAAAATTAACTAACAACTTAAAAATTCACGTTTTCCTACAACAATTTATGTTTTTCTTCCACTAAAATTGCACATTTACGTATTTTTTTCTGATCATAATCCTTTAATTGATTTTCTTTTCAATTTCTAATTCAAAATCGCAACGTTTTATTAAAAAAATTAAGGTTATGTATAAAATTGTTTGCTAAAATCACGATTTTCATTGAATAAATTGAATATTTTCAATTTTCTATGGCTTTTTAGATTCCTTCAACCGTTTCTTACAATAATTTTTAGCTTATCACAATCTAATCCGGGTTTTTCCGTCTCAAGAAGTCTAAACTCTTTAAATGCTTAGATTTGTTCAGATCGTAAGAACTGATCCTAATGTCTCAGGATTTATTCATGAACAATTTCTGTTTTGATTTCCTAGTTTTATCTTTGGAAAATGCCTAGAAAGATTCTGGTCGAGGTTATGAAAACCGGCTTTAAAACCGTCTTGAACTAATTTCAATCCTTTCAAACGTAGAAATGGAGTAAATTTAGACAATATTACAATATTTCTACAGGATAATGAAGTTCAGAACGCGGAAATAACTAAGAAAAGAGGCTAAAATAACAATTTTTGAGGTTATGTTTGACTTTAGTGCTGTTTTTCTTTCGAAATTTAACCAATTTGAAGTTTTATCCACACGAATTCTAAAAAATCAATTTATCATTCAAATTCCGAAAGTTTAGAATTAATATTTTTATTAAAGAGGCTTTTTAAGCGATAAATAGTAGATTTTTCATCGATTCTGAATGACACTATTTGACTGAGTGTGTTGAGTTTGTGGCTTTAATTGAATTTCACCGCAAAAAGCCAATTCAATCCACAAAATAATGATATTCCTTTTTGATATTGATAAAGTTATAATTGTAAATTAATACAATTAATGCCGGCAATCTAGATGCAAATTCAACTTGTTGAACTCGAAGCGATGCAGCTTGAGATTGAGCAGCAATAAGAAGTGCTTGAGGATGTTCTGGGTGGGTGTTATCTTGGGCCGGCGGAAGAGTGCGAACCCCTTTCTTGTGGCATCGTGAACATTGTGTGTGACTCGCGTTCACATTCTGCTGGCAGTGCGCGTGGCAGGAAATCCTATTATCCCACGGAGGGTGAATTAGAAAATAAAGAAATTTCCAGACAAACAAGCTGTAGCGACTCCCATCACGCAATGCACGGCGGAATCCACCATTTGAGGCATCTCCTCTTGTCTTTCTCACCCCCAAACAGCACACATTCCGAGGGAAACTTTCGCCACGTCGGTGTTACCTGTTGTAGCGACACGGAGGGCCCACCTGTGCGGCTCCTCTGGCGCCCATCGGCACTCACGGTTGTTGCTCCACCACCACTGGATAATGAGGGTTGTGTGTGGCTGATGGTTTGGGGATTGGCAGAGCGGTATCTTGATTATACTTTGAATCGCTTTGCATGCGTGCTCGGCCGGTAGGCTTCCATTCAACAGATCCTAATCGGTCTTTCATCGGAGCAATATGTTTACTTAAATAATTCCGCACTTTACGACGCCATAAGTGTGTCTCAATTCATCGTTCTTGGCGATCCAGAGAGATAGTCAAAAGTGGAGCACATTTGCGCAACCAGCCGCACAAGTGAAACCCCATGATAAATTTCATAAAACAGATATTCGTATATTCTCTCTCTCTTTAGTATGCAGAAGCTCGCCTACACACTGTACAACAAATTTTTATATAGTTAATACCCACAAATACACACACTCTCTCCGAAGCCCGAAGTATGCACATCATGGACTTTGGCGAAAATACTTTTAATCTGTGCCGTGGATCTAATGGAAAATGCTGGGGCGGCCAGAATTGTTAAATATGACAAGAATGGAAAAAGAATTATAAATTCTTCAGCATATTTGCATAAATGGATGATTCATGTTTGAGGAAGACGCTGCGAAATTTGTCCTTCTGCTCCTCACTCAGCCTCCCATGGAAGTCCCGCGAGGCCTCGCGGAAAATATACTCCTCACGACGACCAAGCGTGCCAAAAGTCTCGAGGATTTCGGGGAAAATCTTTATCAGATTCAAGTTTAATGAAGCCGACACGAAGATAACGCTGAGACAGGAAACCGCCTTCGCTGGTGGCAGCGTCACGAAATTGGGTAGTGAGCAAATGAGCCAGTCCTGAAGGAGGGCCAAATACGCAGAATCGATTGCAGATCGAAATACCTGCAAGTTTAATTGGAAATTGAGGCAGAGTGGCAAAAACCATATATGAACGTCACTCACAAGGGGGAGATAATATGCTTTCAATCTGTACACGACTTCCTAACACTTCCAACACATGAAATTTATAGGTTAATCTGTTAAGTTTCTATCATTTCTATCTAATATTTATGTTGGAATTCATTTAAAAGCACTTTTTCAAGTATCTTTCCAAACATAACCTAAAAATATTACCAAGAGATCTTTAGAAACTCCGTTTGGAAGCTTTCTAGATCACAAAAACACCTGTTATTATTTGCAAATGAACCAAGAATTGCTGATTCAGAGTCAGAATTGCCCAAAAAGATGACAATTTTTGAGGTTATGTGCTATCTTAGCACAATTTGAGGTATTTCTTGGCTTCAAAGGAGTCTAATTCAAGGGGAAAATTATGTTGAATTGAGTTTCCATCCGATATTTGTATAAGAATTCACTGAAAACCTCCTTTTTTGGGTGTCTTTATCGACCCTAACCTCACAATGTCACTAAGAAATCTTCGAAACCTGCTAATGATCTTAAAATTACTCAATAATAACACATAAATGTTATTGAGTACAAAATTACTGATTCAGACTCAAAATCGTCTAGAAAGGTTTCTAAAGAACTATTTTCCAGGTGTAAATGATTATTTTTGAGGTTATGTTCAACTTCACCACAATTTTCAGTGCTTCTTGGCTTCAAAGGATCAGAAAAACAATATTGATTGCATGCAAATGCTTAATTATGATAATAATTGGCGATCTTTCCGACTTCAGTACATGAATTGATGTCTTATAAAGCGAATTTTTCACTAAAAAAACGTCATAGATTCGTCACATAACCTCAAAAAGGATTTTTGTCATTGTTTCTATGTAAGGAATCAAAAGAAATTCATAGAATTGGGATAATTTGACGGTAAAAAGAAGCACTCAGGAAATAAAAAATGTAATTTTTGAGCACTTCCGTTGAGCTGTACACCACTTCTGACTGTATTATCTCCCCCTTGGTCATTCAGTCGCTTTGACAAATTATTCCCACTCGTGTGTGTTTGCCTTCTGTGCTCGCGAACTCACCTGAAACACAATCTTCGCCACAACCTCGCCGTGCGGCTGGGTCAGAGACAGCAGCTCCTTGATAACTTTCGTGAGGATCTCATTAGGTGGCACGAGGTCCCGTGTGATTTGGCATAAGACATCCCCAATGATATTGGCCGCCTCGGGAGTTGATGACTTTATCTTGAGGAAGAGCACATCGATTTTCTCAGTTGACTGCACAATTACTTCCGGCTCATCCTGAACGATGCCATTTGAGTGCTCAGTGTTTTCCAATTGACTTGCTGAACCTTTATTATATTATGTTGTAATAAACAAAAGGATATATTATATTGTGAGAGAATTCCATCTCAAGTGCATTATATTCACGTCGTTTCTCGCATGAAATACAATTCGAGTGTGTGAGTTTCTCGGTGTGACAAACACACACACACGTAAGTCAAAATCTAATCAACATATCAATTTAATTATTCTCCGTCCATTACATATAATTTCAACAATCATCCCAAACCCACATTTTCAGCAAATGTTGTGTAGCAACTTTAATGAATATTTGCCTGATTTTCAAGCCCAAAACATTAAATGAGGGTAAAAATTGGTAATAAAATATTGAAATAGTCGATCAACCATAAAGATTAAATGTCGATGCACATGCTAAATAGCCATTGCACAGCAATTATTTAGTGGCATCACGGATTTAAAAGTTCGTCGCAACTGTCAATAAGCAAGTTATCAGTTTTCCGAAACAAATAGAATATTAATGAACGTCACAAACTCGTAAATTTTCAAATCAATCAATTTAAATCTGCCCCCAAAATGTCACTGAGTCGCGATTTTGCTGCAGCTTTGCTGGAAAAAAACTAAATCCCGCCCTTTTTTTCTATTCGCACGCGAGAGATGAAAAACTAAATAAAACACTTTCTGCTTTATGACCTAAAAATACAGCAAAATCGATTTACATCGCGAGATGCACAGTAATAATGGATAAGTATATTTGTGTAACGATAATATTATTTATTTACAGCTGCAAATGGAGTGAAAATTATAACGTTTGAGTGAATTGAAAGAATGTCTTGTCAATTTTTAATCAAATCAGTGTGAAAATTAGCTTGACTGCATTTTATTGCACCCTTAATTTTCCCGTCATTCATTCATTAAATTGGGCAAAAGATTTTTGAGCAACAAAATTTCAGCGCAGACTTTCTTAATCATATTTCCACATGTATTTTTCTAAAGCTTTTTATTCGTTCTTCCTGTACAAAAAATTGAAATTTGTATCTTATGAGACAATAGAAAAAAATTGTCATATTTTGCGAATATTCATTGTTTACGCGGTACAATTTTTCTAAGAAAAATGTCTCCGAAATTGCAGTGAAACGCATAAAATGCCTTTTAGAAAATAATTTTAGATAATCAGAATTATCCTAAAATGTTTTTTAGTCTTTGAATGAATATTTCTCATATCTTTTAAATTTTTACACTTTAAAACTGTAAGGAAAAGTTTAAGTAACGTATGAAAAGTTGATTTTTACAATCTTGTTGAGATAAAATCGACTCGCAACGATTTAAAATCATATTTCCATTGTTTCTATTAATTTTTCCATATTTAAGTTAAAAATTATAAATAAATATCAATAAAATCAACTGAAATATTTACAAAATAATAAATACAGAGCAATATTTGCACTTTAACGGACGATTTGAAGGCGTTTTGAGGGTTTTGAAGTAAATTTGACAAATTTCGCAGCTTTAAATAAAGAATATGAATTGGTTTACTATAATGAGATTTAATGCCAAGTTTAATGCCCTTAAATAGCACAGAAAGTATAGAGATGGCAATTTTTGAGCATCTAAGAGAAGTTTTGTACTCTTTTAAGGCACTAAAATTTAATTAAACGTTTCAATTTGATTTAAACTATTTCGACGGGCGCTTCGAAAGCGAACAAAGGCGAAAACCGCCGTTCTTTAGTAGAGATTAATTGATAGTATTGGTCAATTTGAATTATTTTCTATAACTTTCAGGTGCTTTCATTGGATATTTTTTGAAATATTAACTGAAAAATCAAGAATTGATAGACAAACTCACGATATTGAGTACAAAAAGGCGGGTTTTAATAGTTTTCTTTGTTCTTATTACGTGAACACATCGTAAAAAACAATTTTTCACCCTTTTTCTGTACATTTTGCTTATGATTTATAAGATTTATAACAGAAATAATGAGATTTTTGCTGTGAATTGAGATTATGTAACTTCCAACTTTATGTGTCCATCAATGTAAAGGATTAAAAGTGGATTTAGGGATGCAAAACAATTAAAAGAGCACCAGAAAAATATCAATTTGTATAAATCTCTGAATTAATTAATGAACGTAGTTAAAATGAAACGAAAAAGTCGAGTTTTCAGCGCATTTTAGAACATTTTTCTACACACAAACATTTTAAGATAAATCTATGCTTTCTTCCAAGGAAGAAATATGATTGAAAATCTGTGCTCAAATCTTGTTTGCTCAGTTCAATGTTGATAAACATGATGTCATAACTCTTTTACGATAGTTTTCCACAAAAAAATCCATAATTTCACATGTTCAAACTTGGAAACAAGTGTAAAAACAGTAGAGAAATTTAATAGAAAGCTTTTTTTAAAAGGTTAATAAAAATGCAGTGCTGCTATTTGGCCTTGTATTGACACATTCCAACTTTTCATGCCATAAAATATCTATTTATTGCCAGCAAAGTGTGGAGAACATTATTTGATTGAGCATCAAAAAAAAAAGTCAAATGCATTTTATCCAATTATATTGGAGCACTTTGGGGAGTATAAAAATTTTCGTTGATGTGTGATGTTTACCGATGAATTTTTAAATAATTTTTGGAAAATTAATACGAATAATGGAATTTTGGAATTTACAGCACGCTTATGAAATTTTCATATGCATGACATTATATGGTTGGATGTTTTTTTTTCTGTATGGAGAATTTTTGCATAATATTCTTGGCTTCTCTTTTTGCTGGTTTTGCTGGTTTTTGCTCTGGCTTTGATCGGAAGCAATACGGAGAAGTCCGCGTATGTAAATTGCAAGTGCATGGCAGATGAGGGAGTTTTAAATAATGCAGAGACAGTGAATTTTATATACTCGGTAATTGCATTCATGAATCTGTTTAATGATTTATAGGTGAAGTGGGTGAATGCATAAAAATTAGAAAGCACCGTGGGGTCGCCAGGGGTATTCAGATGTACAAGAGGAGGTTCTTCAGCGCGCATTTGGCTGTGTTGTGGAAGAATGAAGGGAATGAGAGACAGGAAAATTGCAGTGGGAAATAATTAAATGTGTTTGACTATACTTTGGCAAAGGCAGAATCTTGGGAAATGCTATACGTTAATTAATATGTGCATTGGAAGCGAGAGAGAGTAAGTGGATGTGGAGTTTGCAGAACTTACCGATATACATGCAGGAAATTAGTAGTTTCAGGGCTGGCAGGGAGAATTCCTCGTTGTCACATTTAACTAGATCGAGCGAGAGTTTCTCGATTTTTTCCCGGTACACCTTTTCGATGGAGTTGGTGATTATAAGACGCTGCATTCCCTGAGACGCGAGAGAGAGAGAGAGAGGGTTAAAAAGGTGCTGCAATTGGAGCACAACTGACGTCATTTGCAGGTGAAATTGATATGCATGTCGGTAGTAAGGGGGAGATGTGTTGGAAAAGTGTTGAAAATCCTACAATATTCTTTCTCTGAATTCTGCTTTTACTGACAAATCATCCAGATTCTTTGAATTTCCTTCGATTTTCATGCAAAATCATACGTATCGATCTTTTTTCCAGGTTATGTAACGAATCAAAATGGATTTAGTGAATAATTCGCTTTGTAGAACATAAATTCTACTAGTTTTTGGCAAAAATAAGTATTTTCAAGCTATTGACAGTGCTTTTTTGATCTTTTAATGTAAAGAAACACTGCAAATTGTGTTAAAATTGAACATAACCTGAAAAAATAGTTATTTGGACACTTGGAAAATGTTTATATAGACAACTTTCTGGGCAATTTTGACTGAGAATCAGTAATTTTAAGATCATTAGCAGGTTTTGAAGATCTTTCAGTGACATTTTGAGGTTATGGTCGGAAAAGACACCCTAAAAAGCAGTTTTAAGTGAATTCTTACACAAATATCGGATGGAAACTCAATTCAACATAATTTTCCCCTTGAATTAGACTCCTTTGATGCCAAAAATACTTCAAATTGCCCTAAGATAGCACATAACCTCAAAAATTGTCATATTCTTGGGCTATTCTGACTCAGAATCTGCAATTCTTGGTTCATTTGCAAATAATAATAGGTGTTTTTGTGATCTAGAAAGCTTCCAAACTGAGTTTATGAAGATCTCTTAGTGATATTTTGAGGCTATAGTTGGAAAAATACCCAAAAAGTGTCTTTAAACTTAAGAGATTGATTATAATTTGTGGATTAATGTGGAAACAGACTACAAATTTCGTGTTCTAAAAGTGTTTGGAAGTGTTGTATGGATTAAGGGCATATTATCTCCCCCTTGGTTCATAGTTATAATGGGGAAAACTTACAAGGATGATGCACAAGTACTGTGGCAAGTTTGTCGTCCTCTTTAGAATATTGTTACAGGATATGATGACGTTGGACAAGAGGGTGCAATCAGGCATGAATTTGGACGTTTTCTCAATCAGGTAGAATGTAAGTGTCCACACGAGTTTGGTGTGCGTGTCACTGTATGAATAGCCACTCTCATCAATAACCCCATTCTTATTAATGTAGCTGATTGCAATGTTCCGGAGCAGGATTATCTCCTCGCTGAGCGCGCCAATGCTTGTGCTGGTATTAATGGCAGTCTCCAGCAGACACAGAAGGCCATTCAGTGCTGCATTTCGCACAAATACGTGCGTGCTCTTCAGATATGTTGGAATTATGGAGCACAAGTGCGCCAAATCACTCAGCGACGGCACGAGAATTGCATGTGATTTGCAGAGGAGGTAAATTATATATTGATGCGCCACCGTGTTCTCCAGCGGTAGTTTCTCCTGAAGTTGCTGAATTGTATTCTTAATCCACTTGCATTGATCCCGATTCTCGCAGACTTCACACAATTTTACAACATTCGCCAGCACATGTGTGCACTGTCGATCGATCAGTTGGGCGAAAACGTCATAAATTAATTGGACTGTGCTTCGGAAATCGATGCCACATTGATCCACAAAGTAGTTGACACTCTTCACTGTTGTATCCATGTCCTCCACATTCTCCTCCACAATTTGCCAAATGAAATTCATGCTGAATTGATTGGGTGCAAATGAGTGGGTGCCAATGGCTCTGTCACATGATAAATCCCTCTCTAAATTGCTCTGGTAGAAGATATTAGATCCCGGAATGAGACTGAGAATCTTGTGTAGTTTCTTCACACCTATTCCATCCACTTTCACCCTGTCAAGTCGGGGTGAATGATGAAATTCACCTTGGCGAAATCCTATTCGGGGAAACATTTTGCATGTGAGTAGCAATTCTGAAATCGCTCCCAGGCACATTGTCTTCACGAAGTACTCCTCCTGCGCATCTGTGAGCGAAACCGGGGGGAAAGAGAAGGGAGAGAATAAGGTGAAAATTATAATTACACCTTTCAATCCTCCTAATATTATTATGTGTGATCTCTGTGAGAAGCAAAAATGGGGATTTTTCACAAAGAATTCCACCTCCTCTTCCATGCTATAATCAGATTCATAGAGCAAATCGTTCAGTTCGAGCATGCTTTTAGATAACCAGTGAATTAATGCATTTATTTCTATAGAATGACGGGTCGTTGCAACATTACGGATTTCAGTTCGTAAAAGCTATCAATTTGATATTGCAACTTTACGTTTTAATAACTTATATTAGCGGCCGCTCGGCGGCGCTAGTGTGAAGTACGAATGAAATACAAACGAGAAGGCGTTGCAAAGCAAAATTTGGAGTTTATTTAATACGAATTGCAGCTGTCAAACGCGAAGAATGAATTCAACATGGGGAAATAAGGAATCGAGACTTTCCCTGACATTAAGACTGTTTCCCATAGGATTCTTGAAAGATTTTCCTGACCAGAATGTTCAGGAAGATGTCTTAGATGTCAAAGGATATCCGGAAACACATAACCTCAATCTGGAGCATTGAAATGTGCACAAATGGCCAGACAAATCCAATAATTATGTATTTATTTATATAACAACGTCATTACTGTCTATTTCCTCGGTTTTCTCGTGAATTTTCCGGCTTTTCTTGTCTTCACGCGACGAAATACATGAATTGACGTCAAAGTTTCAAATATTTTAAGTTTCAAATCGTAATCTTGCAACGCCTTTTTACGAATTCATATTTTTGACAGCTTATTTAAAATGTTATGAAAGTAAAGTTGCAACGACGCCTTAATATGGGGTTTGAGGAATAAAAAAAAACTGTGTTTCAAATGAAAATCAATAAGCGCTTTTCAGTGGCGCAGCGATAGAATAGAGATGTGAAAGCTTTTGACTCTTTTTCACAAGCTCATCTCATCCACGCTGTTTTGGCAGTTTTTTCATGCTGTTATTCACAACAAATACCTCGGATTTCATTAAACTAATACCATTTCATTTTTGTTCTCAGCCTCACAATGCCTTTGTCTGGCGATATTGCATATTTTCATAGAACATCTCTCGCTTATTAAATGAATTGTTCTGACTCGCAGAAAGGGCTTAAATGGAAGAGCAAATATATTGATTTCCAAGAAGTACATAAGATACTCCGAGTCATCTTTGCTCAAGGTGTATTTGCTGTACATAAATATCATATAATGTACAGTAAATACTGCTTTTTTTTTAAATACAAATTGCTAAAGGAAACAGTATTAGGGATTTGCTTAGCAAATATTTCACACATTTGACTATAGTTTCTAGAGGAGCAGCAATGAAACCACAATATATGTGAGCACGTGTAGTATTGGATTATAATTAATTAATGATACCTTGATTAAAGCATAATCCAGGATTATTTAATCACATTTCGTGTGTGTGTCTGTGGATTGCAGTGGCATTTTTATGTATGGTCAGAGAAATATGCAGATCAAGAGTAAATAAACTGCAGAATTATAAAAATAGATGCACTCAGAATGAATATTAGTTTATATTCTCAGCACTACACACAGCACAACACTTCATACGAAGCATTTGCTAATGCAAAATTCATGTGCTGTCATTGGAAACGTCATCCTTCGTTGACGAAAATGAAGTGAAACAGGAATTGTTACTTAAATATGAAAAAAAATTGCATATCCAAAGCAATATTTGCTGAATTAATCTTAAAAAAATTAATAGAATAATCGGAAACTATAATAAATAGTTTAGTGAATTTTAATGTGTGTTTAATTCCACCAATTACTTCACTAGCTTATTCATATATAATTTTCAATAAATGCAAAATAGCACTAAAGTCTAATTAGGAAGCGGTCAAAGTAATTAAGTACAATTATCTCTGACTAAATCAATGCTATAAATCAATGGTGCTTAGTAATATAACACCCCAAAATTAACACACACACACACACACTGTTTAATTGCTTAACATCCGTACGTTTCGCACAAATTTCTCATATTGATTTTACTTAAACTTTTAAGCACTCTCACAATGTTACTTCTACACAGAAGACACTCATTTACATTGCTTAATTAGATGGAAACTCAGCAGACTTAAGGTGCGAAGAGAGCGAAAAAAAATATCATTTTTATCCCTCATCCCTTTGTCCATGGCAATGATGGCTTGGTAGGGGTGAAAAAATAATGAAATTCACGAGTAAATCTACACAGAAGTTTATAAACAAAATAATTGTGCAAAGTTCAGCGTCTCTGGGTAATTTTTTCACCATCAAGAAAAACTCAAGGGGCAAATCACAAGACGATTTCTGAGGAAACTCAATGTTCTCTAATTAAATAATCAATTATTTGAGTAAAATAATCAAAAAATGATTATTTTCCCGAGTAAAATCGAAAAATATTCAAATTCTGAATTGAATAATAAAAAAAAGATTATTTTTCGAAAGTAAAATTACAAAATCATTTAATTCTGAATGAAATAGTCAAAAACTGATTATTTTTTCAAGTAAAATTGAAAAAAAATCAATTTTTGAATGAAATAATAAATTTTTAATCAAGTATTTTGAAAATAATCAAAATTTGAGTATTAATCACAGATATAAAAGAAGAAAAAAAATGATTCAATAATCACAAAGTTAATGATCTCAACTGGCGAGTGATTGTCCCCTTGAGAAAAGCAATTACATGAAGAGAAAATATATGATTCTCAAGCTATAAATGGTGGTGTTTGTGAAAATAATTTCAAACGAACTATCACTTGGTGGGGAAAGTTGTGTGAATTGCCCACAAGTTTTTGGGGGAGGTTGAAAGTGCACGTCTTGAAATTTTTGAGTTTTCCAGAAAGAATAAAAACTTCATCATTTGCATTAAAATGCATGCAATTACAGAAACAATACCATTCTTAACACAGAGAAAGAGAGCAAAAGAAGGCGCAAGAGAGAAAATTAAACCTCTTAAATAATACCAGCACAAACTTGACACAATTACTTCCGCGAAATATACTCCTCTTAATAGGATTTATTTAAAATTCTAAAGGAATCCCACACGGATTCCAACTATGCGCTTCGAACACGAAATACTAATTACACGATGAAATGGAGTGTGATGTAATTATTCGGAATCCTTCGACTACAATGATGGCGAATAGGGGATGAATTTCCTCCCAAAATCGCCTTAAATGAGGATAATATTGACAATATAGTATTTGGCTCTGTGTGATGTAGGGAAAATTCATTTAATCGATTTTCAAATGAAACCACCCGGCTGATGTTTGTTTAACTTCAATTCCTATTCAATTCAATATTGATTGTATTTTACAATGTGAGCTTTAATACATTCTATTTCCTTCTTTCTCTTCTTTCGCCACTTCCAACTCTTTGTTTTCTTGTAAAATGTCTAACAAAACAATGATTTATAGTCAAAAATGAATTAATCTTGACATTTTATCTATTCCAGTGAATAAATTGGCAGTAATTAAACATGATTTAATTCAATTTTGCTCTTTTTCACGGAGCTTAAATTGCAACATAGCCAAACTATGTGAAAATACTGATATCAAATATGCTTCAAAAATAGATATGATTTTGGGAGATTCAAATTGCATCAGCAAATTGAATAATCTAATCCATTTCGTGATTGGAACTCAACCGGCTAAATCAATGTTGGATTTTATACAATTCTCAGCAATATATCTAATATAATCAAGGGGAAAGTCACTGGCAATTTCTGATCATTAACTTTGTGATTTTTATTCAGATCTTGATTCTTTTCTTTCCACATTTTGTCACCAAATGGCAGTAGTTTAAACATTAAAGGCATACAGAAGTTATGATCTGCATTCTTAGTCCAATTTTTTGCTCTTAATTCTCATATTTCGCTGTTTCTTATGACATTTTTTACTCTTTAAAATGTTCAAAATTAAAATATAATCAAAAATTGAATATTTTGCTGAATATATTGCAAATATTTTACTTTATCTGCTTTGCAAATTTCATTTTACCGGAATTTTTGTGGTTTATATATTATTTAGAGCCTTTTAAACCCCCAAATTTCGTTTTCTCTTGGTTAGAAAGACGCCAAGAAGTTATAAAGTGTTAGAATGTCTGATATTATAAGCGTCCTCCACGCCAACTTTGCTGCCCTCTGGCGGCGATATTGTTTTTCATGTAAAATACGAATAAATATTTATATATTTGATTAAAACTACTAATATTCCCCAAAAATCGCCTAGTGACTTTCCCCTTGAATACAATTTATATAAAATATGATATGTATTTTATAAAAATGCGTTGAATAAAATTTGAATCACTGAATGTTGTGCTTTTTGTTGAGAACAAAGATACAAAAAAATATTCTGTATTTTTATTTATAGAATACTTTTTTTTATATAAATACAAAAAAAGGGGGAAAAAAGTGTTCTGCACAATGTGTAGATTCACAAGGAAATTGCATTCACTTTGTGTATTGAAAGCAAATGAGGAGGAAAAGAGTGAAATGCAGAGAATATTATGCATGCACACAAATTACTTTTCTTCCTTATGAATTTACATTTGAATATCAAATGGATTGTGCAATTTTGCATTTTAACTCTACATAATAATCAATGTTTAGCAACATTGTTGATGAAATAGAATAAGGCTACACACTTACCAATGATGTCAGGATTTGCATCGCTGTTCAGCAGGACGAGAAGTGACATGAAAATCTCCTCAAACTGTTGCCTTGTGGAGAATCCAATTAAATTCAGCCTGTGGTTTTAGAGAAAGAAAAAAGAATATATATATCCTGACCCTCACAGGAGGCAATAAATAGAGAGATAAAAGAGAGGAAATGTACATAATATGAGTACCTTGATATAAATTTCGGCAGGAGTTCAGAATCATTAAGTTGTTCGATCGGAATTGATGGAATTGGACACCGTTTCGCTGGATACTCGACAGCTAGGGGACCCATGTCATGCAGTAAAATAAAAGGGGTTATCGCTATGGGATAGAGGACGCCCACTCGAAGGATCGCGGTGGCGATTTGAGATAGCTGGCGCAGGAGATTGACAACTTTGCCCCGTTCAGCACTCATGCAGCAGTTGACGATGTCCTTCTCCTCCTCAATAAATCGCGCCACAAAAATGGCATCCATGTACATTTGTCTGACCTGAAACTCAGGCTCATCCACAGCCACACTGGCAAACAACGCCGGCTCACGATGGTTGCGAACGAAGTGTGTCGCCGAGAGAATGTTCATCAAACATTCACGAATTAGCCTCACAACAGCCCTCAAGTCGTCGCCGTATTTGTCTGGGGAGTCGAGCTCGTGCCAGATCTGTGGCTGCTGAAGGGCAATTCTCATGTAGTGCAGACACTTCTCCACATCGCTGAAGTCCGACTCCCGGACGGTCAGCAGTCCGCTGTGGTGGGCGACAGAGTTCAGGGTGGTCAGGACGGGGCGCATGGCGAAGCGAAGGAGGAGGGCGGTGAGTGAGGGACGCAACAGATGCTCCCCAATGTATCGCTCCACTTGCCTGCCGTCGACGTGAATGAGGCAAGTTCTCTCAGTTTCTGACACATTCTCAATGAAGCATGTCGCCGCCTCGAGGCACACACGGAACCTTTGATAATGTGTCACCCCATCGCCTCCCGAATCGTCAGTCAATTGCTGCAGATCAGCCTCAAATCGACGCTGAACAAACTTGAGGAGCGGCGGCACTTTGAGGTATGTCATGTGCGGACTGTGTTGCACACAGTCTGCCATGAAGGCGCGCCTCATGCCATCGAATGCCACCCCCAGGCAGGCGCTGAGGAAGTGGCTGGTGAATTCGCGTGATGTGATCAGGGAGGACAATCGCATTTCCGATTTTATCTCCATGAGCAACCTCGCCACGAGACCCGCTCTCCGCATCTCTGTCATGTGATACAGTATCTGCTGGCTGTACCACTGCTCATCCACACCACCTTTCGACACATCTCCATCGCCACCGCCGCCGATGCGGTCAACCGCGCGCCCGTCAGCCATTTCATCTGGCCGGAGGAAGTCCAGCAGCGTGGCGAAGAGCACGGGAAAGCGATTGGGCAGATTCTCCCGCTTGCAGTCATCAATGATGGCAGTGAGTTCATTAAGTGGCACATTGCGGTGTCTCTCCACGGTGGCCATGGCTCTCAATGTGTCCACTTTGCCAGCAGTTATCACAAGTGCGCGCTGTTGCACTGATTTGCTGCTGTGTGCCAAAAACTCCACCAATAGCATTCGCAGTCCCACAACCGTGGCGATGGGGTGTGATTTATCGATCAATTTTAATATTTCATTGTCAATGGCAATTGAGTGGAATTCCGTGCGACAAACAGCAACGAGAGCGAGAATCCCATTGGCATGCTGCTGGCTGCTGCACAGGCCATGGAGGAATTTGTGGTGGTCTCGCAGGAATGCCGGCAGATCCGATTGAAGAAGTAGCTGAATGGTATTCGACTGCCAATCGCTTGGCTGATGGTATTTCTCTGTTATTCGCCCACTCAATTGTCTCCTCAGTTGTCTATCGCCCAAACTACCACCCAATCGACACAATGCCTCCACTATGGCGTGCTGGTCATAATTGAGATGAATCATCATATCCATGAAGCCGATAAACAGTTTCGGCTGAACTGTTCGTATGCCATGGAAGAGATGAATGAAGTCACCGTGGCGAGTGAATTCATTGAGAAGTGGCGTTGAGAGTGCATTAAAGTTCGCAACTTGACACAATTTCCCAAGAAACCACACCATGAGTGTTGAATAAGTGGAATCACTCCAGGGAATCAGAAAATTTACACTGTCTCTTACCACTCTCGACACAATTTCAGCGAAATAATTTAACTCCAAGCCATTTTCATGCATCACTTTCCCATCGTCTTCTTCATCAACTAACTTCATCCTGACTAAATGCACTTTTATGCAATTTATCAAATAAACTTGGTCCACACGGAGAATGCCATGGCATAGAAGGAGGTGAACTCTCGTCAACTTGTTGTAACTCATGCCAGGTGATGTAGTCGCCTCTAGGAGAACATTCAGCAATTCCTCCAACTTCTCTCCTCCGCACATTTTCCCATCCAGCACATGGAGGAGCAACATGATGCTGTTCAGCTTCTCCTCACAGTCAATGGTGAACTTCTCATCACGAAGCAGTGTTAGCACATGAGCCACGGCATCCATCTCGTACGACTGATCAACATCCTTCTGCGACAAGACAATTAATGCCACGGCGCGCTGAATTTGTGTGTAGTCGAGAAATTTCAACATCATCGCGAACACCACTTCCCTCTCTGTGCTCCAGTCACCCTTGCCACCCACTGTGGGCGCTGCATTTGGCCAATTGAAGAACAACTCATAGCCCAGCTCCACAAGAGCATCAATGCTGCACTGTCTTATCACACTGTTGGCCAGCAAATTGTCCGTAATGTTGATGATCTTGGGAATTGTGATGACTTTCTTCTCCTTGGACTGCTTGCAGAGGTGAAAGAGGAATTTGTAGATATTACTAATGACTGTTTCACACTTTCTCACACAGCCCGTCTCAATAATCTCCAAGTGTCGCAAAATGTACTCGATGAACACATTATTGGCATCCAACAGATAGTAGTTCACCTTAAAGTCCAACAGTTGGCAGAGAAGTTCCAGAATAACTGACTGTAGTGTCGAGTTGGCCTTCATAAATAGCCTGAGACTGTGAATAACCATTGGTTCGAAGATTTTCAAATGCTGACCCACATCCTCGTACGGCAGCAATTTCCTCCCATCCCGCGCCTCTCTAACACACCTCAGCAATGCCGCCACATCGTTCACATTGCCAAAATTGCTACACGTGTCGATAAAGTTGCGGAATTCACCACGACGTGAGATAAAGTTCTTGTCAAAGAAGTGTCTCAGCATGTGTTTCGTGCACACAACACACCACTTTGGCTGGTAACTGACACAGCTCATGAGATACGTCAGGATCTCCTCAATGGCCGCCGTGGACTGGCTTATCGATACCATTGGCTTGAGCTCGAAGATCAAGGTGAGTGTTTGCAAGCAACTCTCCAACAAATCCATAAACTTGCCACTTGTCTCCTTGTCAATGGCAATTCGTCTCGAATCGAAAGCCATCCTCAGCATCTTGTACAGTTTCATATAGACAAAATCATTGCCAAAGTATCCCAAATTGTTAAGCTTCATGGTATCTTTGCCACTCAGGAATATGTCAGTCTTCTGCCCTTTGGGCAATGTAATCACCTTTGTCGCCGTGAATATGTGATGATAGACATTAATCAATTTCAATAAGTGGATTAGCAGCGACTCACCGTGATCCCCAATGTCACCACGAAGGGCTTTGGCTGCCAACAGGCGTGTGCATAGCTTTAGAGCATCACTATGAGCCGTTAAATCATAGACAGTGATTGGATTTTCCTGGATGTACTTAATCACAACGCCAAGGAAATTGAATTCATTCCATGCATCGTAATACACGGTGGGTTTAAAGTGGCGAGAGAGTTCCTTTGTGGCACTCAAGACACCAGCAATTGACTCCTTATCGCTGCCCTCCATCAATTTGTTGCTGAGAATGTAGAGAACCTTAACGAGAGTTGAGTTAATTTTCTCATTACCACCAAATTCAATGTGCCTCAGCTCATGCGGGAGTTCCTGGAGAATTCTACCGCAGAGATCTCTCCTGAGAATATCCACAGGTTCTCTCAATGCTGGCACACTGAAGTGCTGCTTGAGTGTGTAGTGTGAGAGTGACTTTGAGGCGGCATTTCTTATTCGTACATCTTCATCACTCAGCATGCCAATGATGCGCTCAAGACACATTCGCTCAAATTCCACAGACGCATCCTGACCCAGAAGCTCCTGCAATGCACGAAAGTCCAAATTCGCCAACACTTCGCTGTACTTGCACTGCACTGTCCAGTATTTAATGTCATTAACGTCCAGCAAGCTCGCCAAATAACCCTCCACCGAAATGATTTCCGGGATTGTGGCATTGTGGCCACCGCACAAAAGCCAGTGGGGCAGGATAGTCTCTGTTGCAGCGAGAGCTTGACGAACAACAGCGTGATTTTCATCTGATAAACCCTGCATGGAGGATAAATAGAGAGAAGGAGAGGGAATTAATGTCAGAATAGAGGGAAAATTAGCTAATTGTGAAATAGTGAAAGGATATGTTGTATTATTCAGCACTCAGTGTGACTATAATTAATGCTTTGTCGAGATCATTTCGTATTATAGCCAATGATTAGCTTGATATTTGATCTGGGATTCCTTCATAATCACACGATTATCGCTCTGGTGATTGACCAAAGAAAGGGTTGCAATTTAGGAGGGATAATAAATTTTATTTCCTCAAATAACTTAATGATTTGTGCCCAAAATAATATCAAAGTTTCCCTTTAACAACCATCTTAGTTTAATATCCGTGTCTTAACCTTCTCGAGCAGATGCAGATTTAACTATAAAGCAAGGGGGAGATAATACAGCTCAGCGGTGTACATTACAAAATCCGTGAGAGAATTACAGACGCTTTCAGAACATTAACAGTGCTTGAAATACGGGTTTTTCTCATTTACTTCTCTTTTTTAGGAATCTTACACATTTTTCCCAACGCCCAAAGTATCATAACCTCAAATTTGGGAGTCTTTGTCCCGAAAAAGACACAATTTTTACTTATTTGACCCTGTAAAAACTTGCAGAGAAACAATATTTTAATAATATTTGAAGTTTCCAGCGGATATTTTGATGTTAATAAATTTCTAATCGTATTTTTGGATACACTGTTGACCATAACCTAAAAATTACCTTGATATGTCTGAAAGAATTCTTGAAAGAATCTTATTCGTGTAGTAAAATAATGCGCGACAATTGAAAACCCACCGATTTCCATCAATAATAATTCGTTATAAATCAACAATGAACTGAAATTTGCTATTTTAGAGTAGAAAATCAATCAAATAGTTCTTAAGTTTGACAACTTTGTAGATTATGATCAACCTTAGCGTAATTAATTTTAAGTACATTAATTGGCGTTTTCCAATGTTATTTACGCGTCGTTTCAACATTATGTTTTCATATTTCAGTTCGTAAAAGCTACCAATTTAGTGTTGTAACTTTACGCTTTTCATAGTTTTTATTTGCGGCCGCACGGCGGCGCTAGTGTAAAGTACGAATGAAATACGAATGAGAAGGCGTTGCAAGGAAAATTTTTTTATACAAAAGTGCGAAATTTGCACGTGTGAGTTTGATTGAGTGTGTTTCCGATGGGATTCCTTCAGGATTCTGCCAACCAGAATGTCCAGGAAGATGTCTTAGATGTCAAAGGATGTCCGGAAACACATAATCTCAATCTGGAGCATTGAAATGTGCACAAATGGCCAGACAAATCCAATAATTATGTATTTATTTATATAACAACGTCATTACTGTCTATTTCCTCGGTTTTCTCGTGAAATTTCCGGCTTTTCTTGTCTTCATCCTTCAGGTTTCACAGAAAATCAATTCCTCACGTTAATAAATAATACGAATCGTAATCTTGCAACGCCTTTCTATGAATTCATATATTTGACAGCTTATTTAAAGTTATGAAAGGAAAAACAAGCAATGACAATTTTTATTGAAGAAAATAGTGTAAAAATTCTGAAACTATTGCAATAATTTACTTTGAACTGTACTTCTGATCATAATATCTCCGCCTTGCTGTAAAGTTGGGTTTATTCAGTTATTCTGACGAGTTGACTCTTCATTGCGAGAGTTTAGGATATAATTTTATTTAGCAAATTTAGAATTCAACCCCGGAAAACCTATTTCACATATAAATGAGTTTTATCTCGTGAGTTTTCCCAGTCAATGATTTATCGTTTAATTAAATTGGATCAGTTTATAAGTGCATTAATATGAAAATGCCACTTGTTATGTCCGAGAGATAACAGAATTATAACGAACTAACTTGACTTGATTTTAGTGTGAAACACACATTAAATTTTGGGTATGGAATTGAATAGTGACGAATATAATGCACTCTCAGTTCTGGTCACACTGTGTGGCGTTCGGCAGATGTGTGAAAATGAAAGCATATGAGTGGTTAAATAATAATTACCTGCAGAACAATTTCAATGAGTTTTGGAAATTTCAGCAATTCACTCACATCCTCAGCAACTTGGTCGTATTTCATTAAACCACAACTCAGGCACTTAACAAAGCTACTGGCAATTTGTATGATATCACTCCGAATAATTGGATCCTGGTGTGAATGCAGCTGGAGAATGTCGGCGAGGTGTTGTGTCTTGTCGGACGCTTTTGGTGACAATTTTCTGGGTGTTGTTGCACAAATGGGTGTTGTGGATATTTTCAATTGTCCACTCGCCTTCGACAGCATCGCACTCAAATCCCTATTGATTTTTGGCGCCAAATCCACTTTTGATGTCGTCCACGACTCCAACTGGCCAAGCAGTGTGGCATCTGCACTCTTGGCCAGCGGTGTGAAGTAATCTTTGTAAGATGTTTCACTTTTCCCAAAGTGATCATCCTTCATCTCTAAATACCCTTCACTGTTGCCACCCTTCTCCACCCCATCCTCTGGCCGCTTCAGCGCCTCCTCCTCCTCGGCATCCACTTCAGCCTTGATTTCCTCTGTGGCCTTTTCCAATTCAATTTTTATTAATTCATTTCTCGACTGCATCTCAAGGGGCTGCACGAGAAGCTGCGGCGAGAGCAGCACACAGTTGGCAATCACAGTGAGGGAGAGATTCTTTATCGACACCCTCACTTGTTGATCAGACACGAAGCCATTGCGCTCGCCACTTAGGATGAATTTCGATGCAATTAGGCGGGCAGTGTAGGAAATCACAGACTGATCGAAAATGCTACCAATATCCACACTCGCCCCTCTCGCCGCCGTCTCGTACTCGAGAATCAATTCCTCCTCCTCCTCCTCCTCCTCTTCCTCGACAGCATCTGGGCTATTTTTTACCGCCGCCTTATCGCCATCTCCCGGGACTCTTTCCTCCACTTTGCGCGCACTCATCACGGGCGAGCCGCCCAACTCCTCCACAACTCGGGGGATGTTTTTCGGCGTGTTGGCGAGTGAAGACTCACTCGACCTCTGACCGCGGAAGAAATTTGTCACAGTCTCTGTGGTGTTTGGCAGAGGATTTGTGAGCAGTGAGTTGAAGAATGACCCAATGGATTCTGTCGATTTCTGACTCCTCAGCGATTTCGTGTCAGGATTCTGACTACCCGCAGACTCTCCAAAGTCCGTCCTGATGTCCATGCTTTGCAGTGACTCCGACTCCACATCGGACATTCCCGCCAGCAGCGAAGAGCTGTCAATGGATTCACAGAGCAATTGTGCCTTCAAGTGGACATTCTCCTCTTCTGGACTCTGCTCAATCACCAATTGTTCAGCATCTGAGGCATCAGTCTCGATTGTGAGCGAATTGATAAGGCCACGCTTCTTCAGCAGAATCTCCTTGGACGCCAAAGCGGTGTCAATAAGCAGATCTCGCCACAGTGCTGGTGGATTGAGTGTCATCACATTCAGCACTTCCAAGGAGGCATTTATGATGCTGTGATTTCCCTCGTCAAGATATCCCAGACAAATTTCATACACTTCCAGCAACTTTGACAGATCACACTCCTTTTCCGCCAGCAACACAGGAACAATCAGGCGAATGAAGCCAAAAACACCCACTGTAGCCTCTGAGGATTGCTGCTTCACAAGGATTTCTGCAAGAGAATGCAGCAAAATTACAACTTACACTTCAATCCACTTCCAGAGAAGTGAATAATTGCATAAATTGCATGAAATCTGTCAATTGTGGACATAATTTGAACAGGAAAGTCATCGTGTAATGAAAGAATTGAGTTTCTAAGACAGTTTCATGATGGAATATCAAGATTTACTCTAATTTAACAAGCAAACTGATCAACTGAACGTGTATTCTTTGCATTCTTTTAAGCAGAATGTCCATCCAAGAGCGGACAGACTTCTAGAACATCGGAGTGTATTTTTAAATTACATTCTAGAGTAGATTTGACGATTTTTGTGGCTTTTCTGGTGAGCAAAAACTACTTCAAGCACATTTCACGCTTCGGACAAGCGCTTAAGACACCCAGAAACTTCGTAGAAGCTCGCTGAATAAACTTTGATGGCCAAATCCTAATAGAACGGCGCTTCAAAGATCATTTTCGTGCCCTTGGACAATGAGAATCAGCAGTAAAGCCCCTCAGAATGATCACGACGTCCTAAACGGGGCGCAAAGGATGCAATTCATCCTCAAAATATGTTATAAATCATGTTCATGTACAAAATAATTCATTCTAGGCTGAATTTTTGCCTTCTTCGCAATATTTGGCGTAAAATGGCGTAAAAGACACTCAACAGTGCTTACCCATGGATTTAGAGAGAGCCAAGAGAGCCAGTTCACGCTTCTTTCGTGCGTGCTTGATGAACGTGACGAGATTGCACGCAGAGCAGCGTCTCTTTACCGCGCAACCGGACGAGAGATCGTCCAGGAAGATCTGCAGCACCACCACCAATTCGTTGTCCATCACATTGCACTGAAGATACTCGCAGAAGACCTTTATGAAGTCCGACAGGGTCTCGAGCAGGAGTGTCTCGCGCCTCCGGGCAGTCGCTGCGATGCACTGCAGCAGATTCTGGGCGTAAGATCGGGCCTTTCGTTGCTTGATTTGCGGGCAGTAGTGGCTGAAGATGTTGAGGCAGATGCGCAGAGATCTCTCGTTGCCGTTCTTCTTGATCTCGTGGTACAAATCCACCTGCACGCGCTGGATGTTCCCGTTCTCGCAGTGCCGGATGATTCTGCACAGATTCTCCTCGGCGTTCATGCGAACTGTGGGATCTGAGTCCTCGCAGAAGAGCAGCAGGACGCTGATTGCCGTGCTGGTGTGCAGGAAGTGGTTGACATTGAAGTGCGGCGACTGGATGCAATCGCTCAGCTGTCGGAAGTGATGAAGCTTGTCCTTTTGGCTATTCAAACAGGGAGAAAAGACAGTGAAAACTGAGACGGGGAAAATGCAAGGAGATTCTTGTGATTCATGAACCTGCAAATTGTGTTCTTCAGAGCGTCCACGGATTTCTGAAAAGTTCCTGCAATTGTTAATTTTTCCATTTTTCTAACACTTGAAATTGCACATTAGACACTGTAGAAACATCTAAATATAGAAAATGTCACGATTATGATCTCCTTTGCACATTATTTTCACAACAAATAGGAGCAATTTTATCGCAAATCCACGAAATCAAAACACGATTGTCAAAAACTACACTGAGAAAATTCATGAGCAGCAAATTGAAGTGTGTCTCTGCTAAATCTCGTCTAAGAATTTTCCTTTTCGATGACTTTCGGTGCGAGTCTTGATTTTGAAAAATAACGAATTTCAGAATAAGAGATCATTTTCTTTCCGGTTTAATTTAAATAGTATTTTAAGAATGTCGAACCAAACAATTCCACTCAAATCATAGGGAAAGTCACTCGCAATTTTAAACCAATAATTTTATGATTATTCCATAAAAATCTCAGTAATTTTTTGATTATGTCAAAGAATATTTAAATATTAGATTTCTTTGAATTTTTTTTTGAATATTTTCTTCACATATTATCGACAGAGGGCAATAGTTTAAACTTTAAAGACATGTAGAAGTTCTGATCGGCATTCTCAGTGCAACTTTTAGGTGTTCGAGTTCAGTTTATGGCAAATTTAGCGAATTATTTAACTTATTTTACTGTTTTTGATATCTTTTATTACCCTTTAAGATACCCAGAATTAAAATATTATCAAGAAATTGTATATTTTGCTTTGCACATTTTATTTTACCGGAATTAAGGTGGTTTATGTATTATTTAGAGGCGTTTTAACATCTAAATTAATCCTTCGGCCAAAATTATGGTATGAAAAAGCATAAAAAAGAGGATAAAGTGAAAAAATATGCCAAAAACTGGTCTCAAACACCATAAATGAGGAGTAAAAGGCCAACGTTCTAACCACTGGGCCGAATTTATCTTTGTGAAATATAACTGGAACTTCTGCATATCTTTCAAACTTAAAAATAACCCGAAAAGTGTTGTTTTCACCCTTTAATTTCATCCTCTCCTCACCAGAATTACGCCAGGAAGTCAGAAAGTGTAAGAATGCGTGAGAAGATAAAGGAAATTATGCAGAAAATGCGATATAATTAGCGTCCCTCACGCTAACTTTGCTGCCCTCTGGCGTCCATGTGCGGAAATAATATTACATTTTTGATTTTTTTGCAATTTAACGTGGATAATAAACAGTTTTTGATTATTCTTATTCCAATTTTGCTTTTCTTTCCACACAAAAGTAGAATCAAAATTAAAATATTTGATTTAATTCATTAAGATTCCTCAAAAATTGACGAGTGACTTTTCCCTTGACTCAAATTATTTATTGAAATTATTATTCTTAAATAAAGAGTTGAGAGATAAGTCTTGAGATAAGATTATTTGAAAAACGGAAATGGCAGTGAAGCGATAAAATTTCTATTGGAATAATTTTTCGCAATTCAGCAATTCGCCCACTGTTGAATTCATTCATTTATTTGTTTTGCACATCGTTTTGCAACAATTTTTATTTTCATCACATTGAAAAGAAAACAGAATGTTTCGACAGTCTTGCGTAAGAAGAAGCAGAAGAAAAAACAACAGAGATTTTATTATTTCATGCAGACAAATTTGGGTTTTGTTTTTGTTCAGAAATGTGACTCAATTTTGTGTCGCTGAGATGATTAAATAAATTGCGAGATGTCCTTTTAATAATTTTATTATAAATCAATTTCATATTATCTACATTCTCCCCTATTAACATTACAAATACACTTGAAAATATATGGACTTCAAAACTATTTTAAAAATACAGAATGATTTTTTGTGTGTAAAAAATCACAGACATTCTTATTAACCATTTCTCTCTTTCTCCACTAAATAAAGAGGACTTAAAAAAAAAATAGAAGACAAAAGTGGGGTATTTCAGAGAAGATGAAGAAAGAAATACAAAGAGTGAAACAGGATTTTGAAGGAAGTGAATTGGAAAGAAGTTACCCAAAAAACTTTCAAAAATTTCCCAAACATTCACACTAATTGCGCCAGACCAGCAGAATCTACGGATAGATTCAGTGGACTATTGCAAATTGTTGATTTTCTTGTGTTCTTGTTGTTGTTGTTGTGTTTGCACCAGAAAAGAGTGCAATTATTTGCAGACAGAAAAAAAACCTAATCATGGAAATATCGATAAATTATTGTACACCGCAAAAGCATTAATTCCATTACACATTACAAAAATTAACAATAATTAATTTTAACACTCAAATAAATAGGTACTATATTAACCTCGCTTGAACTTAAGTACTGTCAATGTAATGATAAGGAATCCCACAATCCAGAGGATGGTCGAAATGAAGCCAAAGTAGACGTCGGGCTCGGTGATTTCCCAGCCGCGGCTCAGCATCGATCGCAGCGACGTGGTGGCCATGGTGAGCGGGAGTCCCAGGGAGATGTACCTGCAAGGACGAGGTGTGAGTGGCGTGCCGTGGGCGCAATGCCAATCATTGACTCACCTGAGGAACTCGGGCATGCCCTCGATGGGCCAGATGACGCCGGAGAGGAGCAGCGTGGGGTAGAAGGAGCCCAGAGCCAGCTGAATGGCGTTGCGCTCCAGCTCGCAGATGGCAGAGATGACAAAGCCGAAGCACATGCCGCACAGGCCTTGCAGCAGTGTCAGCACGATGACCCAGAAGATGTCACCGTTGCAGGTCACGCCGAAGACGAGGATCATGAAGATGAGCACAAGGGCAGTCTGGCCACACATCACCACGAACTGGGTGACCACGTGCGAGAACAAGATCTCCGTGGGCGTCACGCCGGCCACCCATGAGCGATCCAGAAGTCCTTCGGTGCGCTCGATGATGAGGGCGGACGACGTGAGAGCCACGGCCAAGAAGAAGACGATTCTGCAGAGAGCAGCCGAAAAGCAGGTCAAGATAACTGACAAGAAAACTCTCAATCTGCACACTCACGTTAAGATGACTCCTGGCGCCACGAAATCCGTAAACGACGGGTCACTCGTGCCGTAGATGGGCTGCTTGAACTGTATCGGCACGTCTCCTAGCTTGGGATTGTTGCCGCATGTCTTGAGGAAGGTCTGAGCGAAGTCCTTGTAAGCCAACTGCAGATCCCTGTTCAGCATGATGCCAATCTGCTGGTTTGACATATCCAGCCACACGCGGATTTCCGACTGATCCAGAGTCTCATCATCAGCTTCTCTTCCTGCAATCGCCAAACAGAGATAAACAGAGATCCTTTAGAGGACTCAAGGGGAAGATTTTTTTCTTAACTTTTTTAGGTTATGTGATGGATTTAAAGGATTTAAAACAGTTTCTGATAATTACATAACCCTTAAAATCTAAATAAATCTAATTATTTCTCTTTTTCTGTATAGAATTGAGCATTTGTGTACGGAAAACATCAATTTAATTCAATTTTACTAGTAGAAAAGAGCAGAAAAATATCTTTTTGCTTAGTTATTTTCGTAGTTTGTGCTTGAAAATCGTAAATTCCACTCTGATTAACCAGTAGAATAAGATATTTGCTATATTTACTCATTATCAGGTTTGAAAAGAATAAATTTAGTGAAGCACTTAGTTTAGTTTAACCTTTTTGAGACGGAAAAAGCCTTAATTTGTGCTTTGATAAGTTAGAAATGAGTATAAAAACAGTCAAAGGAGTCTAAAAAGCGATGGAAAATGTCTTGAAAGGCGCTCAAAAGTGACTGAAAAAGCTTTACAGATTTAAGGCATATTTTATTGACTCACCCAACGATATTCTTGCAACCAGAGCGTCTGTGAAGTTGTCTGTAAAGTAGAGAACACCCCAAGCATCGCCCGCTTTCACGGCATTTATAGCGTCTTCGGGTGTTGGATAGAAGTTCTGGTCGATATTGTTGCTCAGATGGCTCAGATAACGACACGATAGATTGCCGAATTTGCATCCTGGATTGAAAGTGCAGTTCTGGAAGAGAAGATATTAATCTCCAGAAGGTTTTCACCATGCAAAAATCGACTTACATCTCCTTCAATTTCCTGATTCACTATGGCCAACTTGAGTCCGGTCGGATCTCTTCCAATTGCCAAGCAGAAGAGTATGACCTGCATGACTGGGAGAGCGAAAATGAAGAGCATGACGCCCACATTTCGCCACATTCGTAAGAAATTCTTCTGGAGGAGTGCACGAATTTTTCCTCGAGAGGTAATCTGTGGGGAGAAAGAGAGAGAATTGTGGGTAGTTTTTCGGGGGTTTTGAGGGCAAATTCACGTGTTGCTTACGTTGAAGCAATTCGAGCAGCTGCCGCAATCGTCGCAATCAATCGCTGTGTTCTGAGGATGTGGCGGTGCATCATTAATCTGGAAGAAATGGTGGAATTTTGTAAGAATTTCTCGTCTTTGGCGCACAAATTCCGCGGTTTTACTCACTCCAATAGTGGATCCATTGGAGTCACTGATTAGGATTTCTTTGCTCTGGTGGAAGTTGAGGCCCACAACGCCACTCTCTTGACTCACATACACGGGATTGTCCTTCTTGCTGCCAAAGGCTAAGGCTGACAGGGAGATGTTGTTGCTGATGTTCATTGGTTCCGTCGTGGCCACCGCCCCATTAGCACCCTGTTTCCGCGACAACTTGAGAAAGACATCCTCTAGACTCTGGCACCGGTACATGGACAGGAGCACCTGCGGCGACTCCTCGGCTAGAAGTCGACCAGAGCGCATAAGGCCGATGGTATGCGCCTGTCGGGCTTCCTCGATGTAGTGAGTCGTGATGATAACTGTCTTCTGGCCGGCTTTGGTTATGTGCACGAGGTGATTCCATATGCTCTGCCGCAGGAGCGGATCCACACCCACCGTGGGCTCATCCAGGATGAGCAGCTCGGGATCGTGCATCAGAGCCACGGCGAAGGACACTCGCCTCTGTTGACCACCACTGCAAAGAGACACGAACGCGATGGACATTAGCACAGTCGCGTGTTGATCGCTATAAGTTTGTGTGCGCCGCATTTGAGCATGACATGGAATAAATAGAAATCTGTAACTCCCGCCGAGCGAATTCATACATTCCCATACAATTTATCAATCATCATTGTTGTACATGGAAGCGCCAAACGCTGTTGATCATTTCGCACGCGCTTCTCTATATTCATTTCACAGCAATTCTCTTTTTTCCACATATTATCCAGAGTAATAATTTTGCTTTTTGGCCTCTTTGTCATGCCCAAAAGCTCAGCAATTTACTCCAAGGGGGAGATAATATGCCTTAAATCTGTACATTACTTCCAGACACTTGTAAACGTATTTGAAGGCATTTCTTGATACAAATTTCTGACTTTATGCTTAGATTTCGGATGTAGAAAATGTGCAAATTTTTTTTTACCATATTGTGAGGTTATGAATGCGGCTCAAAAATCTTTCTTTAACTAATTTGAATGTTTTTACACCAGAAAATCAACGAATATGGCCAAGAACACAATGTTTCTACAAGAGAATGACGTTAAATTTGCCACTTTTAAGCACAAATCGCGGAAATAACTAAGCAAAAATAGAATTTTCTAGACAGAAACGCCATTTCTGAGGTTATTATTGACTTTTAAGCTTTTTCTTACCTAATATGAAGTTATTTTGAAGAGAAAAAGCTAAACTTTACCAAGAAAAATAGATTAAACACAATTTTCATGATTTTAAGGGCTTTTTAATATGAAAAAGCTGTCTTAAATCAATCAAATAATCTAGAAAAAAACAGTAAAATTGATTTTTCTAAACAGAATTATGTTGAAAATGCCTCAATTTGTTGAAATAGAAGGTTTTGCAGTGCAAATAATCAACTGAAAGTATTATTTTCGTTGATTTTCCGAAAGCTCAATTGTGATTTCGTGGTCATTGAATTGATTTGCCTGGGAATTGCATCTCTTCACAATTTCAAAAGTGCACACAGCAAATAAAGGTTGTGCATTTCCATGGTGTGAGAGAGTTTTTTATTCATTGAAATTAAGTATTCTCAAATAAGAATACTGAAGAAATCTCCATGGATGTCAATTGATATTCAGATGCTTTTGCTTTTGTTGTTGATGAGCGAAACACTGCGACGATTGATTCTATAGCAGCAATAAAATATTCACTCCACGCAGACGATTTGCAAACGATAAGACTGCTAAAGAGTGTTGAGACATATTGTTTCGGCACATGAGCATTCTTCAGTTGGAGTGTCTTGAGTGTCTATCTGTGATGTATTAATTGGCTGGCGGCCTTGGTACGCGATCAACCATTCAATCTGGGTAATTTATGCCACTTTTAATATCTCATCCCCTCTCAAATTGCGCGATGTCAATGCGTGGAAATGACCTCTTTTGTGTGTTTGATTGCCAGGACTCACCTGAGGTTCTTCACGAGACGATTCTGCGAGGGCAAATCGAGAAAGTTGAGGAGAAACTGAAGTCTCTCCATAATCTCTGATGTCTGCATGCCAAAGATCCAGCCGAAGTACATCATTGTCTCTTTGATGGTGAACTCGCCATAGAGTGCGATCTCCTGCGGCATGTAGCCCACCTGCGCCCCCGGCACGCCGGAGCCCTTGGTGCCCGGCCGGCCGCCCAGCACCCAGATTTCGCCAGAGTTGAGACGCCGGCGGCCCACGATGCAGGACAAGAGGGTTGTTTTGCCACATCCAGAAGCACCCAAGAGGCCATATCTGTTGAAAGCATTGAGAATGTGAAAGAGAGACACTGAGCAGAAAGACAAACAGCATGTAAATCTGCGACTTTTGCTTCAGACGCGCGATATGGAGTTTCGTGTGACATTGACCCACTTTGGACGGATTAAACTCAGCTCGCTTATGTTATGTACACACTATCAACTTCAATGCAGTGTCATCGGCTAACCATAAAGTCTGTGGCGCTCGTACAATGGAAAGTCCGAGCTTTAATGCGTGTGAAAGTATATAATTTCACTTTCAATCTTCATTTTTCCGACTCGCGCGCTCCATTTACACTTCGCATCACCGGAGATGCAATGTGATGTCTGAACTTTTGCATACGAATTCACATGTATTTCACCTCCATTTCTTGTGAGAAGAGAGAGAAGAAGAAAAAATATCTGCCACTATGTAACGACCTTACTCAAAAGTAAATCGTTTGTGATGTCTTTCATAAGAAATTGCGCCCATTAAATAATATTTCCAGTCTCACAACTCCCCATAAATACATTTTATCTCCGCGCGCGCGCGGCGGTGTTTCTGGCCCAACGCTAGGAAAATCATTAGACTACACAACAATATTTCGACATTTTCGTTTATATACCATTTAAAGCCTATACATAAAATATTACGTATCTCTTTCTGCCAACAAATCATTTTTATACGAGCGCCAATACACTGAAAAAAAGTCCCAGCAAACGATCGATTTCAACTGATCCACTGATGATCAATCAAGTGTGTTTCCATGCCATGAGATTGCACAATTAGATTGTAGTGGAAGTCTTGCATTTCTTGTACGAATTCTTCATGCAACAATCATCGCAACGAGGAAAACTCGAGGGAATCTCTCGAATTTAACACTCTGTGACATGAATTTAGTACCGCCTTTTGATATTTTGTGTGAATTTCATGATGAATGGAGCAATTCTCAGTCACACAAGAAATGTTAAAAATGTGTTATATTGGTTTAACACACGCCTTTGCTTGTGTTATTGTCTAATGCGGCTCATAAATGTTAAACTGTGTAATTTTAACACGACCTCAAGAGGTTGTTTTAATGAATGTGTCAAAAGCTGAGTGACAGATCAGAAAATGCAGAATATCCAAGAATATCTTGTCAAAATGGATCAATCCGCAATTGTGGCTCTAATTTTCAAGCATGAACATGAATTATGTTCTCAGTAAATTCTTTTTATCACGGATTTACTAATTATGAACTTGAATATTACTGATTTTGACAAATTTCACAATTTTTCCTCTCTTACACATTGTAAAAATGCTTCAAATTCTAAAACACTGATTTAGCGAGAATAACAAGGTCTGTTTTTCCTTATTCTTTTGGGATGTTAAACTTTTACATGTTTGAACTTTAACACGTCTGTGTGTTACTGAGAATTGCTCCGAAATATTGAAAGAAGTAGAAAAATTTCTCCTGCATTTTTCTGTTGTAAAAATGTCAATTGTGACAAATTGGCGGATTTTTCACGCTACTTTTCAATGTACAAAAGCTCGGAAGTGGTGACAATGTTAGCCGTACAATTGAAAACGTACAGATAGCAATTAAAAGAGAATTTCGCTTGCCTCTGCGATCGTCAAAATGTATGAAAAAAAATACACAGAGATTGTCAGAAGTGTGTTGAGCGGCAAATTGCTTTGCCATTGCGACAAAACGCAATTGAGCGCCGTCTCAATGATGTGTTCGTCTCAATTATATCATTATCTTCATTAATATCATCAACTGCAGTCAAAGTTCATTAGTGTTACCTTATATAAATTCTTGAATTAGCAATCTAATGTCTGGCATAGAAACAAGGCACAATTTGTTCACAATTATACTAGGAAAAAAAAAAAACAGCTTAAGAGATGCAAAATCCGCTTGACTACTCTAAAACTGACACGTAGAAGAGTTTCTCAAATCGTTTTACGCCACACAAATGCACTTACGGAGTTCTTTTTAAAAACTTTTGACTCAGAGCTGCATTATGATTAATTACGGCGGCTGTTGTGGGAATTTTCTAATAAATAATGCGCTACCTTCCAGTTTGCCTTGGTTGCAAATGGAAAAAAAGAAATATTCATTATACGCACGAGTCAGGAAAAGTGGTTAAAAAGAAAAATCACACAATTATGCATCATCTTTTCGCAGTTTTAACAGTAAAACCGCAGACTAAATGCGTCAAGTGGAAAAATTCTACTCGTTGCTCAACTTACATTGTCCCTTTGGCTACTGTCATATTGAGGTTACTGAGTACTTGATTTGGTTTTGACTTAGATCCATACTGTTTGAAGGCATGCCGCACAGACACCGCCTGTTGCTGTCTGTTCCACATGGTTCCTCCATCCTCAATTGTCGTTACGTTTGTATCACTGCCTCTGAAAAGGACGAGAGAAGAGATTGGCATTAATTTCCATTCATTTCGGTACACTTCCATCCCACAATTAATCACTTATGCACATACTTTTACCCAGAACACCCGTAATTAATTGGATTAAAAACGAAAGATTTAAGTGCGCATCAAGACACGAACCCCATTTTACCAATGAGCCACAACAATATACAAGAGTAAATAATTGCGTAAATATGTACACAAGTGTTTCCTCACATCGATAAATTGATTTAGAGAAATTAATCAGTTTCTTTAGACTCATAATTTCAACCACAAATTTCACCATTCTCAAAAAAAGTTGAATTTTCAGCTCATTCAAAGTGTTTTGACGCATAAATTCACTGTAAAAATAAATAATTAACTTGAATCACGTCATTTAATGCCCCAACTGAACAATATGACGAATATTTTACACGAGGTGATGAAATTAATCTTCAAGAGACCTTTGAAATTCATTGCACAAATTTCATTGAGGGTCACTGAAATGAGATACATAAGTCAAGAGAACTTCAAGAGCACAAAGTTACTTACGTTATTAACATTATTGTAAAATTCCTCCTAGCTTAATTGTCAGCAGAAACTAGCAATAGTCGCAGTTCTGCGTACTGTTGGTTGTTGTTTTTTGGCGGGAAGAAAGGAAGAAAGGATTCTTTTTGATTTTTCAATCCTTTGTCTCAATGGGGAAAAATTGTGGATATTTTTTGTCAATATTTGGGTTAATTTAATTCACAAAAACTATTTGTTTTCGAAGCATGTAACGACTTTCTCGCAATTGTCTAGTCGTAAATATTTAACTTCAATACAATTGAGCGCATTATAAGATAGTCATCAAGGTGTTAAGTGCAATTAACACATTTTGTCAAAGATATTTTCGCACAGACTGAGCGACTCTTCAGTGAATCCGCCTTGCAAGGCTGCGTTGTCAGTCTTGAGCTTGAAGTGAATTTGATAGATTGCAAGTGACAAATCCGGAGTGTTTCAATCAAATCATAACACATAAGATTCCTTATTGATTAAAGGTGATTCGCTGTTCTTGACAAATCACTTAAATTGCACTTTGCACCTGAGAGGATTGACACTCGCTTGCGACCTTGATATAATTCCGCGATGTTTGTTGGAAAATGTGATAAAATTGATGTATTTTTCACAGCCAACTCATTAGCTTTGATAAGTGTGTTGTCGTGAGATGCAAAACAAATAAAATGCGGCGTTAAAATCTATTCAAATTGTAACACTTGAAGCCTATTAACAAATTAATAGACCCTTTCAACGTTTATAGTTGGCGACTAAGAAACTTCCAAGGGGTTGCTAATATTCAGGATTGAGGGTCACTTTTGAAAAAAACAGACATTTTATCTTGTTATCTCTTCTAAATATATTTATAAAATAATTCTGCACAATTTTTAAGGACATAAAACCGAATTTCTTGCTTGAAAAGCTTTCAAAGTAGCAAATTTTTGATCTTTAATCGGATTTTTACGATTTTACGCAAGGTTTTACGACAAACACGAGTGTGAAGCTGGGAAAAACCTCCTGATTTTTGCACATAAAAGAATCTTTAACAATGCTGACGAAAATCTGTAGTCGAGAGAATAAAGAAACACCGTAAAGTGTCCTTAAATTGCTCAATATTCTTCTTAAAGTAACCCTAAAATTCTTTTTTCTACCCGCAAAATACATTTTCCTCGCAAAATCTTCTAATTTCTGTAATTAAACACAAATTTATATATATATTTATATATAAAACTTCTCCTGACGAGGCAATTTGACGCCTAAAATATATTTTTGTCCTTCATTTTCCACTCTTTTTCTCTAAATTTCGCAACAGAATTCCCGACTCTGTCTTTTTGGGCATATTTTCTGAGATTTAAATCTTAAACGGAGGATTGTGAAGACACAATCTGATGCTGAGGCACTCAAAATCCATATTATCAACCCCTCGGAAACTACTGAATACGCTTAGATTTTTCCCGTGTCGATTTTATGAATGTTTGTAACACAAGTTTTTCATCGTGCACTGCCACAGTTGTTTCTTTACATTGAATATCTGTTGAAATGAAGGCAAAAATATTATGCTTACTCCGTGTCTTCCGCATTTTGTATATGAAATGTCATTCTATTTATTGACAATTATTTGATTACCCTACAAAAGACTTTGCAAACGACTTCAGAGGAAAATAAATAATATATGCAATCAAAATGATTGCTCGTTGAAACGAAAATGAAAAATTGGTTGCAAACAGAGACACATTAAATGGAGTTTTGCGAAACTATACTTGGCCAATGTGAGGAGGACTCAGAGGAAAAACCCTAATGACTGGTTCATGCATTTTATTGGAAAAATGAAGGATAAGCCCACTTCCTGTTCCACACAGAAAAGCTCTCTCTCTGGGACTGCACAGCTCAAGATACTGCAGAGACCGGAAAATTCTTTCGACATGCGTGTATGCAATAAATTGTTCATTATTTTTCATTAGAATTTCTAAGTAATATTGCGTCGTTTGTTGCCTTTGGACTCTCTCGGGTGATTTTTTGTCTTCAGAACACTCAACAGTGGAGAAGTTAAGTGGGAATGAGTAATTATACAACGCTAATGCAGCTTTTCCAGACCGATTTTTCCACTGGTGGAAAAATAAATGTGGTTTTCATTGAATTCAAAACAACGGTACACGAGTTAACACGGTGATTAATGTGAAACTCCGAAAGAGTTTCACATCGTAGAAGCAAAAGAGACGACGAGAGAGAATCAGGAAGATATATTGGAAATTTCCTGTGGTGAAATGCAGTATTTTTCCGCCAAAAAATAGTGTTTGTCAAGCTGACTGTGAGTCAGAGAAATTCCCATCAATTTTCAGATTGATTTCTGGTCATTTTGGGGGAGTAAAATTGAGAAACAACACAAAATTCCACACTCTGAAGTTCTCTGAGTTCTTCATGATGACAAATTTCTAATAAAATATCACAAAATTTTTTATTAATGAAGTGAACGAATGTCGGTTCTTTATGTATTGCAGAGTTTAAAACACTGGGATTAAAACGCGTTTCTTACATTATATTTTGTGTTCATAATTACGAAGGCCTTTAACTTTCGATTTCTTCACTATGATATGTGCTTAAAGATACTTTTATACACCTCACAAGCGCACATTTTGTTGTATATACAAACATGAGAAGCAATTACTGCACCAAGATCGGGTGTTTTCTGTGGAAAATGATGCATCAGATAGTTTAGAAGGATTGATAATTCCCTCGCTTTTGGCCCAAAACAATGCCTCAACACACAAGAAGAATGGCTATTGTGGACAACACGAAGAAAGGCTTTTTTTTCTCTCCATTAAAAGTCGTCGAATCCCAAGCAATTCCAATGATTTCATAAGCAATCAGCACAAAGAGAATTTACTCTTTTATGTGTCATTTCGATATGACTTCCATCCAGCACAAGAAAAGATGTTTTCGACAGCAAAATATACAACCATCAAGAGAGTCGCGTTGCCAATGAGTCTATCATTTTGCAATAGAATTGCACAATATGAAATATGGAAAATAGAGTGAGTTCCAAATTCCAATGAAATTAACACATCCACACGCAGATCCTCTCTAATACCACTCAATGTGGTTGAACTATATATTTTTTTCTATCTGGTAGTGACAAAAATATCCACATTTTATCCGAAAAAATATATTATTTAAATTCTTATTTCCACGCAACAGTTGATTGTACATAAAAACGCGAATGCTGGCAAAATATCCGCAATTACATTATGTACGTGAAACTCATTTTAAATGAATTACATTTCCATTCACTTGCAATACAACTAAGTTTTAAGCCACCTAAGCAGAGTTGGAATATATCGATAAGGTGGCTTATTTTTGGGATTTACTACAATCGTGGCGTATTGGAAATGTTAAAATAAAATGAGAAGGAAAAATCTTCAGCGATAGATCCAAGAGCGTTGCTGATTGTGCACCTATTGAGATTCACTCACAACTGACGACGCAACACTTAAAACTAATTGCAATGTCCTTCGGTATCCTGGATTTAATTGTCTATAGCACAGCACTGAGAAGAGAGTCAATCACACTCCGTCCCGGGTCGAAATCATTGAGAGGATAAGAGAGACAATTGGGAAGAACTGAAGGAATTCACACACAGCGTTATGAAATCGACATCCTCAATGGCGAACGAACCGAAAGCGACTGGAGACAGTGCTTTTGTGCAGCAGTAAAAAGGCGCGCTTAGCTTGGAACACGGCGCGACTTTTGGAGTCGAGCTTTCGCGTGGAAGGGGTTTCAATTAAATAATATTAAATACAACAACATGATTGAGTAATTTTTTTTTTAAATCTGCAGTGGCAAAAAGAAATCCACCGATTTGTCTCTGTGTTGGAATATTGTTATGTGCAAACCAAGACTTGTGTGTGTGTGTGCTGCAAATACCATCTTGTCCATGGAAATACATTAAAAATTGAGCAAATGAGACTCTCCTGTGCTTGTAGTGTAAGCTCTTTTGCCAGCGATTTCGCATTTAGTGTCATGGATGATGTGGAGAAACTTGAGTCTCGAGGAGAGCCTCTGAGTGCTTCTGCACTTGGCAAGCAGAGGCGACAAGCGAATGACTCTCGCTGATCTAAAATGCTTTTTGGCGACGATAATAAATATTATTTATGTAAATTTATGGGTCGTTGCAACAGTACGGAATTCGTATTTAAGTTCGTAAAAGTTATCAATTTGATAGTGCGATTTAACTTTTTGATAGTTTATATTGGTGGCCGCCTGGCGGCGCTAGTGTGAAGTACGACTGAGATACAAACGAGAAGGCGTTGCAAGGCAAATTTTGGGTTTATTTAATACTAATATCAGCTGTCAAACACGAAGAATGTATTCAACAGGACGAAATAGTGACAATAATAGTGTTTCCGATGGAATTCTTGATAGATTTTCCTAACCGGAATGTCCGGGAAGATCTCTTAAATGTCAGATGACAGATTAAAAACATGATAATTGTCTATTTTCTTGGTTTTCATGTGAATTTTCCGGCTTTTCTCGTCTTAACACGACAAAAAACAATAATTGATAAATTCCCCATATTAGTAAATAATATGAATCATAATCTTGCAACAGCTTTTTATGAATTTGTATTTTTGACAACTTATTTAAAATGTTATGAAAGTAAAGTTGCAACGACACCTTAATTGCAAATTTTTTCTACTTCGTTTAATTAATTTCTGTAAGAAATATAAGAAGTTCATCACTTCGTAGAATTTTATCAATTTTTCTGAAGAATTCTTGTTACCAATAAAGTACGAAATCTTATCGGAATGCTCGAAAATGTTGAGAAAAAAAGATTTATGCATTTGGAAAAACCTATGAAATTGAATAAGCGCTTCATATTTTGCATATTTTTTGTATGCAAATCATAAAACTGATATTCAATAGGCTCTACGAATACGATTTAGAGGATATATAGACATAAGAGTAAACTAATTGTTCTGTTAACCTTCCGAGTTATTGAAAAAACTACATTTTTCTCACGACTTGTGAATGCGCGAATGATAATGCATGAATGGATTTCCCCGCAATTCTTAACAAAACACTGACAGAAAGTGAACTAAAATTGATACAAACTTATAGAGTTATAATTTAATTCAGAGATGATAAATCTATATATACATTGACTGAAGACAATCGCTCCACAATTGATGCTCTTCGCATTATTTGGTGGAAATCATATGCAGGCATTGTCTTTCGCACGTGTTATTAATGCTTCCAGAAGTCTCAGAAGCAATTGCTAAATTGCCGATTTGTTTTTTTTATTTAAGATATACTTTACATACAACTTTGTATATGAAAACTGCAAAGGGTATTGAAATCTTACCACGCCACGTGAAGACGATTCAGTGACCTATTCGGCCTTGGCATAATTTTCAAACTATTAGGGCGTGTGATGTGTGTATCTGTTATTGCTGATTTGCCAATATAAAAGGCGATTGAAATTGGTTAGCTTTTCAATTATTGAATTAGACAAAAATATTAAAGATTTGTAATCTTTTTGAAGTCAAGATTGTTCAATTTTGTTCATTTCATTCTGACAATACTACATTATGTCGATAAATCTATTTAATACGGTTTGTTGTTACTAAATATCAATTTTCAGAGTTCTAAGAAATTCTTTTTATACAAATAATTCAGAATGGAAATAATTTTCATGCTTTCTGGCATTAAACTATGAAAATTTGACTATTAATCGTTAAAGTTGTACATTTTTTTTCGAAGAAAATCAAATTGCAGTCAAACATATTAAATGTGGATTTTTCTAAAATGTTATTAGACTTTGAATGAATTTTCATTATTATTTAACATATTTTTGAATTTTTTCCCTTCAAAAAGTTGTAAGAAAGTTAATTTTAAATGTAAGAAGTTGATATTTTAGAACTTGTGTGGTTAAAATGTCAAATGATCTTTGAAAAATACTATTTTCATTTCTCCAATTACCTTTAAAATATCAACAAGATCAGATTAAGTGCGTTTGAGGGTAATTTTGGCAAATTTCTCATCAATATTAACGAAACATTTTCAATTTCTTCGATTCACAATAATAGACTTTCCTCCAGACAATGAAAGTGTCAGTAGGTGAACGTCTCCAAATGCATCCAATTGACACACATTCGGTGAGATGATTTTATAATTTATGACAAAATATAATCTACGAGGCGCAAAAGCAGCCTTCTTGTGTGCCACCAATATATGCACAAGAAACCATATATAAATCCGACACGACGGAAACTTTCACTGGTTGTGATGTAATTGATTACGCGGTATTTCAACATTATGAAGATAAACAAAAGTAGCGCAGGTGATTTCAGCGTGGCCAGCACGTAACCACCAATGCCACCGGTCAGCGGAGTCCGACGTCCAGCGTCAGACTGCCGTCTTGGCCGGGCGCGAGGGGCGCGCGCCGATGGAGGAAAAAACAAACGACCTTGTTTCAGCCGCCACTTCAAATTTAAACTATATGTGCGATACATTATGTGTGTAGAAATTTTGCAAGACTCTCTTCTCTCTCTCTCACTCACTCTCGTGCCATCGCGGCGATTTGTACATAACTCTGGTGGTCAATTTGGGCAGATGAAGCGCGCTAAAATGACTGAGCAGAGCTGAGAAGATGTGAAAGTCTCACTGTGAGGAGCATCTTGGTGATTTGCACCCAAAGAAAGTACAGGAGTGACCTTTCACTTTCTGCCTCGATAGCACTATTAAATGTTATATTTAGATAGGTAATAAAGACAAAGTTTTGCGAAAAAAACTATTATGACACGGCGTAATAATCTCCAAATCCATTCACAAAAACCCTTGTTCACTTCTTAGATACAGTCTTATCTCTCCCACAGACATTATATGGCGATTAACGTCAAGATAGCGAACATTTGAAGTGGATGATCAAGAAGACTTTTGTTGTCTTTGCAGTTGGAAATGCTCAAAAAACGGAATCCATATACAACCATTATTAATGTATGCGATTAATCGTCAAAGACGATGACATAGAGATTGATAAATTGAGTGGGATTAGTGTGAATTACATCTCTCCTCGTATATCAGTCGATAGCTCAAAATCGAAGAGTTCGCACCTCATTTCGCGACACGTGAACTCATCATTCTGTGACTTTGCAAAGGATCGTCTTTGGATATCCATTGTGACAATGAGGAGTGTTTTCGCCTATGGAATTGGTGTCTTGATTTTGGCTGTAGTTTTCATTGGCGCAGGTTTTGTGGTGGCCAAGTAAGTCACTATCTTGAAGACCTTCAATTTGATAAGCATCACTTTTCACCATTATTCCATTGGCCATAATAGTGCGGAACATTTTCCCACAGTTGCTCTCTAATGGACAATTGTAGGGGCAATTTTACTAAATGAATATGTATAGATTCAATGCTTCGATTCATAAGTGTTAGTTTGATTAGTCATATTTAATAAATTTCTCCCTCAATCAATGAACAAAAAACGGTAAAAGCTTCCAAACTTCACGTCTTATGAACAGAAGAACACGATTGAAATGTTAGTTGGCAGTAAATCATCGTATATGATTTCTCTACATTTCTTGGAAAGATGTTTAGCAGAAATTTCATAATATATAATTGAGACATTCTTAAGCAATATCAAAGTGAGCGAAATATGTGATAAAACAATTTATCTTTAGAGACCAATAACCTATCATTTGTGTGCTCTTAAACGGACAAATGTTTTCTTCACATGATCTCTGCTGAGTGACTTGTAATTTTTCTTATATAACATTTAAGAAATAAAGTGACATGTGAAATTTATGATTTTCCTCTCATAAAATTAAGACAGTGTATTGAAAAGATAACGCCCCAGTGGAGTCTTCAAAAAAAAAAACAGTATCTGTTTTCAATTGCATTGTGATACTGCTCAAGTGCTTAGATTAGATAAAAAGCCATAAGATTGAAATCTTTGCGAAAATTCTTCTAAAATGAGATCAAGTTCATAAAATTTCAATGATGTTTCGCAACATAATTGCTGCTCAAGACGAAATTTGTCGGCTCGTTACAATTAAAAAAAGACACTCGAGATTTTGCACTGCCATCAAATATTTTCATCGACAATTCTCACCTTGATTTGAGATACAAAAAGAGGTGAAAAAGTGTATTCAATGAGTAGTTTTCAGCATTAATTTGACAGCAATCTTGGTAAGGGAACAAAAATCACACGTTGAAATGTGGTTTTCAAGATTCTTTGGGTCATTAGCTCTTCAACGATGCCTCACTTGGCCCTCTAGGCGCTCAGATTCTCCTCCTGGAACCTATTTTCCCCTATTTTCCTCCGCTTTGCCGCAAATTTGTGCTCATATCTCGCTCAATTTTCCACGGATTTTCCCCAAATTGGGCTCAAATGATACATATTGAAATTATCTACTACTTTGTCAAACATTATGGGAATTTTAGATCACTTCTTGTTGGTCAGAAACGAGCTTTTGTGCACCACTTGGTAAAAAATTCGCCTGTTTCTTGGCCACATTATATTAAATATCTCCGAAACCAAAAAACTTTTATGACAGATTGTTTTTCCTATATATAGAGCACTTCTGGGGCTGCATTTCTCCCATATATTCTAAAGCGATATTTATTCTTTATCTTTCTGAAAAAACAGGGTTTTTCCTGGACAAGTTCGGTCTTCTATAAGAGAAAATTCAGATCAGAAGCATTTTCCAAGGAGTCTTGTTTCCCCAGCATAACTTTCCATTGCAAGTGTTGGTCGAAATGGGAATTATGTTTGTAGAATGTGCAAATTTCGAGTGGCATTGAAATAACCATGAATTCAACATGGTGGAAAATTTGGTCTAATTTCTCTGCGACTAAAATATTGGGTGTGTGATATTATATCACATTTAATGATAACATGACATAATAAACTATATTAATGAAACATTTATGAATGCACTTAACATCAAATAATAGAGATTTTGAAATTATTAGAGTAGGTTATGTATGTGCAATTCATGACTCTCAGTTTTCCTCTAATAATTTTGAAACTGAGACACTTGGAATGACACACTCTGTGCAAGAATTCAAATATATTTGGTGCTCACTTATTTGCAAAATTCTCGCATTCGCTTATCGTCAACCCAGTGATTTGGAAAAATAGTTTTCGAAGTGGGAAAACGAATAAAGATTGAGCGGAACAACTTGTGCTCTTTATATACAAATTTGAATATGATTTTAAGGCTTGGTTTTTGGCACACAATTAAGAAGACGGCTCAAGAGTAGATAAGAATTTCTGCAGACAAGCATAAGTTCAACATATGTATCTCAGTTCTCTGGAGTTGATAGGACAATTGAAGAGTTCAATATCCTTTTGCAGAGTCATCACGATTGACAATGTGCCATCAGACGAGAAAGAAGTCTCGGACATTCTCTCGGAGATTCGCCAAGTGATGAGAAGCTCTGAATACAATGTCAACGCCTATTTGGTCACTGAAAGTGATTCTTATATGGTAAGAAATGGCTGCGGGCGAAATTTCATGAGCGCTGAGTTAATCTGAATTGTTGTTTTTAGGGAGGACGATCGGGAAGAGTGGCTTATGTGAGTGGCTTCACAGGTTCTAATGGTTTCGCCATCATTGCTGACTCGAAGGCTGCAATTTGGGTAGATGGTCGATACCATTTGCAGGCCGACAATCAGGTGGACACGGAATATTGGGAGATAATGAAGATTGGAGTACCGGGAACGAAGAGCCACGAGGAGTGGCTGCGGGACAATCTGCCCAGCAATGCTCGAGTGGGATTGGATCCAAATATCTTCACGCCGAGTGAATTTAATCGCTACTCGAGCTACTTGAAGACATTTGGTCACGATGTGGTCTCCATTTCGGACAATCTCGTGGATTTGGTGTGGTCAGATCGTCCCGAAATCACCCTGTCTGAGCTTGAAGTGCAGCCATTGAGATTCAGCGGTCAGGAGATTGCTGACAAGCTTTCGGTCATTCGTGGTGATATTGAAAGTTCCAATGGCGAAGCTCTCGTCGTGTCGGCGCTGGATGAGATTGCATGTAAGCTTTCACGAATTTCGTATAACTCCAGGCGATAACACATAGCTTTTGAAGCTTACGCGCAATTTCATTGTGCTTTCGACAGGGTTGCTCAATCTGCGAGGCAAAGATTTTGCCAGAACACCCACATTCTACGCACACGTTATCATTACGATGAACGATTTGTACGTCTTCTTCCACGAGAATCGCAATGTTCCTGACAACATTAAGAATCACATTAGAGATGAGTCGAAGACAAACTGTGTCTTTGATTACACGTACGAGAACTTCATCGCTGGACTGCAGAAAGTGGTGAGTTAATGTAGGACAAAACGTAATGAATGTGATATAAAAATGATGTGATATACATTGTAATGATCAATATAAACCAAGGGGGAGATAAGGTACCTTGAAACTGTACACCACTTTTCAAACTTGAATTTTGTAGTCTGTTTCCACATTGAGTCCCATGCAATGCCTTCAAAAATGCACTAAAAACGCTTTTTTGGACATCTTTTCCGATCATAACCTCAAAAATATCACTCAAAGATCGGCATAAACTCCGTTTCGAAGCATTCTAGAAGACAAAATGGTCTGATTATGTTTTGCCAATGAACATAAACTACTGATTTAGAGTCAAAATCGTCCAAAAAGTACTCTAAATGAACATTTTTAACGTTCCAATGACACTTTTTGAGGTTATGTTCGATTTCAACACAATTTTCAGTGTTTCTTGGCATCAAACTAGCAATCTTTCCGAGTTAAATATAAGAATTGATGTGCTAGATTCCAAATTATTCATTAAATCTTTTCTTGATTTATTACATAACCTAGAAAAAATTATTATGATTGATTCTTCGAGAAAATCTTGATGAAAATTGAAAGAAATCCAAAGAATTTGGATAATTTGTCAGTGAAAAGAAGCACTGAGGAATGGAGAATTGCAAGCTTTTCAATACTTCCACTTCTTAAGTACTTCTGTTGAGTTGTACACCACTTCTGACTGTGTTATCTCCCCTTGATATAGACTATTGTTTAGTTGATTTCGATTCACTGTAAAATCTCACATAATCACAAGTCCATCGGAGCAGAGCTCAGCTTGAGCCTGCCAATCCAGTTTTCCACGCCTTGAGAGAGTTTAGCGTAAGGCAGTGCATGACAAATTATTGAATTGCAGGTGAGTGAAACCACCAAGTACATATTAATTCCATCTGGGGGCAACCAAGCGACATTCGAGCAAATTCCCGCCGAGAGACGATCCGTCGTGAGCGGCTACAGTCCCATTGCGCGGCGCAAGGCGGTGAAGAACGCCGTGGAGGCTCAAGGGCTGAGAGATTGCCACGTGAGAGACAGTGTCGCCGTCATTCGCTACCTGCACTGGCTCAACGTGACCATTGGCACGGAGACAATCACTGAAATCAGTGGAGCGACGGTGCTTGAAGACTTCCGCAGCCGGCAGGACTACTTCAAAGGACTCAGTTTCGGATCCATCAGCGGATTCGGGCCCAACGGCGCCATTGTGCACTATTCGCCCACCGAGGAGACCGATCTCGAGATCACCACCGAGGGTGTTTATCTCATTGACTCAGGCGGCCAATATTCGTGAGTATTTCCCGATGGCAATTCCCAACATAGCGCGAAATGTGAGTGAACCTGTGACCTCACCATGACGACGATTGAGGCCGCGCGCTTTTCTGCTTACGTTTGGCAAAATTCTCAAGTGAATTGACTTCAATGAATGGGCAGTTTTGGGCAAATGGACAATGACGCAGACGATTAACGTGAATTATGATCATTTTTCTTCTCTTTTGCGATAGACATTCAAAAAGCGCATGTTAATTATGGATTTTTAACTACATTGTAATCGCACAAGATACAAAAACTCGCAAAATATATCAAAATGACATTAGGGGGGCTCAACATCACGAAATATGACAAAAAAGAGGAGGGTCACTTTTTAAAAAAACACATTTTCGCTAAAAAAACACTATCGCTAGAGGTGCTGGAGTCAAAAAAACGATGTTTTGAAAATTTTGAAATGGAATAATTCGTAAATTATTTTGGGCTTGTTGGAAAGTTCTAGAATAAATCTACAACTATATAGATGAACAATAAAAGGTCATCTGATCACTCTGATCATCATTCCAAACGGTGGCGTTAATAAGAAAATTTAAGAAATGGTTGGATTCTTTGATAGTCAGATTGAGATTAATCCAAAATATCCTTGTTTATTTCTCATCCAGTGATGGCACAACAGATGTCACAAGGACCATCCACCTGGGACAGCCCACGGAAGAGGAGAAGCTGGCGTACACGCTCGTCCTGAAGGGACACTTGGCCATCGATCGCGCCATCTTCCCGCCTTCCACGCCAGGATCGCACTTTGACGGTCTCGCGCGACAGTTCCTGTTCCAGGAAGGCATGGACTATGCCCACGGCACAGGTCACGGCATTGGGGCCTTCATTGCTGTCCACGAGTACCCGCCGTCCATCAGCAGTGCCGCCGGCTCTCCGGGCTTCGTGGAGAATATGTTCGTGTCTAATGAGCCGGGCTATTATGAGGCAAACTCTTTTGGAATTCGCATCGAAAGTATCGTTCAGGTGGTGAAATTCGAAGGGAAACCCGGAATGAGGGATTTCAACGGCCGTGGCGCTTATACATTCCAAGTGGCCACAATGGTGCCTTTCCAGCTCAGGATGATCAACACAGACTTGATCACAAAGGAGGAGGTAAGTGTGTTTTTTCACACGCTTTTAATTACATTGAGACAGTCAGCAAATACTTTAATTAGCAGTTGCTGAACTGTCGGTAATTCCCCAAAAAATATTTCACGGGGCAAGAGGCGATAAAGTCAGCAGAATAATTTTAGACCATTTTGATTGTTTTTCAAGATATGAATCACAAAACGAAGAATGCTTCCCATCAGCATGAAATAATTTTTGTCGAATTGCACCGGCACGTTCATGGTCAAATATTTGTATTTTTGCATTGAAACTCAAGTGTAATTACTTCACTAGAAGAAAATTCAGACAACCTTCTCTCTTTCCACCACATTTGCTATCGCTTCCACTGATGATATATTTAATGTTTTTTTTCTCTCTTTGCTGATATCCCTGAAGTAATTTTTGCTTACAGAATTCATTTAAAGAAATCTAAATTAGGTTTCCAATCACTTTGGCACGAAGGAAGCTTCTGGAGAAATATGTGTTGTTGATAAAATTGAAATTATACTCAAACACTGTTTTCTTTTTCATGGAAAGAAAAAATATTATTTTCTGTAGTATTTTTCCTATTTATTTATTTGAATTAACTGACACACTGATCCAATTTGTGTCCAAATCACTGATTCACTTTAGAATGTGCCCAAATTGAAACCGGCCTTTGGCATTTTCTGGACGAAATTACACTTTCCAGACCAGGAAATTTCATGTCATTCGACTTTGGACATTCCTTCTGCATGACGCAAATGGCATATTAAAGTTTCCACTTATCATAACTCATTCCACGCAGTGCAGAGTTCATGGATGAGTTACATATGATTAATATTGCATTTCATTGTTGTCATTAACAATTCTAGGCTGAACAAATTAATGCATATCATCGAGAAGTTGTGGAGACTGTTGGAGACTTGCTCAGGACTCAAGATCAAGAGGCTTACAATTGGCTCTTGCTTGAGACCGAAGCCATTGAATCGACAATGCTGTGAAGGAAGACAATCGAGACTCAGTCTGACGAAATGCATTGGATTTAAGCCAGTCTTTCTGTACATGTAATGTGAATAAATTACGTCAGATTATCCAGAATAAATAAGGAATTCCGCGAAGCGATTGTCATGACGTTAGCAGAAGATACAACATTGGTTATTGTTTATCGAAAATGAGACTGCGTATGGGATTATTGACTAATCATCACTTTGCCGCATTCATTGTAATCTCATGAATACTTTATAAGGTACACTTGTGTGATATGTACACAAACAATGTGTCGAAGGAGGAAAAGAAGGGAAATTCTACGCACAAGGAATCCCATTTTCACCGACGCACACGTGAAATCCTTCGGAATTCACTCACGGCAGAGACGCTAATAATTGCAAACTATGGACATGACCTCGTGTATTAGATGAGAAAATAGTTATTAGTTAGGCAGATTTCATATCGCAATAATGTCAGATAATTTCCATAGGTTTGATGAGCCAGACACACAACTTAATTAAAGCCTCGTGTGCAATTGATATCGCCATTAACATCCGTATATTGTTGACGCTTTGACTTTGACTCTTCTTGTGCACGTTTTGTCTCGTGCATCAGCATGAAAAATGTGAATTTGACCTGCACATTGGTGGGAAAAGCGTAGGTAATTCCCATTAGGAACTAAGTGCTGAAATCACCAATTATGGTGACACGAATGAAAAGATATTAAGTTTGCGGTAAATTTATTTCTAACGTAAATCACTTTTTGGGTGATTTATAAAGTAACTCTGTCGTCACCAAGGAGGAGATAATAAGCCTCAAATTAATACACTTCAGAACGTCTTTAAAAGCACTTTCCATTGCTTTTTCTGACTTATCAGAATTAAATCTAAGTTTTGCCTTCAGAAAATGCTTTGAAAATTCCTTTTTGGGCAAATTTAGATCTTTTCAAGCCTAGAAATGAGTAAATATAGTGAAAATCTGGATGTTTCTAGATATTTTTGAGGTTATGATTGAATTTAAAGCTTTTTCTCGATCGACATGAAGTTTTATCGCTCGAAAATGCTCAAATATTCTCACTTATCACAATCTAATCTGTGTTTTGCCTTCAGAAAATGCTTTGAAAAACTCTGATCAAATTGTGAGGTTATGAATTCAACTTAAAAATCCTTCTTGGCAAATTTATATCTTTCGAGCCTAGAAATGAGTAAATATAGTGAATCTTTCAATGTTTCCACAGAAATAACCAAGCAAAGTGACATTTTTCTGCATTTAACTGATATTTTTGAGGTTATGGTTCTCTTTTAAGCCTTTTCTCAGTCAATATGAAGTTTTTTTTTCGACTAAAAATGCTCAAATATACCAGGAAAAGAGAAATATTCTCAATTGAAAGATAAATTTGTTGATTTTATTGGTTATTTAATCACCAAATCTGTCTTAAATCGATCACATAACCTAGAAATTTAATAAAATTGATTTTTCTAAGTAAAATAACTTAGAAAATGCATCATTTTGTTGAAACAGAAGCTTTAGCAATATAAATATTCTAAAATCTTAATATTTTAGCACTTCCACAAAATCTGTACACCACTTTCGACTATAACATCTGCCCCTTGATCGCCACAAGTTGTTGACTCACTGAATTTAAGGGAGTTTCAAGAAAATAAAACAATAAAGTAGTCAAAATCTGAGATATTATGGAAGAAAATTATATCGCTTTGAGAGAATTTTCATAAATGAATATCGAATAATCTCTACTGTAGAAAAACCGGATCTACTGAGACCTAAAAAATAGACAAACCCGTCAAACTCATGAAATTGTGAGTGTGAAGAATCTAATCATGTTCTGATCTTCAAATTTTCATTCCTTTTGATGAATTGCGCGAATATTCTCGATACCCAATTTCATTGTTCTGCTGTAAGAAATATTTCGTTCAAAGTGTGGGTGTTTAATCGATATTCCATGAATTTTAAAATTATTCGTGAGCTGATAACAGTCAAAGCATCATTAAGTCGACGCGCGTGGTTCGAGTTTGTTCCAAATTTAGGTGCAAAACAAATATGAATTATCAAGATTACTTCCCGTGAACCGTTCATGGTGCTTTTTCATTGATTTCTATGGCTTTGTCAATTGATTTACACTTGATGATATTTGGCTCTAATTAGCACTCATTTGACTCATTTTCACTCTGTGCTGATTTTGGAAAACCGATCGAAATTGCTTCTCAACGCCACAGAGAGAGAGAAAGATGTACAAATTGCGATTGTGCAGTTCGTCTCATAAGGGCTCTTATGTGTGATTTTGCAACACTGAAAATTTCTACTTGTGAAATTTTCCTCCGTAGAAATCTGGCGCGTGAGTGAAAATTGTGAAGTAGCAAAATACCTTGAATTTTGACCCGTTTGGGCATTCCTCCAGAGAGAATTGCCAATCATTGTTCAATTATCTAACAATATACAGAAGAGAAAATATTCTGCTCCTTTTTGTTACACTTTAATCAATACACTCTTGACGTTGGATATTTTATTATTGATTTGTGATTGATTTTGGGTGGACAATTTTTGATCAAATATTTCAACAAAAACATTTCAATAATGTCTCAGTGCGTAATTGAATATGAAGAGTAGCGTTCATAATTTCACTCTCGATACTGGATTTCAATTAAAGTGCGTCAAGTAACAGCCAAGTTGATTATCCAGCGACCACTCTCTCTCTTGAGCCACGACTTGTACAAAGACGCTCAGTATGCACGGCTCGCGCCTTCTTATGCAATCTCCATTTTCAAATAATACTCTTCGCCGCTTTTGTCCACTCAACTCCGCGCGAATAACATTTACGAGAGAATATTGGAAATTCCACATTTATTGAGCCACTCAATGGGAGGGAAAAAGTGTATTAAATATCTTATATTCTACTATAAAAATGAGCCCAAGGAGGACAACGTGGCTTTCCTTGCGACAAGTTCATGGGTTTTTAATGAAATTGGGACTCAAATATTGATTTTTTTCTTCTGTACACATTCCATTTTCTCATAAACTCTTGACCACCTCTAAACATTTTCCAATGTAGCGAAAGAACGACAGTTGACAGTGTATTGCGAAATGTTTATAAAACACTTACGTTTTGGTCGGTTTTATTTGCATGTTTAGCAAATCTACATTAATATCACTACTTGCGAATTCACTTGGAGTAGTATTCAAATCAGTCGAAATGCTCTTGTCACAAAGAACCAAAGCGGATCCTGGTCAAGTACGTCAACTCGCGAGAATGTCTTCAGTCGATTTGACTGCTTACAACGCCGGCACTTGCCGATATGAAGGAAATAAGAAGAAATCCTAACAGATTACAGAAGTCATTCAATTTATGGCTGATAAGAAAACAAATGTCAAATAGGTACTTTCAGAGTGTTGTAAATATTAATGATTTGTATGCGTCATACTCTTCACAATTTCCGGGAAAAAATATAGTTAAAATCGACTAACTGGATAATTAGAGCAATTCTCAGTCACACAAGAAGTGTAAAATATGTGTTATATTAGTTTAACACACGCCTTTGCTTGTGTTATTCTCTAATCTGGCTCATAAATGTTAAACTGTGTAATTTTAACACAACCTTCAGTGGTTGTTTTAATGAATGTGTCAAAAGCTGAGTGACAGATCAGAAGCTGTAATATATTCACGAATATCTTGCCAAGATGGATCAATCCGCAATTGTGGCTCTAATTTTCAAGCATGAACATGAATTATGTTCTCAGTAAACTCTTTTTATCATGGTTTTACTAATTATGAACTTGAATATTACTGATTTTGACAAATTTCACAATTTTTCTTCTCTTACACATTGTGGAATCGCTTAAAACTCTAAAACACTGTTTTAGCAAGATATTTTACATATTTTAAGTTTAACATTTCTGTGTTTGACTAAGAATTGATCCAAATATTGGTGTTAAAAAGGGAAATTTCACACATTTCGTGTCGATAAGTGTCGGTAAGTTCAACAATTCACCGACATTTTAACGATAGTTGAATAAATCCCTAATTTTAATTCTTTTCCTATTCGATAAAGCGTTTTGTGTCATACTGTAGTGATATTATTTGGACATATTTGTACACAGTCAGAGACGCAATCCAAGGTTGTCGTCCAAGTCTGCGTAATATTTTTTTCTCTCCCAAATTTTTTGAAGGAAAAAATTGTGAAAACGACGAATTAATGATGATTTTTTCCTGTCACTTGAGAGTTTTCTTGAACACCTATTCACACCACACAGCAGCATGTCTTGTGCGCAAGATCTCCGCTTGAAGCGCGAAGAGGTTTCCATGCGAGCACACACATTGGCATTATTATTTGAGATTAAAACCACTTGTTGATTTTCACATATTTATGCAACTATTTACCACCTCGACTCTTTGCCCCCTCTTCGCCCCCCCTGAAAATGTCCATGGCTAAACTCACCCTGTTCCATCGTCGGTCCAGCTGAACATCTTCTTCAGCCTCCTCTTGTCCGAAGGTGGCGGAACACTTTCCATCATTGTCGCTGTGCACAGATTGCTCAAAACTCTTTCCGTGTGACTTCGGAGTCCCTCTTTTGTGATATCCAATGAAGATTTGCGAATCGGCAGAGGAATAGATTTTACTCAGTTTCTTTCTCGCCAACACTTCACCTTTTCCGTGTACACAAATCCATAAGATTCCCCCACAAGAAAAAAATCACCTTCAAGTGATGAAATATCTTGGAGTGAAAACTTACAAATATTCCAAGAGTTTGTCACTGCTCTATAAGCGATTATCAAATGCACCAGCAATGAAACACACAAGAGGAAATATCTCTCTCTCTGGTCTACAGTTTGGCAACAAGGAAGGGAAATTGGTGGAATTTTCTAATTGAAAATTAAACAAAAATCTTCCACCATGACACAAAAGTCTGCACGTTACGATCGAGTCGCGATTGAAACTAAAAGCACTATAAAAAATTTCACTCTATGGAAGCTATGGAACTACAACTTGGAGTCTCGTTCACCTCTGTGGCGACCAACAACCAACACCAAAAAATTGGATGTGTTTGCTGGCCAGGAGAGGGGATTTTCACCTATTCACAATTGCCGTTTTCTCACATCGCAACACTTCTTCGCGACGCGCCTCTGTGTGCGTCTTCACAGCAGGTAAAATCTCAGCCCGAGGTGGCCACTTGAGGGCATATGTAATAGACAACTGGCTTGGATAATTCGCCTCCTCCGTGGAATGGGGAATATTTCAGCTTATTCTATGTGTTAATGCATGAAAATGATATTTAAATTACTCCGTGGCCACAACACTGGTCACTTCACTTCGGGCATTGCATCGGAGAAAGGGAAAAGCTGAAAAACACGCGCACACACACACACACACACGAACATGTACACAACAGTGTGTCGAAATCATGAAAACACAGTTGGATTTTGTGTCCCTTCGAAGTCACGAACGTTTTTGGCGAAATCAACATTATGCCAGAGAAGGAACACTTCTTTCCGCACAGTCATGATCACATCACTTTTCAATCTCTCACCACATATTTAGCCGAACAATTAGCATATGCAACCTTGGCGGAAATAATGCTGCGCTGTTTGTTCTACACACGTCTTCCCAATGAGGAACATCACAGTCAGGAAGACAGTCGGATTTCGTCGCGAATCTTGAAAAGTGATCGAAACACTAGACTTGGCGACGAACCCGAATTGTATCCATTGAAACTTTCTGTTCTACTGAATTTACCTCATCAGTTCGTGTCAAGGGGGAGATAATACAGTCACAAGTGGTGTACAGCTCAGTGGAAGTGTTGAAAAACTCAAAGTGAAGATACTTCAGACACTTTTGAACGTTTTGTAGGCACTTTTAGACTCCTTCAACTGTTTCTTACCCTCATTTCTAAATTTAACCTAGAAAAATGCTTTAAAATATTCTCACCAAATTGTGAGGTTATGAATCCGGGCAAAAGAATCTTTTTAAAAGTGTAAATGACAAAATATGGCGAATTTTTCACTTTGAAACTCAAACCACAGAAATAACTACTTCTAGACTGAAATGACATTTCTTTTTAAGGTTATGATTGACTTTTAAGCTCTATTTTACTACTGAAATTTAACTAATCTGTGGTTTCTCGAACTCAAATTCAAAATTGTGTGTAGGAAAAGGGAAATAATCCAAGCTGAAGCACAAATTTGATGATTTTGAAGGTTATTTCATCACAAAAATCTGTTTTAAATCGAAAACATAACCTAGAAATACAATATTTTAACACTTTCACAAAAGCTATACACCATTTCCGGCCGTAATACTTTCTTTAACTGCCAAATTATCTTGATTCTTTGGATTTCTTTTGAATTCCACGAAGAAACAATCCTTTTCTAGGTTATGTAAGGAATAAAGTACAGATTCTAGCACATTAATTCTGATGCTAAGATCAAAGAAATCGAGAATCAGTGGCAGAATTAAGCATTTTCAAGCAATAATCATTTCTAATCTGATCCTTTCATGTCAAGAAACACAGAGAATTGTGCTAACGTCGAACATAACCTCAAAAATATTAATAAATACATGGAAAATGTTTATTTAGAAAACTTTCTGGAGGATTTTGACTCTAAATCGGCAATTTTGAGACAATTTTGTGATCTAGAAAGCTTCTAAATGGAGTTTTTGACGATATCTTAGTGATATTTTGAGGTTATGGTAAGAAAAAGTTAGATTCCAATAGAAATATCATATTAAAACGTGAGAAAATTATAGTCTGCAAACGAAGATATATTATCTTCCCCTTGTTTCGTGGCGGATCTGATTTATGGATCTTCTGGCTGATGATTCAACCACAATGTCTTGTTTCTCTGTCTGAAGCAAGGTTCCAAGAGACAAGAAACACGCCAAACACTCAATTGACGTGCCCCTAAACATCGCGGTGTTTGAGAAATGTTGGAGGTGTGAGAAAGGAAGCCTTCAAGAAAATTGAGGAATTGACGACAAAAGAATTTATATCTCTCAATTAGGAGTCTCTTTTTGGACAGTTGTCACTGTGTGGCGTCTTACAGTTTGGCGACGACTCATCTTGAGGCCTGTTGAGCGTGTTTGTGATCGCAGAGCATCTAAGGCCCCAAATGGGGATCAGTGTGCAAAACGAAAACGGTGCGTGTGAGATTGTATTATAGAAAGTAAAATCTCTACGAATTCTGCACAGAGAGCTGAGTAAATGATTGTGTGCCTCTCGCTATATGTATAGCATAAAATAATGTACATATATATGGTGTAAATATAAATTGTGCAAACTGTCGTTTTCACTTGAGGCCGTCTCACTCTCGTGAGATTCCGAGTGGATGGCTAAGAAACTGGTTGCTGCGCATGGAGCATTTTTACAAGCTTGTCCACGGATAAAAAAAAACGCCTCAATTGCGCAATATATCGCTAAAATATACTTTTTATATTCTTGCACACAACTCAAGACTATGATTGATCCAATAAATTCCATCCAGACACTGGATTTCAGCCCCAGGAATTAAGAAGAGACTTTTTTCTCTACGCGATAAGTTTATTATAGAATCTCAAACTTCGCCGTGTCATCGTGATGGAGTTGCTTCTTTGCTGGATGTTTCTCTAAGCCATGTCGTCTTGGGAAAGAGAGAAGACTGTGTGTTCTGTGCCTCGAGCAATGTCCAGCGTCTTGCGTAAGCATTTTGCCGCAGAAAACTGCCGATGAAGCATTTTGAATTTAATATGGGTCAACTAATAAGCTCTCTATTTCTTGGTATTTTACAATTAACTACAAGTGCCTCACCGCGATATTTCTCCCAGATGATGATTGTTAGTGGTAGCAATTACACAATTTTGTAGCCAGCTCCCATTGATCTGTTGCACGACACTGTTGATGGCATCATCTGAATTTGTTGCACAAGTCGCTGAGTTTCCAGCAACCTCAGCTTTTCTTTCTTCTGCATTTCGCGCGCGCGCGCGCGCCGCGATGGGAGGAAATTGGAAAAAAGAGCGCATTTATATTATATTATATTCTTCTTAGGAGAAACATTTTTCAACACACAAATAATCTGGTCGCGAGAGCAAACAATGCGTAAGTCTGTGCAAAAAGACAGTGAGTTTGTGGTGGAGGAAATTGCGAATGTACAGTTACAGCAATTAGTTTGAAAAAGAAAAACGAAAAGTATAAAAATAAATATTGCAATTGAGCGAAAAACATTTCCTATTAGTTTTGTATATAAAATGGTAATGAAGATTGTGGAAAAATGTATGATTCAATCAATTGTTATAGCGGTTTGCTATTGTGGTGAAGATGCAAAAATTTATATTGGTTAGGATTCAATAATAAAAGAAAAAAAAACATTGTGGATAAAATAAAGGGAGGAAATAAGCGCAGAATTTTACGCATTTATACACAAATGGATTAAGAATAGTCGATAAGCGTGAAAAATTCAACATTTCGCTACATTAATTTAAAATAATCGAGAACTAAACCGCAAATTTGGACTTACTTTCTACACATTCAACTGAACAAATTGTATTTTGTGACTTAGAATGCAATGAAAAGGCACAATTTTTATTGGATACAAAAACAAGATATTCACTAAACAAACACCAAAAACATTTCATGTAATTCCAGTGTTTGTTTTCGAGTTCAGATTCAACATTTGAACAAAAATTGGAAGTGAAGAAAATTTCAGTGCTAATTGTATATCACAAGGTGTATTATTACTTAAACATGAGATGCAAGTATTTGCGCATTAATAACAGGGTGTGTTTCTTATTCTTAGACTCTATATGAAAAACCCAGAAAAACCCAGCTAGGAAAACCATTTTTGCCTCTCATCGCACAAATTTGTATACATAATCTTTGCTGTTGGAATGCGTCTTTTGGAGGAAAAAATTGTTGTTCACAATTTACACTGACTTTATTATCCACTTATGATTGATGTTATTCACATCGATTCCCTCCTCTAATGAACAATCGCTGGAGATGTAATTAACAAAGCAGTAAAACAACACGAGTACTTTTTGTCTCACCTGTTTGGTTGCTTCTTTCCTGGCTTCCACGAGCGAATGCTTGATCTCTTCTAAGTTCGACGAGTGACTTTTGATATCCAAATCCTTCACTTTCAGCTCCGCCACAACCGCCTTCAATTCCCGCGTTCTCAGCATAAGTGCCCGCTGAAATTGGCAAGAAAAACACAGGCGAATTGAAGCAAGGGGGAGATAATTCAACCAGAAGTGGTGTACAGCTCAGTAAGAAGTACTTGAGAATTGAAAGTGTACAAAAACTTACAATCTTCCGTTCCTGAACGCTTCTTTTACTGACCAATCATCCCGATTCTTTGGATTTCTTTAGAATTTTACGAAAAAAGAATCTTTTTCTAGGTTATGTAACGAATCAAGAGCGGATTTAGTGAATAATTCGCATTCTAGCACATCAATTCTTATGCTAAAGTCGCCAAGATTGATATTCTGACACATTTATGCCAAAAACACCGAAAATTGTGTTTTAATCAAACATAACCTCAAAAAGAGTCATTTGAACGGGAAAAATCTTTGTTTAGACAACTTTCTGCACGATTTTGACTCTGAAACAGCAATTTTGAGTTCATTGACAAATTAAAAGAGAAGATTTTGTGACCTAGAAAGCTTCTAAACTGAAGTTTATAAAGTCTTTTAGTGATATTTTTGAGGTTATAGTAGGAAAAGACGCCCAAAACAGCTGTTTTACGTGACTTCTCACAGAAATATCGCATGAAACCTCAAGACATTGATACGAATTATTGAGGAAGTGGTGTACAGATTGAGAGCACACTGTGTCCCTCTTGGATTGAGGTAATTGTGTGTAACCTGTGTGGAATTGAGTCTCTCTTTGATGCGATGACTGGGAAGCTTGAGCAACACCTTCCTCAGCTTGTATGTCTCTTGGTGGGCTTCCTGAAGTGCATTTTCTCTGTGCGTTGCGTCAATTGTTTGCCTCAAAACTCGTCTGCGAAGATTACCAATTGAATATTCATATAAATCACTTATCAAGTGGTCATGCAGTGGCGTAATGAGCAACTTTTGCTCCACTCACCGCTGCAGCGCTTGGATCTTGTCAATCAGCTCCATTTTGTCCGGATCGCGTCCGCCCAACTCGCGCCAGCGATGGACATTCATCGGCGTGGTCATTTCGTCCTCGAGAGCCTTCGCCTTCACGCGTTCCTGCGACAAGACGCGATGAAGCTGCGAAAAGATGGAGAGTGATTCTGAACAAGCAAAGTCATCATGAGTAATTGTGTATTTGATTTGCCAGTGTCGAGCAAGATAACACGTGTAATTGTAAATTGTTGACAGGAACTTTGAAAAAATTGCGCGTGCTGAAGTGATAGCGATAAATCTCAAGAATTAATCTCAAGTATTCCTGAGAGCTTAGATGAATAAAATGTAGACCAAAAAACGCTCAAGGAGAGCGAAATACTGGTCATTCACTCTTCACGAATGGGATTAATCTCATTTGTTAGAGATTTTGATGTTTTTTTCTTCACTAAACTACTTATTACACACTCAGTCAGCAATCAATGTGTGAATTCTGAACTATCTCTGTTGTTTGTCAGTTGTGATTAATGAAAGAAAATGATTTTGTCATTTATCACAGTGGATTTTCAGTATAGAATAAATATTTCAGCTTTGAAATGCAAAAGAGTACAGAATACAAAATGCGACACGAAATATGTAAATTCAATAGAATAAAGAGTCAAACAAGGGGGAGATAATATGCCTTAAATCAGTTTCTTTGCAGAATCTTTAACACTTCAGACCGTATAAAAAGATTTTAATGTCCCAGGATTTGTTCATGAACAATTTCCGTCTTGATTTTCTAGTTACGTTTTCAGGAAGATGCTAAAAAAAAAATTCTAGGCAAATTGTGAGGTTATGAATTCGATTTAAACAATACTTTAAACATGGAAATGGCTTAAATTGGTGAATATCACAATGTTTCCACTAAATAATGAGGTTGCATTTGCCATTTTAGAGCAGAAACCATAAAAATAACTAAGCAAAGAGAATTCTCTTAAACAATTTTGAGGTTATGGTTGACTTTCAAGCTGTTTTCTAACTAATGTGGAGTTTTTTCGAACGCAAATGCTCAATTTTGCCATGAAAAGAGAAAAATTCCAATCTTAAACAGAAATCAGACTATTTTAAGGGTTATTTTATCACCAGAATCTGTTAAAATCAATCACATAACCTTAAAAAAAGCGAACAAATTGATTTTCCTAAGCAAAATTATTTAGAAAATGCCTCAATTTTCTGAAACAGAAGCTTTAGCAATGCAATTATTCTATACATTTTACTTCTGTGAAATTGTACAATCATTTCCGACCATAATATCTGCCCCTTGGAATCAGAGAAAGAATCCAAAGAAACCCCATTAAAAGGTGAATATTTTGTAAATCAATCTTTAAGAGCGCAACTTAAGAATTCAAAAGACACAAGGCAGGTTTTCAAAAGAAGAAAATAATTTATCTTATTCAAATGTTCTGTGAAAAATATGCACAATTCCAACACATGAAATAAATCCTTATAAAACCAGGAATTTGAATGATTTAGTGATATTACCTGCAACACTTCCTGCTGCATATCCGTCGTGTTGGCCAGGCCGCGAGACAGCAGCTTCACCTGCGACCGAAGCCCGCTGATCTCCACCTTCAGGAGTCGGATGTCGTCCAGTCGCCTGGCGTACTGCGTCTCACTGCGATCCAGCGCCAACTGCAGATCCTGCAGCTTCTCGCTGACCAAGGCGACTTCCTCCGTGCGCTCAATGAGCTGTCCACCCACGAGATCCTTCTCGCTCACCGTCGAGTCCAGCTGCTTCTGCAATCGCAGCACACTTGCGTCACAATCCTCCACAGTCTTTCGCATCCTCTCGATCTCCATCTGCTTCTCCTTCATCTCCGACTTGATGTGCTGCAAACCCGTCAGTGTGCCATGAATTTCCGCCTTCAGAGCCACTTTCTCCTTCTCCGCCCTGTCGAGGTTCTTGTGCACCTTCGCCTGATCGGCTTCGCGCTGCGTCAGCTCCTCCTTTGCCTGCTCCGCTTGCTTCGTCACTGTCCTGAGGCGCTTCTTCAGCTCCTCGCGCTCCTCGGCGCACACTTGCACCTCCTTCTGCAGACTGGATCGCTCAGTCCTGGCCGCCTCGTAGAGTTGCTGCACGTGGAAAACCTTGTTCTCATAGTCAGAAATTTTCCCCTTCAATTCCGTTATTTGATTGATCTTCTTTTGAATTTCCTCTGGAAACAAATTAAAACATTAGCCTCATATTGCTGAAAAATTGCTAAAATCAACAATCTAAAGACTAATCAGTCCTTATCAGCCCTAATTTCTCCCTAAAATTGTGTTAAAAATGGAAATTTCACTCATTTAAATTCCATCAATGGGGAGATATTATGGTCGGAAGTGGTGTACAGCTTTAAAGGAAGTGTTAAGAATTAAAAGTGTCGAAATATTTATAATATTTGGAATGCAAAAGGTTGTATTTCAACAAATTAAGATATTTTCTTCATTATTTTGCCTACAAAAATCATTTTGATGACTTTTTGAGGTTATGTGGTTTGATTTAAAACCGATTTTGATGTTTAAAAAACCCTGAAAATCATCAAATTTGTGATTAAGCTGAGAATACTCCTCATTTTCTCGGCAAAATTGAGCATTTGTGATCGAAAAAACTTCAGATTGATTGAGATAAAAGCTTAAATGTCAATCATAACCTCAAAAAATATTATTCCAGTCTAGAAAAACATATTTTTGCTTAGGGTTTTCCGCTGTTTTTACTTGAATGTAGCAAATTCATTCTCAATTTCTAGTAAAAACATTGAGATATTCACTGATATTTACTAATTTCCGGGTTTTGAAGGATACAAATCTGTCAAAGAAAGTTTTTCAAGTAGGATTCATAACCTCACAATTTGATTAGACTGTGCTAAGTCAGAATTGAGTGTGAGAAACAGTCTAAAAGGCGATTTAAAATGCCTTAAAGGTGTCTGAGGTGTTGAAGATTCGGCACAGAAACTGTCAGAAGTGTCAAGAAGTGTTGTACAGATTTACCACATATTATCTCCCCCTTGAATTCAATAATTTATCGACATTTACAGCGAAGAAGTGATTTTTACCCCTGAAACGCTCCTCTTTTGCCACCCAGACAAGAAGTTCTTCAGCATTCTTGTCTCTATCCTTTTCCGCCTTTCTTATGGCTTCCTTGTTCTTCAGGATGACACTCTGATGGCTCTTAATCTCCTGCTTCAGGGTTTTCGTCTCCTGATCGTGCAGCAGGATTTTCTCATTCAACTCCCCAATAATTCTGTTCGCCTTAATCAAATCCTTTCGCACAAGATCGCGCTCACGCGTCAAATTGTCAATCTGGGATTTCGTCTTGTCGTGCGTCTTCTTCAGCAGCTCATATTCCTTCTCCAAATTCGCAATGATGTTCTTCAGTTTGAGCCCTTCCTGCTCCCAAATCACCTTCGACACTCCGGCCGTCATCATTTTCCTCATGAGCAATTCCTTTGATTTCACCAATTTCGCCGTTTCCACGCGGAATTTATTGTTCTCATCCTCCTTCAGCTGGAAATGTAAAGAAAGAGAGAAGCAAATTGGCCATTGTGCCGCTGGTGTTACGCAAAAATGCCATCGCCAACCTTGAGAATATTGCCTTTCACGTTGAGATCGTGAGACAGTTTGTCACGCACGTGCACGATATTGTCGTACTCGCCGGAGAGTTTGGCGATCTTCATGGACTGAACTGTGTTCTGGGTCGACAACCTCTCCACGTTGGATTTGATTGCGGCCATTTGGAGATTGTGCTGCAGAGTTGTTTTATGGATGACGTTGTATTTAGTCTTGAATGTCTTCGCCTCTTCCGCATACAGATCACGTTCCGCTGCCACATCTTGCAATTCAGTCCTCAAATTCTCCAGCAAACGCTTCTCTTTGAACGCCTCACTCGATGTCTCCTGCAACACCACAAGAAAAAACACTCAAAAACTCATCGCAAATCGCTTAAGCAAGTTATTCTCACGTCCAACAACTTGTACAGATCCTTGTTTTTACTCTCGAAATCCGTGATTTTCTTCTCCAACTCCTCAGCATAAGTCTTCTGCAGTTGCAATTTGATGCTGAGATCCTCCACTTCCGTGCTGAGTCTGTCGCGTTCGCGCAGAATTCCCTCCTTGTGCTTCGCCATCGAAGTTCCCATTCTACGAATTCACCGAAATATTATGTTCTTGAAAATAATTTCCAAGAAAGACCTTAAAATTAGCCTGAATCTACATAATTTCCAGCCTTTTTCGATATTTCGTTGTATAATTTCAAGCTTTTTGATCTATTTCTGATAATTTCTTCATAAAATTGAAATTATTTAGCAATTATCGTCATAAAATCAAGTCGATTTCGGAGTGAAAATATATTAAGAACAAATTATTCTTATTTTTATTCCTAAATTTATGAGCTTGTGAAGAAAATAAGATGTTTTCTCTGCACTTTTACACTAAAACTGATATTAATTGATATTGGAATTTAGATTTTGCTTAAGAATTGGAACTAAAAACAAGGAATAAAGAGATTAATTCGTTTTTTTACATCCCAAACAGAACTAATTTAATTATCTCGGGCAAAATTCAGAAAAAAAATCTTAATTTGAAGCCAAAAAGATTTAATTTTAGTCTACTTTAAGATAAATTTAAATCGTATATTTTTGATGTTTGTTTTCTCCGTTAAAATCAAGACAACATTCTGCTTTTATCGGGTTTTAACTTGATTTATTCTTGGATATATTCTTATCTGCCGAAATCAGCTTCATTTTAGTCCGATTTCTGATAAGTCTTTTAAAATTTAGCAATATTGGGAGCATTAATTCGCTTTGAGCACTATTAAATGCTCGCAATTTGATCGAAGCGGAAGAGTTTTATTAATGTTATTTACCTCATTTATTTGTTTTTTAGGTAAAATGAATAAAATAAACCCAAATTCTTCTAGAAAAAATTGGAAAGAATGTACATTTTATCTTCAATCGCTTCATTGTTCATGTCAAACATTGCTGATTGTCTGATTGTGTGGTAGAATGGCTAAAATGTGACTTCCATTGTTGTAAATTGACATGTTTTGATGGATTTGATAAGGAATTCAACCAAATCAGTCGCTTCGTTTGACTGATTTGGACATTTTCGCTATTCATCAAAGTGGGTTAATTTATACAAAAAGCGTAGAAACGATATTAAACGAGTAAACTTGCAATTTGCCCTAATAAACAAATAATCATTTTACAAAGTTGTTTTCTAGAATTCCGTAATCGATTCACTCGTTGAAAGCTGCAATTAAATCCACTCTTACTCTTGTCCATCCTTGCTGTCTGTGTACTTTTCCGCCTCTTTCTGCAGCTGCTCGAACTTGTCCAGCATCACGTACATCTGCTTCTGCGCCTCCTGCTCTCTGGCCTGCGCCGCGTCCGTTTGACTCCACGACGACTCAATTTCCTCCCTGAGCTGGCCGATCTTCTCCTGATCCTCCTCGGACAGCTTCATCACCTCCGCGATGCGCTCCTGACACCGCAGCATGTCCAGCTGCAGATCCTCGTTCTTGTGCTGCTCCTCCAGCAGCAGCTTCCGCAGTCCCTGGCACACCACGAAGATCCGCTGGAACTCGTCCGCCCACACGAACTGCTGCTCGCTCTGCAGCGTCTGGATGAGCTGGAATGCAATCAGACCGAATTGCGAGACATTCTCACGGTTGACGCGCGCGGCCGTGAACGAACCTCATTGGCACGAGTGCAGATTTCACTGTAATACTCATCTGATATGGTGTCCGGAAGCGGAGTTTCCTCCTCAGTCGCTGACTCAGCCTGAGCATGCGAATCCTCGCCACTCTCCGGCTCCTGTTCCATGATCTCACGCTGCCGAATTCCACGGATTGATGCAGAAGAATTGCCCGAAAGTCAATAACGACACCAGCGACGCAACAAGGGGGAGATAATTCAGCCAGAAATGGTGTACAACTCAGCGGAAGTATTAAAAGAAGTGAAAGTGTTCAAAAACTTACAATCTTCCATTCTTGAGTGCTTCTTTTACTGCCAAATTATCCCGATTCTTTCAATTTCCTTTGAATTGTACGAGAAAAAGAAACTTTTTCTAGGTTATGTCACAAATTACAGATGGATTTAGTGAATATTTCGCATTCTAGAACATCAATTCTTATGCCAAAGTCGCTAAGATTTCTAGTCATTGGCAGAATTCAGCATTTCCATAAAGAAAGAACACTGTTAACTGTGTTGAAGTCACATATAACCTCAAAAAGAGTCATTTTGACTTGAAAAATGCTTATTTAGACCACTTTCTGCAGGGTTTTGACTCTGAATCTGCAGTTTTGAGTTCATTAACAAACCAAAGAGAAGATTTTGCGGTCTAGAAAGCTTCTAAACGGAAGTTTATAAAGTCTTTTAGTGATATTTTTGAGGTTATGATCGGAAAAGATGCCCAAAACAGCTGTTTCAAGTGAATTTTCACAGAAATATCGCTTGAAATCTCAAAATATTGCTTACAATTTGCGAAATATTGTGAAAATTCATGACTGATTCGCGTTCTGGAGATCTATAGCACATTATCTCCCCCTTGGGACACAAACAAACCGCGGCCAGCCTAGCAACGGACGAAGCAGAAAAAAGTCTCTGGGGAAACGCAGTGAAAATTCCTTGTTTATATACATAATACTTTAATGATAAATTCTTAAATGGATATTAACGCCATTTACAAAGCGAAATTACATTTATTTTTCATCTTCTTATAGTTTTCAAAGTTTTCTCCCATCTGCAAATCTTGTTTTGAAGGTTCTTCTTTTTCTTTTAATTCTCTCTCTCTCTTCTGGTCTGTTAAACTAAGAAAACTTTGAATTACAATTGTCGAATATGTAAGAAAAAAAAACACTTATAAATTGAAGGGTATTTTAAAAACAAGAATAGTAAAAGTTTATAATCATACAAAAAAAGAAAACAACGTGATAAGATAAGAGAAAGAAAATAAATGGATATGTTAATTCCCGTGAAACCGTCCTAATAAAATAAACAGTTTTATTTGATTTTTTTTTCATCTTCTTCCTCAAACAAATATAGATTGGTAAAAAATATCATAATTCAATAGTGAAATTAATAGCAATTTTTTTTCCGATGCAAGGCAAATATAAATTGAAGCTCAACTTTTTCTCCAACATTTTTTTTTGCAGACACTTTTATCCGATTTTCGCACGATTTTTCCACTGCGATTCAACTTCATTCCTCTCCATTCTTCGCTATATTTTGCTAAGTATTGTCACACAAGTGTTGATTTCTTTTACTCAATTTCTTCTTCATTTTTAGTCAAATTAAAATAATGCATTTTACTTCCATAGTTTCATAATAATTAGGATATAGTTAATTGTTTCTCTCTCTTTTTTTGCAGTAAAAAATCGAACATTTATCATCGCATCGACTCTCAAGGAATATTTTTATATAATATTTAATTACATTTATCACACTTTTTTTCTCTCCATCTTCCAGAAAAGATCCTCAACTTGTGCTCAAATTCAAGACTTTTAGCCAATTTTTTTCATTCACTGCTTAGAAGTTTACATCATTTTTTTTATTAAGATTGCATTACATGACAAATGGCAGTTCAACATATAAAGATAAATTATGCAGACAGTTTTGTGGTTATGATTTGAACACTCTTCCTTGTTATTCGTCGAAAAAAAGGAGGGGAAAAATCTGTCTTTCATGGTTTTTTCTTCATCATCATCTTGGGAAATTTATATACCAAACTCTTTATACGGCGGGAATTATTATTGTTCTATGTAATGTTATATTTTCTTCATTTCTTTTCTTTTTTTCTTTAGACAAAAACTCTTTTAAACATTAACACCGACCAAAGATTTTTGCATTTTATTTTTTTTTTACTAAATTCACTGTTTTCTCTCCCTTTTTTATTTAAATCTGTTAGCATTATTAATTGCAATAAAATGGAATGAATAAGTTTCAAGGCATTAAGAAGTTAATAAAAAAGTCAAATTCATCGAGTGAAAAAACTAAATATTGAACTGCTACAAATTAAAAATCCATCAAAATGTCTTCTTGTTAAATTCAATTAAAGTTGGGACATAATTTGGCTATAAAGTACATGTTTTTTTTCCTCTCTCTCTCTCTCGTATTATGATAAAAACCAAAAAGAAAAAGACATATAGAATACGTAATTATGTAGAAAAGAAACAAACAAAAAATGTATAAGAAAATCTTGATGCTGTAACTCTATCGCGTCCTAAATTTTAAACACTTTTTAACATTCTCTCTGATATCTGCATTTCTCTGCATAGTCACACTTGTCTCTCTCCACTGCCGCCTCGGCGTGCGCGTGAGTGGCGTGCGTGTTGTCTGGCGTGCGAGCGAGAGAAGAAGTTGAGGACGCTCGGGACCCTATACGGTGCCCACTTCGCGCACGAAGCACGCACGACACACGCGGACGGCCTTGGTGAGTCCGAACTTGGGCAGCGGGGCGGATGAGTTGGAGCAGACGCCGCAGAACACTTTGCCGCAGCACCGGCAGTGATGGCGACGCCGGAAGGCAGTGAAGACGGCGCTGCAGGCCATGCAGCGCGGCGCCTCCTCGTCCGGAATCCACCGTGGCGGGCGCTCGGGGCGCGTCGCCACGGGCAGATGATCGCTGGAGGAGTACGAGCGCGTCCTTGGCACCGCCACCGGCGAATTCCCGGCACTGCAGCTGCGCGCATTCTGTCCGCCATCGTCACTCACGATCACATTGATGCGCTTCGGGCTCACGGTGTCGCCCGCGGGCTCCTGCATCGAGTGACTGTGGCGGCTGGCGGCGCTGGACGTGGAACTGTCCGTGGGACTCTCGCCCAGACTGTGACTCCTCTCCACACCCGCTCGCCCCACCACACTCGTCGTGTCAATCTCCTCGCTGGCACTGCGCGCCGTCGTGGCGCCCTCGCGCGTGCCCTCGAACACACTGTCCAGCTCCGGATTGACCTCCTCGGCCGAGTAAATGCTTTGGTTTGAGCCCCCATTCGTCTGCACCACGACGTCGCTCTCGCTGGCGCGAAACTCAAACAGATCGTTGGCATCCTTCGGCTTCTCCTGCACATTTGGTATGATCTCCTCCTTCGGCGGCGGCGATTCATTCATAAGAAAGACACTCCGCAGTATTTGACGCAAATCCGATGCAAAATTCGTCTGCAGTTGATCAGCCACGCCAGCGATGCAAACAAAGAGACGATGAAGAAGATTTTCCACGCTCCTTGAAGATTCCAAAAAAAAGAGCCTTCATGAGTCAAAATTCTTCCCCTTCTTCTTGCTCGTATTCCAGCTGGGCAAAGCCCGCTGGTACTTGTAACCGCGCTAAAAATAAAAACTCGCAAAATACATCAAAACAACCTTTCCGTCCGCCATTTTGAACACCCACAAAACACATTTTCTCCATTTACTCAGCCTTTATGGCATGAATCTGCTCCAAATTTTAAGATGTTATAGCTGGCCTCAAGACCTTTCCAACAATTCCCTACTTGTAGGGTCTGATGTTTTGGGAGCGGAGATATGGAAGGTCAAAGTTCACACTTTTAATGGCTTATATCTCCGCTATTTACCAACAGATTTCGATCATCTCTTCACCAAAAGACGTGTCTCGACGCCCTTTAGTAGGCTGCATTTACCGTTAGGCTATGACGTCATAACGAATGCCGCCACATTGAGAGAAAAAAAAACTTTGAACGCCTGTATCTCGGCAAATTTCTTATGCAATTTAATGAGAATTTAGTATGTTATACTCCATGTCAGGACGTCTTTAAAAATAGGTTATAGTTTTTTCTGGATGCAATAGAACCGGAGTTATGGCTGTTTAAAGTTTTAAATTTAAATACGCAATAACTTCGATTCTATTTACCCGATTTTAATGGTTTTGGACTCGTTAGAAAGCTCTTGCAGAACTCTAAAACTATTTAGAACAAAGGAAGTTCATCAGACCCCCGCCAGAGGCGCTAATGTTAATAACAAAATTTTTAAAATTGTCAAGTGAAAATTTTGGTTCCAAAGTCACAATATTTTGGGATAATTTCCTAAGTATTTCGATATTCCAGATCGAGACGTTTCCAAAATAGGGTTTTACTTTTTTGTCACTGCCATAGAACCTGAGTTATGACGGTTTGAAATTTTTCCTTTCAGTTTTCCGCTGAATAGATGGAATGTCACAAAGAGATATAATCTACTTTTCCACACACACACAAAAACACACATTCACACGGTCAGTAAATGCATTCTGCCCATAATGACTTACACAAGGTTTCCTTTCACCAAAATAAAATATTAAAAGATGCAACACAAACTCCACTTCTTGTATGGAAGAATTATGCATATTGTGAACTTGTACCATTTTCAAGTAAATATTAACTTATGATATAACGCAATATTTCCTCACAAATCAAACTGTGCTTCTTTTCACATTTACCATAATCTGTTTGGGTGTTGAAATGACCATTTCTTTTATGTGAAGACATGTCGCATAATCAACACAACTTTGCACATAAAACACAGTCAATTTCATTGAATTTCAGCCAAAATTTCAATCATAAAATTGAACACAATCGAACTGCAATAAAGATTACACTCTAAAATGCTTCAACATCTTGATTATTACGTCCTTGATTTATGATGTATTGAGATTGTAAGTAAACTTGCGCAGCATGTTATTAATTAAACACAAATACACAATATTTTTTTCATGAATTCTTATCAGACGCATAAAAAATAATACGATTAGAAGCTGCATTCACACTAAGCTCTCGACGTCTCGAAGTGAATTAAGTGAAAGCTCTTTCCTCAGGCATAATTCATTAGATCTTCTAATGTAATATTCATGAGAATGAATGGAACGAATGAAATGAAAAGTCAAATTATTAGCCATGAAGAAAACCAGAAAGAAAATCTTCATTGCCACTTAAAATTCTATCCCGAAATTCCAGAAATCTATTCACTTTTAAGAATACACAGAAAGAAAAGAAATTGTAGAAATGATGACAAAGTTTGTCAATCAAAGGTTACAAAAAGTATGTAAAAAGAAGTAACTTTTCGTAAAAATACAAACATTTTTACGTTGTCAGGAAATTAATTTCTGTTTCATGATTTTCTATAACGTTCATTGTATTTTTGTGTAAAAATACAGACACAAGATAAGATAAAAAAGATTGAAATTTAAGGTTAAAATAAATCAAAAACTATGAAAAGCCTAAAACCGGAATTTTTCAGCAGAGCAAGTTCAAAATTTAGCATTAAAACAGCTGCAAAATTTGCCAAACTCACTTCAAAACCTTCAAAACGCCTTCAAATCGTCCGTTAAAGTGCAAATATTGCTCGGTTTTTAATAATTTTTAGATATTTTAGTTGATTTTATTGGTATTTATTGGAATTGTTGACTAAAATATGCCAAAATTAATAGAAAATCTTTAAATATAACTTTTCAAAGACGATTTTTAATAGTCTTTGAGTCGATTTTATCCAATCAAGTTCTAAAAAAACAACTTTTCATACTTCACTTAAAATTGTCTTTAAAGTTTTCAAGTGAAAAAAAATTAAAAGATATGAGAATTATTCATTAAAACTCTAAAAACCATTTTAGAATAATTCTGAAAATCTATAATTATTTTCTGAAAAGGCGTTTTATGCGTTTGTCTTCAATTTTTGAGACATTTTTCTTGGAAAAATTGTTCAGCGTAAACAATAAATATTCGACTTTTAATTCGTAAAACATGGCAATTTTTTCCCATTTGTGCTTTTTAGATAAATAAGATTTTTTACTATTGCTTCATAAGATATAAATCTCAAAATTTTTTGTACATTACATATTATTAGAGATAATTCTTGAAGAGGAAATTTTATTTAGTGTTAGAAAGAGTTTTTTTAGGCGAAGATTGAGGGAAAAATTCCGATATAAAGCGATAAAATTAAGGAAATTGCTGTGAAATTCGCATTAGAAATAAGGGAATATAATTATTCGAAGAATAAATTGGAATGGACGGAATGTATAAGGATATTTGAGGAATGGAAACCACTTCAAGCACATATTTTGACGAACAATTACAAGCTTTTACACGCCGCTTTGGTAAAATATGTGAATTAGATAATTTTATCGAGAGAATTATTAAAAAATCTGACAAATGTCCACACGATTTCAGTAATTTCTTGTAAAATTTAACAAACTCCTACTGATTTTTTCTTTCTGTGTCTTCTTATCACTCTTCCAATCTATGAAATGATTCACTCCGTCTTCTATCGAGAGTGTCACACATTCCATTGGATCGTTCTATAAATTAGGCAATGATTCACTTTCCCCCTCATCAATCCAATCCAAATGCGTGGAATTGTGGCTAAATTGTGCGAGACTTACTTAAATTTCATCCTGCCAGCGGCCCTCAAAGCCAGCGCAATCTCATGCGAGTCTCCATCGGATTGCGACGACGACGTGTCACCGCTGCTGCTCGACGACGTGTTGTCCGGGCATCGCGCCCGCAGTCCCGGCGACGCGTAGACGACACAGCGTCGCAGGTAGTTCCCATTGGCCGGAGCCGAGGTGGACGCTCCCGACGTGGCAGTCCGGCGACTTGATCGTTGTGAACGTGAAGATCGTGCTCCGCTACTGTTAACTTTGTGTTTCTTTATGGTGCTGATATGCTGCGATTGCGACTGACTCGTGCCAGCCGGCTGTGTTTTGTCCTCACCAGAGGAGCCCGATGTAAATCTACTACAGCTTGGCTGCTGCTCATGCTTCTGGCGCTCCAATTCCTCCCAATTCTCCGAATATCGCTCAGTCAATGGCACAACGGATGCCGTTTCATTCTCCACTTTCTGCGTCTCCGAATCTGGCGTTCGATCCAGACTTGTGTTCTCTGTCCCAATGCCCGAGTCTCCATCGCGTCTCTGGCCATCATGTCCAGCTTCAGTTGTGCCCTCAGTTTTGCCCTCCTCATCAGTGGCTCCACTCTGAGCCGGTCGCACAGTGAACTCGTCGTCACTGGAGATGAAACTGTCAGTGAGAGGAGCATCGTTTGGCTGGAGTAAATTGCCAAAATTTGTATTAGGTATTAAATAACCCGAAGTACAATCAGATGTTACCAAATCTGCGCTGTCCTCCTTGCCAATTGACGCCACGGTGTCATCTCTGTCCTCCTCGGACGAGTGCCATTCACTCCCAGACTCATCCTCATTGACCACAGAATAGAAGGTCGGGAGTTTCTCTTTGCTACAACAATCACTAATCACTAGTTCCTCATCACCACGCATAAGTTTCTCGTCATCACAGTTAAAGTCACACTTCAAGTGGATGTCCTCATTGGTGCATAGCAGCTTCTCCAACTGGTACAGTTCACTCTTGTTCAACGTCCTCAATAGATCACGAATCTTGATGAGCAATGTCCTGAATGGCCTGAACATCTCCGACAACTGCTCCGCCGGCATATTCATATTCAGCGGCCCACGATCGTAGATCACGAGACCCGTGATGATGGCCAGTCGCGGTATTGAGAACATCAGGGCGGGATCGAATGAGTCCACCTGCTCCTGCTCCAGCAATCCAATCTTCAGCGCCCGCTGCACAGTCTCCGAGAACAGCACGCAAATCATCTCCTGCATCTCATGCTCCTGCTTGCTCTTCACCGGCACCATTGCGCTCACATATCTGAACTCAAATTCGGCAAATAGTCTATCAAATATCTTCAGACTCTCGCACAGAGTCTCCGTCGCCACGTCGTTTATGTTTAAATTTAGCGTGGGTGAATTTGGTGTATTATTTCGAAGGCACTGCTCTCGCAACAGATTTCTCACATTGTCCAAACTCTTCGTCACAGCTTTGGCCAGCGGTCGCATCTCCGTACTCTCCGCCTCACGATTGAGAATTGACGATCCAGCTGCCAGACATTCAGCACCAAACCACAATTGACCCGCCAAACTCTCCTGAAGCACCTCTTCAGGGAATTTCGCCCGAAATGCTCGCGGTGCACGATCTTCTCCCAGCAATTCGTCCATTATCTGATGCGTTATGGCGAGAACTTTATCCTGTGTCATTGCAGAGGGCAAAAAAGAGAAAGAGGAAGATTTAGTAAATGTGCAACAATTACTATTTACACAGAGAGAGACAGGTTCTGTACTTGTCCTTGCCGCAAGCGTCCAACTAAACGAGAACATCTTTCAGGCTCGGCTCTACCATCGAAACTGTCCAACTCACTGGCAACTGCTGTAAGAGCTCGGTCCGCATGATAGAATCTCGCCAAAATGGACTTATCATCCGCCTGAAGTTCAAAGTGATAAAATATATATATATATATTGTTATTGTTTCAATATACACAAAGATTAACAAAAATCCCCAAAAAGGAATTCTTCAATCTCCAAGTCAAACACATTTATCAAGTATTTACAAATCTCTGCATTCACAGTAAGACACAATCAGAGCACGTTCGCTCTTCTGCATATTTTTGCTATTAATGAGTCGTTGCAACATTACGGATTTCCTAATTCAGTTCGTAAAAACTACTAATTTGGTTCTGCAACTTTACACTTTTCATAGCTTATTTTGGCGACCGCCTGGCGGCGCTAGTGTAAGGTGAGGATGAAATACTTATAAGAAGGCGTTGCAAAGCAAATTTTGTTTTTATTTAATACGAGTTTCAGCTGTCAGAATGTCATTTTCAAGCGCATTTTTCCGTGTTCCTCCAAAACTAATCTCAAGGATCTTCCAGGAGTTTTCGGCGATTGCCAAGGGATGTTTTCAACGCAAAGAATGAATTCAACAGGGCGAAATAGTGAATTCCTGTGACAAGACATCTTCATCTCTGATTGTTCCTGACATTAGGCGTGTTTCCGATGAGATTCTTAAAGGATTCTGCTGACCAGAATGTCTTGGAAGATGTCTTTGTTATAACATTTTAGCACAGTCCCGTTTCTAGTTAGTTTTTATTTATTTTATAGCTTAATCAGTTCCCTTGCAAAGTTTTGTGTATTTGTTACTTATTTATTTTGGCGTCTTTCTTCTTGTGCTTCCAAATCCAATATGGCTGGCTCTCCCCCCAACGCCATCTATGAACTTAACATATAACAATCTTCCCTCCTTAAAATATTATGAATGTAGTTTTTTATTTACATTATTTCAATTAGTATTCCTAGGTTTTGATTTATAACAGAAAGATCATGAGTCAGATATTCAGTCGATCGGGAGGTTTACATGTTCTTTTGGATCTACGCAAGGACTGGCTGGCTCTCCCCCCAACGCCATCTATCAATTTAACATATAATACAAAGGATCGAAGAACGTTCGAAAACACATCATAGCCCCAATCTGGTGCATTGAAATGTGCACAAATGGCCACAAAAATCCAATAAATGTCTGTTTATTTTCATAAAAACACCATTCTTGTCTATTTCCTTGCTTTTCACGTGAATTTTCCGGCTTTTCTTGTCTTCACCTTTCATGTCTCGCATAAGATAAATTCCCCACATTATTGTAAATGTTATGAATCGTAATCTTGCAACACCTTTTACGAATTCATCTTAAAAAAAAAAACCTATTTAAAATGTGATGAAAGTAAAGTTGCAACGAGACTGGAGCTGATAAACCACAGCGTCTACCCTGAAATCCCACGAGCCACTTTTGTCCAGAGCAAGCGATAAGATTTAAAATGCACTCTGGGCAGATGATCTCATTCAATGGTATTCCTGTTTAAAAATAAATAGCGCCAACAATACTTTCATTATCAACACTGCACACATGGACGATAGGAAGTATCCTTCAGCGTTCAGCAATCGCGTTTATCACCGCGCGAAGGTCAAAGGCTCTTGCTTCCCTGCTCTTCCCGTTGTCCTACAACCCCCAATTCAGCAAACACTCTTCCGGACACTGGGAATTAATCGCTCGGGGCACAAGAGTTGCCACGATTCAATTATGCACAATTGATCTCAATTTTAATATTCAAAAAGCCTTGCGCAAAAAAAAGAGAGAGAATTTATGCGTTCCATTTCCTATGACACATTATAACGATATTTATTATAAAAATTGTGGGCAAAATGAACAACGATTTAATACGATGTTCTCCAGCAAAACACACACAATCACTCATATCTTGTACAATTTTTCAATTCTGTAAACATCATGTTTAATAAATTTTTCTTTCCTCTCCAACCATTCAATGAAATCATAGTTCCGTAAAAATTTCTTTTCTGACTTCTTTCTTTCGATGAGAGAAAAAGAAAAAAAGAGTAAATACAGACAGTCTCGAAACAACAAATAAACAATAAAACTCACGATTGAATTAATAATACTGAACAAAAACTGCATAAATAATTCTGGTATAAAAATGAAAGCATTTGATCACTCTCGCTTCTTCTTCTTCCACAGTCTCAGATATGTTTTTGCCACTCTTCATTCAATACAGCTTCACAGTTACATAAAGTTGGTAAATGTTGATATGAAATTCAGATAGTTTTCTGGATTAATTGAGATATTTTCCCCATTTATCACATTCTCAATTCGACGGGTGTCTTGAAGACTATCAAAAGTCAAAATCACCATTTTTCCGTAAAGCGATTTGAAGTTTGACTCTGTTATCTTCCAGTAAATTGATAATATTGCTCTACTCTATTTTTATGCAATATTTCCCAGGTTATTCCACTGTTATTTGTTGAAACATTAACTAAAATACGGATAATTGATAGACAAACTGAAAATATTTGATAAAACAAGTCGATTTTTGACAGTTTTCGGGTGTTTTTCTTCCAAACAATTCGTAAAAATCAATTTTTTACATTTTTCCTGCCCATTTTCTTTCACAATTTTGTCTACTGTCTATAAACCGAAAGACACTCACGATGGATTTTTGGTCAATTTAACAGTGAAAAGATTTAAAACAGCAAAATTGAGGTCTTTTTAGCCCATCGAATAATGATTATAATTCCGGTCAGAATGATTTGTGCGGCGAAAACTATCAAAAGTCGACTTTTCATACTTCTCAGCGCAACATTCAGAAATTTTCTACACACTAGATTTTTAAGAAAAATCTTATTTCTTAAATTTTTGCCAATTTACCCAATGTAATATTTTCACACGTGATAAAAACACATTAAGATCTATCCAAGAATACATAAGACGTCAAGAGTATCAAAAGAACAACTTTTGATAGTCTTCGATAAACCCGTCGAATTGCATTTTCTCAAGCATTTCCCATCGAAAATGGCACACCGGAAGTGTTGACGATGTGCAAACAAGTTGTTGTTGTTTCTCATTTGGCAGTCGCAGAAACTCCAACGACGAAGACAGTGAAACTTTCCTTTTATCGAACACCGCAATAGTTGGTTGAAAGTGAAAACTCTTGCAATTCACTTCTTGCAATCGATAGCGTGCAAAATTACAATTTACGTCCGACACCTTTTGTCACCCAGATTGATTTCCCCTTTTCGTCACCATCGTCGCCATAATCAGTGGACAAATTGCTCATCCATATTCGGTTTTCCCCGCCAATTTTGTGTATTTTTACTAATACTTTTTAACTAATTTTGCAATGCTTCTTCTTCTTCTCACTCGCACAGTATGGCGTTGGAATATAGAAAGAAAAAACGCATGAATTTCCCAAGGTTTACCTCAAAGCACTCACACTTTACGTCACAGTCATATTCACTCGTCTGTGCCACATTTGCGTTAGCAGAAATGCTGTGCTATATCGAGTAAAGGTTACCTTCTTCCTCTATCATTTTACACTCTCCATCACAATTCTACATCCACCATAAATATCCACACATCGCAATGCCTTAACATGTGAGTGAATCCATTGAAAACCTCACAGTATTTCTGTTATAAAACATCAAAAAATAAATGTTTCTGCACAAAAATAAATCCACACTGAGACTTCATAGTGTTTTTCTTTCAAGAGAAACAAGGAAAACAAGCAAGATTTACAACTCTGCGCTTGAATTGTGTGCATAGAACAATTGTCATTACACTCGCTTTAACTAATTTGTCAACAATTGTGCTTGACTATTAAAGCTCAACGATGTATTTTACTCCAGCAAGAGAGATAAAGTAACCAGGATATGTTGTGAATCTTTTTCTTCCGAAGCGATATTCTGCCCATTGTGAAGTGTTTGTTTTCCATCAACCTTCTCGGAAAACCTCAACAGCTGTTGTATGTTACAAGTTAAAATTCGCTAAATAAATTCAGAAAATATTACACGTAGCGCATATTGCACATATTCACACGTTAATCAATGTAAAAATTTCCTCAAAACAAACACTTTGCTCGCCATGCACTTAAGCAAGGGGCAGATATTGTGATCGGAAGTGGTGTACAGCTTCAAAGGAAGTGTTTGAAATTAAAAGTGATAAAATATTATCAATATTTAATCAGAAAAGCTTCTGTCTCAACAAATAGAGACATTTTCTAAGTTATTTTGCTTAAAAAAAATCAATTTGATCGCTTTTTTTAGGTTATGTGATCGATTTTAACAGATTCTGAATTGAATTTTTCTCTTTTCTCGGCAGAATTGAGCATTTTTACTCGAAAGACTTCAAATTGGTTAAATTTAGAAGTAGAAAACAGCTTTTAAGTCAATCATAACCTCAAAAATATCATTTGAGTCTAGAAAAATGTCTTTTGATTAGTTATTACCACGGTTTGTGCTTAAAAAATAGCAATTAAACCTCATTTTCCAGTAGAAACATTGTGATATTAACTAAATTTCTTCATTTTCAGGTTTAAAAAAATTGAATTTATGCCTAGAAAAATTTCTTGAGTGGATTCATAACCTCACAATTTGGTCATATTGGATCAAAACTCGATTCCTCGATATATCAATCGATTCGATCGAAATTAATCTAAGTTTTTCATGGTTTTCAGTCTTCTAGAACACAACAAACACCCCAAAATACTTATTTATAACCTCTAAATACTTTTAAACACAAGAATCTTTTATTTTCATGTGCAAAATGTGTCATTAAAACGCTCCAGCAGGTGTTTTTAATGAATACGTCACTGTTCGTGGTTCCGAACGTACTTAATGCTGCAGAGATTTTGATCCTGACTTTCCCTGTTTTCCCAGATCAGAAAACAAGTTCCGCGACAGAGATTTTCAAGTCGAAATTTTGATATCAATCTCAACTCTTTGAAGTTATTTCTCGAATTCAATAGTTGGCCAATATTCCCTAGTTCTGAGAGTCTTATTTTACAAAAATGTTGTAAAGAAATTTGTATTGCAAAAGCAAAATTTCCTAAATATTACATGAACAGCTGTTGCAAACATAACCTCAACTGTCTCATCGACTCCCAATCTGAGTATTTGAAGAGTTTAAACTGCTGAAGGAGTCTAAAAAGCAATGGAATCGACGCTTTAAAAGCGATTTAGAAGTGTCTCTGAAGTGTTAAAGATTCCTGTTAAAGATTAAGACATATTATCTCCCCCTTGAACTTAGCCACGCAGTATTTCGTGTGCGGTGCATTGTGGAGCCAGAACCGAATTCGCACAGTTATCAGCAAATGTTTTGATATTGGAGAATATCGGCAGTGATAGAGTCACGTGTGGGATGGCAGAAAATTTCCATCGGAATATCGGAATCGCACACATGTGAGAGTTTCGTGTGTACGCGTGGTTGAAAAGTGATAAAGTCGAAACCATGAATCAGCCAAGAGAGACCTCAATGGAGAGAAACTCACGAGTGGGGATCAAAAGTGTCGGACAAGAAATTGGAAGACTCGTTTGGCGGAAAATACGCAAGGTATCTCAGTCGTATCAGAGTAGAAGGACGCATTCGCTTATTTCGCCAGTGCGAACGAGAGTGACAGAGAGGGAAGAGAGTGAGGATAGGAAGAATAAAATAAAAAAAAAACAGCACGATGAATTGTGAACTGCCGTGAATCTTATGAGAGTCTCTCTCTCTGTCTCTCTTTCCCTCCACGAGGAAGACCTTCAACTGGGGAACACAAGACACTATATTTGTGGCGTAAATAATAGGCGATAGAGTAATTGTACAAAATGCCCAAGTAAAAACTGTGTTGATTGTGGTATCTTTTGTGTATCGCCAAGAAAATGCCATATTTTCTCCAACCGCCGTGTCACCGACAAATCCCTCACGCTCTCTATTCCATCTCTTATCACTTTGGCTGTCGAGCGGGGAGAAACGCGTGTTATCGCGCATTATGCAAATAAAACCTATTCAAGCAGAGATACCAGGAGGGCATAAAGGATGGTAAATGTCAAATCCACCGATAAGCACTCTATCAAATTGCTCCTGATATCGAATGAAATTTTCTGCCAGCCAAATTCACCTTATCACAATCTTCTCTTTTTTTCGCAAAACATTAATACTTGACTTCTATTTTTTTTTTTTCAAATTAAAATTGCTGAATAGACTGTAATAAATGTTTAACAAAAATCATTTGAACTTGACCTGATAGTGAGTTTTATTTTATGGAAATGTTTTGCTTCTTCACCAATAACAAGAATTACGTTCTTGAGAATCGTTTCAAATTCAAGATTATTGCAAAATTTGCTCAGTTTTTTTCGTATTCAAAGGGTCACTCTTAAGGTTGAAGATCTCTTTCTTTGATCATTGGAAAAAATAAGTCGCAGAAATTAAATGAATTTGAGTTAAGACTTGAAGAACACGTGCAACAGAGCATTCCAGTTTTCAGGCCCATTTTGGAATATATCTTAAAATCAATTACATTTACTTAATTCTTTTGAAAAAAATGATAAAACAATTAAACCACAAGCCTCAATCTGATTAGTTCTTTAATTCTTATTGAAGTTAAAGTGGGTAAGTAGGCAAGAAAGTAGGTCAAACTAGACAAACTATTATTCGCAATGTTTATTGTATTATCTTTGTTTTTATCTATGATTTTTTTTTTTGCTAGTTAATTGTTTAATAAATATTCTATTTAATGTTGGATTTCTTAAACTTCTGTCCGAACTTTTAGATCCTGATTTTATTAATATTGATAAAAAGAACTCCAAAATCAAAGTAGTCCTAAAATCGGTCAAAATCGGTTTGAGAAATCTTGTTTCCGGAATTAGAGCCCTTTTCTTGCGATTTCCGCTAACATCGCCGCCACTTTCGCCTCTGCAGCGCCCCCACGGGGACACCAGTGGCCAGATGAGGCCCCGGACGGGCTGGTGGACTTTGCGAAACGCCGTTTTGGGGCTATTTGGGCCGAAGAGCGAGAGAGAATGACCGCGAGAGGCACCTCAATTCGTTCTCTTTGGTGCTAATTGCGCGTTTCACTGGCTGAGAAGTGGCGTTGGTACACGGAAAAACTCCGTTATCTGATAGTGGCTCATTGTTCTGGCCGCGTTGGGATGGCGAGGCGCGCGAGGACGCCTTGGCGGATCGGGCTAATTGGTTGTGAAATGTGTGAAAACCACTGATGAAAACATTTCCATAATTCATTCCCTGATAAGGGGAAATCGTCACATCAAATTTCATACTTCTTTGACCCCTTTTTCCTGCCTCGAAACCACTCTTTCCACCGCGACAATCCACCAAAATCACTCGTTGCCACCCTGGCGGAGCCCCAGGGGGCACTTTTGCCACTCTGACAGCCCATTTGGGGCTGTGATGAGGGCAAAAAGTGAGTGAGAAAATGAGTGAAAATTTCCATTGTGGCAGCGCGACATTTTTGTTACTCACTTTTGGTTTGTTTAACCATTTACGAAATGTATCCATTAGAATTCGTTACTCGGTCGTTGTCATAAGCACATAATCACAAAACAGTAATTGCAGCAAATGTTGAACACCACAAAATTCACAATTTTCACTCAAATACTCCGATTGCGAACATTTCTGACTTTTGCAGACTTTTCTCGTCGTCGTGCTGTCATGGCTGACTTTTGGAGTGGGGGTCGAGTGGTGAGAATGGCTGACAATCTGACGTGGTGGTGAATTTGACGGCGCGTTCAGAAAAAGCTCCGCTGCTGAGCTTTGGCGGGCGTTTGAATTTCTTCTGCTGTTATTTTATACGCTCCGTGAATAAATAAAGCTAGTTGAAAATGCTCTGACACAGTAATTATGCAAAAGAACGAATTGAAGGCATTTGTCAAAGAGCAAAATTCTGCGCAGACACTAATTACTCAGAATCCTCAGAATACATTTTGTGGATTCCTAAATTTAACTGCCGATAATTTCTATAATAATATTAATATTCATATGAAGCGATGGAAATTGTGTAGCTTCATTCAAGGGGGAGATAATATGATCAGAAGTGGTGTACTGATCAGTAGAAATTTAAGAAAGTGTTGCAATTTAAGCAACATTTGGCTCATAACTTTGTTTTTGACATATTTTTCTAGGTTATGTGACTGGTTTAAGACTAAATAATATCTTAAAGTAGAAATTTTTGCGTCCAAACTGAAAGTATTTTCATTTTATTGGTAGAATTGCGTATTTTTACTCAATGAAAATCGTGATTTTAGGAAATAATGCTGAAGTAAAACATAACCTCATTGTTTTTTTAATAAACTGTTACGATTTTGAGTAAAATACAATAATAATAAGGATTATGACCAAGAAATTAAGGCAAAAGTGAAATTTAGCGGAAGAAAATCATAAAATATCGTGTGAAAACGTGAATTTTAGAGTTGACAGTTAGATTTCAGTTTTCGGTTAGATTTTAGTCAAATTCCAGTTCCATGAAGTCTAAAGTCTTGGGAAGTGTTGAGGATTCTTCAAAGAAATTGTAGAAGTCTCAAGAAGTGGTGTACAGATTTTAGCCACATTATCTTCCCCTTGGCTTTATACATTCTTAGAAATAATTCTGCTTCTTCCTCCTAAAAGGCTTCAAAAGACAATGTGTCGCTAATTTTAATTGAGAGGGATTTTGAAAGGAGTTGCACTCCTTGTAATTATAATCCCAGCAATTATAAGACCGTCGCAGTTATAAAAGCGATGGAATCTCTTGAGGAAGTTCAGTTTCGCGGAGACATTCACGTCAGAAAGTTTGGAACGCGTTGTCAGAAGTCGTCATCATGAAGAGTTTGCAAGTGGCTTTTTCCTGCATTCTCCTGCTGATCAGCATCCTGGGAATTGAGAGTCAAACCTTCCAGTACTCGCGCGGCTGGAAGAACGGCAAGAGGAGTTTCGCCGCGGAAAACTTGGGCCACAAAATAGCCGATGTGGATTATCAGCAGCTCGACCACGAGGCTGACTTGCCAGGCAGATACTCAACTGCCCTCGATGGATTTGGATCCGGCAGCAATACGAAGTACTCAAGACATCCGCAGGATCTTCTCGCTGTTCTTCTCAACAGGAGCTTCAAGGGATTGAATTATATCGACGAATAAATGTTCCGCTTCCACTGAAAATTCAATTAATCACAGAAAGAACACACATAATACCAAACCAAGATAAGAGTAACCATTGAAATATAAATAGACAGTGAACGAACAGAAATTTGTGTTTTCAATGGAAATACCGCAAAATTCATTCTGGAATGATTTTCTAAAAGAATTCCTGGTATTTTACAAACTCTTGCTAATTTATTTGGTGTTTAATTAAATCGTTTACTTGCTTTAATAACGTTTAACCGACAAAGCGAGCACAAAATGCTAAGATTTGCGCTTTCTTTCGCTAAAAACTCAGCCATTCGGTTGCTGCACTAGCGAACGTAGCGGCGACCAGTCAAAGTATTGATGCGTATTTTAATGCATAGATGTCGCTTCTTGTAGAATCATGCCATTTCAATAATATACTTCATGTTAACAACACTCAAAATAATTATATAAATATATTTATATAAATATAAATACTCTCAAAATGGAGAGATTTTCAAAGAAAGAAACCAAATGAAAGAATTAATTTTCTTGCTAAATTTTGATCTGAAGAAAGCAAAAACTTTAGCACAATATTTAGAGAAATAAAGCAGAAAGAAAATGAATAATTATCTAATTGAAGCAGAAAACTTAATCTGAATATTTTGCTGGAAATTGCTGTGTTTTTCAACGCTATTGAGTTTCATATTTTCACCTAATTGATGGGTTGAAATGGTTCCAATGCAAACTTATTGCTTTAATTAGTAATAAAGAGCACGAATTGGATCACTAGAATATGTCTTTAATGCTTTGAGGAAAAACACAAAATTGACAACTTATGCTGCTTAGGGAAGTTTTTGTGCTCTTTCAAGGCATTAAAGCTCATTCTAGTGATCCAATTCGAGCTCTTCGTCACGGCTTTTCAATGTGACACTAACAAAAGTCTTTGCAATGATAAAAAGCATGTAATTTAATGGTTATTATTTTCCCACATAAATTCATCAGATCGTTTTACGCCTCACAATTGCTGCGACAAGTGTTTGAAATCTGATACTCGTGTCCAAAATCCCACCCTTCGCCGTTTGGGAATGTCATCTTGCAGGATTTGTCTAAACATCCACCAGATGAAACGAGGGTTGAACGAATCACGGCTCGTGAAATTCCTGAATTTCACTCTTTTACTTGCACGCCAAATTAATTACGCCGAGCTGAAGGAGGCTTTTTTTCCTGCTCGATGGACAGGAAAAAGAGCGAGACATTTTAATTGTATAAAGTGAAATTGAATTAGTTGTTTACTTTGGAATGATGGGAGAAGAGCGGAAAAATTACCTGAGATGTAAATCAATTTTAATATGAGGATATTCCAGCTTTTTTTTTTACCTTCGCACACAGGTTCACATCTCGGGGAGGGTGAATTATAATTGCGCTTCGGGTGGAAGAAGTATCAAAAAAAAGCAGCAAACATCCCTTGACACTGCTCCAGAAGAGAGAGAGAGAGAGAGACTACGAAGAGTTTCAATTATTCAAGCCGACGGAAAATTATCTCAATTTTTCTGAATTTGCCCTGCGTTTTCATTACTCAACAAAACGTTTGTTTTGCTACCATCTCCAGAGCCACCAACCCCCATCGCGCCGAGGGACACAGGCTAGGTGGGGTGATGATAAAGGTGTTCACTTCGCCCCCGCATTGTCTGAGCATTCAAACAACCCCGGCGGAATGCTGCGGGTAATTCAATAAGAGAGCAACAATGCTACCTCAAAATGGCTCTGGATTTACTGGAAATAAAACTCCACCGACCCAACTTCACCCTTCGACTTGCCGCGGATGAGGGACGATGCTCCAATTGCCTTCAACGGCGTTAATTCATCAAAATGCTCGCCTCTGGCTCCTGAGCTCTCGCACTGGGAAAGGTGGAAAATGCTCCGCAGATGAATGTGATTAATGAATACTTAAAAAAAAGCACCCCCTCTTCAGTCACCTTCCACCTGAACGCTCTTGGGGTTTGTGTGAAATTCACGCTTCGAACTCGATTAGGTTCAGTGCGTCAAGGAGCTTTATTGCCAACTATCACACTCTACAATCCCATCCTGCTATAAATAAGACTCTAAAGATATTAATTTATAAAATTTTAACAAGAAACCATTAATAATGGATCACTAATAAAGGTCTTTCGCGAACTCTTCCGTGGGATTGAGACTTTTCCCGCGCAGCTTGTCCTCGTCTTTTCGCTCATCCCCAACATTAGCGCCGCAGAATGGAAACATCAAAGCGAAGTGGAGCCACAATCGAGGCTTTTGCGAGAGCCAGTAAACCGATAAAGTGATTGGCTGTCCACATCTTTGACCAGTGTAATCAATCAAATCAACCAACCAGCTCCAACTCTTCACTCTCGTACTTTTATCTTTTCGCATCTCCCCCAAAGATACACCATGAAAATGATGGCAAATCAAGCGGAAATGGAACAATGAAATTCACACTGTGTTTTCACATTAAACCGTTTTAACTTCATTCAAGTGGTTCTAAGAAATCGATTCTATTATCTCTTTTTTACGAAGAAATTGATGTAGATTGAAAGAAATGAGCTCATCGGAGGGAATTGTGACAAACTCAATTTGAGGCAAAGCTAATAGTAAATATGAATTATTAAAGGGTGTCAAAACCTTGGTCAAAACACATCTTTTGGTGAAGAGATGATCAAAATCGGTTGATAAACAACGAAGATATGACCCGGTAAATGTGTAAACTTTGAATCCCCATATCTCCACTCCTTTAATTTCAATCCCAATAAGTAGTAGTTCTTTGGAAAGGTCTCGACTTCTGCTATAACATACTAAAATTTAAAGAAAATGCATCGTCTTGTTCTCAAATTAAACAACTTTAAAGTTTTGAAATTCGTTTTTGCGACTTTAGCGCCCCTAGCGGTGGTTACATTGCATTATGATGTCCAATTAAGCGATGGAATTTTACGAGATCTTTCCAATGAACCTAAAATCATTCCGATCAAATAATTAGAACCGGAGTTATGATTGTTTAAGGTTTCAAACTTTGACTCTTAATATCTAAGAGTTCGAAGAACCTAGATCCTTAGGTTGGAGTTCGTTAGAAAGGTCTCGATGCCAGCTTATAACATACTAAATTTGAAGGCAATCCATGCCATAGGATCTGAGCAAATGAGGAAAACTTGTTTTAGGGATCTTCAAAATGGCGGACAGAAGGATGCGAGGTTGGATTTGAAGTACTACGAACGGACGGACGAAATCCTTTGACTATTTCATCAAATATTTTCATAATTTCTCTTCCTGATCAGTTTTTAGTCGATTTTGGGAATGTTCAGATTTCGAATGATTACAAGAACAGGAAGAATTTTAGAAGATGTAAGAATTATTGCTGGAAGAAAGACCAACAACACAACTGTTTTTGTGATTCCTTACGATTAGGTTTGCACGAATGTTATTCTCCGTTTTTCACTTTGTTAGAAAATGTTGCCTTTTCCGGCGGAATAAGATTCCATACGATATTGTTTCATGCCACAACAGAAGTTTTGCGAAGGAAAATTACAGCATTTTCCACTCTAGAAAAAACACACAGTCGCAGTTCACATAAATTAATTATGGCCCTTTTCTCTCGGTGGCAGTGAGGGAAGGTTGCACATATTGTGTGCATTTGGCAGGGGTGCGAATGGCAAATCCTCCCTGTTGGGAGGTCCTCATAAAAGACCGCTTGTTCACATCGCATAGAGAGCATTTGAATTCATAACAAGATAATCGGTCTCGAGGGACTTGATTTCACTCACGAGAGATCGGTAATTGTATTAAAACGCAATTACGCCCCAATCCAGCTGGATTCGATGCACGTGTAGTGCAATTGAATCGTTATCTTATTTCACAGCGGCGGGAATATCTCACTCAATCACTATTTCGGCAATTACTTTCGATGCACAGGAAAACAGTCTGAGGGACATTTTAGGCGCTGATCTATTAGTTGAGGAGCGGAAAAAAGGTATATAATGTACATGAAAATGACTCTGTATAGCATCAATATCATTTATTATATGCTAGAAAACCCTCAAAAGTGGAAGAATTACATGCTATATAAATGGGCGAACTTACATCCCTTCAATCATAAAAGGATAATTGAATTATGTGGATATGAAAATTGTGTCTGCTTATTTTTCATTGTGCCACATATTGTTCTGTTGGCAGTCCTTTTAGATACACATATATAATTTTCATTATGGAAATGCCAATCTTTGTTTGCCCTTTCCCATCCCCGCCAGGAAAAGTCTCCTTGCCAGACACAACGACAAATTTCCCAAGAGATTTTTATTTAAATTGATTGACGACAAGCTGATGGACTCTTCCTTTATAGTCCAGATTGGGCAAACAGAAAATAAACTGCTCGATTTCTATACCTTCCAATCCATTTGCAATTAAATATTTATCCTTTCAGCATCACAGGTTCGATTGGGAAGACCCAAAATCTGTTCTACGTCTTCCACAGAATGGACCGTCAATTGCCTAAAGACACAGGGGATTGAAAATAAATGGGCAGAGAGACACGAGAGAGAATGTTTATCTCTTAAAGATTAAGCACCAGAGGCGAGAAGGGAACCCCTTTTCCCAGTCCTTTCCTCTTGATCATTCACCACTAACGAACACTCAGACGAAATCGTGTCCTAGATTTGCGATTTACACGAAAAAAAGGACAGTTTTAACATATTAATAAAATAATATTAATTGTTACTTTGTATGGAAAAATCGAATATTCACAATTTGAATAAAAATAATCAAAAATTGAATATTCTAGGTAAAAATATTTATTAAAATTTCAATATATTTGAATATTTGATTATTTTCTCAACATATCGCCGCCAGAGGGCAGCAAAGTTGGCGTGGGGGACGCCAAATAACGCATTATTTTCTCTCTTTTCTGACACATTTTGACACTTTCCAATATCCTGATGTTATCCTGGCTAGGAGAGAAGGAAATTACTTGGATTTTAACACTTAAAAGAAAGAATAAGAAGCCAGTGCTCTAATCACAAGGCCAAAGTCGCTTTTGGGTCTAAACTGCTGGCCATCTGGCGGCTAAATGTGGAGAAAAAACTAAAATATTTAAAATTTAGTTAATAATTCAATAAATAATCAAAAAATGATTGAAATTTGTATGGAATAACCACAATTAAGGTTAAAATCTAAAAGTCACAGTTAATGGTCTGAAATCATAGCATAATTTTGAAATTTTTCAACACTATTATTTCTTCTATTATAGGCATTAATTTTTTCTAGCTCTGACTGACAAAAATTCCGGAGTCATGAGGAAAAGTTGCACCATTTTTCGCACTGCACGTAGTTGAAAAATGTTAGTTGGGAATTTCCAGGCAATAAAAGTTGCAGGAGCTGTGAGTGTATGATTTGGGGTGTTGTGATTGGTTGGTGTTGAAAATTACTTGCGAATTGCCGTATATAAATTGTGAAGTTTCAATTTTATCGAATTTTGCCATCATGAACACCAGAAAATGTGTGGACGAAATGGCCAATAAAACGCTATAAATTTTTGATGAGTTTGAAAATTTAATTGAGTTAAAATTGAGTGTGAAATCAAATGTCTAAATAAAAGGGTGCATTTTTAAATGGGGTCCTCTTCATGGCTATAGAAAAGCAACACACATATGTATATACATTTTGCATTATTAACACAAAACATATAATTCGAGGGAGAGTCAGTTGCTGAGTGAAAAACTTTCAGATGCTCTTTTTTTTCTCTCTCTCAAACAACACACCATAATTGCTTTGAAAAATAATAAAAATGTGATACGGCATTATCTAGCTAGAATATATTTGCCATATACATATATATTTTCTCGTTTCCGCGGAGGAAACACAAAATTACGTGAGCGATATTCCTCAAAAACTATACAAAGAATGAGAGACACAAAATTGCTGGCATGTAATGACATTCCTGACACAAAATAGTTATAATTTCATAGGTCACGCTCGTCTTAACTTTAATGAGATCCAAAGCAATTATTGCTGACGACGATTGAACGGAAAGTAATCAAACAGAACCTGCAATTATGCCGAAGAGAGCAAAAGCTGTCAGGAATTGTCTGCGGCGATGCAAACGGGAGGAAATGGCGAGAATAGCGACCAAATTGCCTGCTTCGCAAATTCACATCACAATAAAGAATCGCTCACTTGAAGGATGATTGATGAACAGTTGTTGTCATTCATGTTTATCTTCAATTTATTTAATATTTTACTAATGTTACATTATTTGATTATGAATTTGTAATTCTTTCTTTCTTTTTTTTATACAATATTTGTCATGGAAGAAATTCTCCTTACAAATTAAGTTTCCAGTTATGCTTGATTACAAAATATATTCAATTGCATGACGATGTCTTTATGTACATGTTTTGATAATCACCACGAGATTATATAGTTTTGCTTGGACAAAGATTGATTTGAGTGCAAATAGAAGAAGCACAAACGGAGACAGAAGCTTTAAGACAATTTCTTCCTTGGTGAGAAAGTGAGTTTGTATATAAAGATTTTAGGTTTTCAGTTTTCTTTTATTTAAATTTATTCATTCGTTACAATTATGTGTAGTTCTTTTTTTTATTTAATAAAGTGGCTTTCGTGATTTGGAAAACAGTTTTTTTTCGCTCCTTTCTTGAGTTAATATATATACAGCAAAGGAAACAGTGTAATCAGTTCCTAATATTCTTATCTTCTATAAATTCTGTTGAATAAAAGTCACTGTGAGCCAAGGGGTTGCTAATTTGGGTTTTGAGTGCCACAGAATCTTCAATCTCTCTGTTATTCCGGAATAATTCACGTTATGAGGATGAATTGATTCCATTTATTCTCAATTCATTGTTGTTGTTCCTCGTTATTCCTGAATAAATCTTATTTCGTGACGAATAGATCAGAAATAACATTTTCGAACATAATTTAATTTGATTCGAAATCATCCAGATGGCGCGAAAATGCACTTTAGAGAATTTTATTGCATTTCTAGGTTATGTAATTGGTTTAAAGCAGATTATGATGGTTAAATAACCCAGAAAATCGTCAAATCTGTTTTTAAAATTAAGAAATTAATGTTAAAATTAAGAATTTGTCTTGGAAATACCTTAGGTCAACTTTAAATCAACTTAAAAGTCCAAACATAACCTTAAAAATGTCATTTCAGCCTAGAAGAATGTTCATTTGCTTAGGTTTTTCCGCACTTTGTGCTTTAAAGAGGCAAATTAAGGATAAAAAATAATGCCAAAAAGGGTATTTTAAATAGAATTATAACCTCACATTTTCAGTCAGAAGTTTTCTAAGAATTTACCAAAGACAAAACTAAGAAAATGAAGACAGAAATTTCTCACGTAAAAATTCTGGGACATTTAAGATTCAGTTCTCTCAATCTGAAATATAAGATTTTTAAGTGCTTAAACATCTTGAGACGTAAAGATAACCTAGATTAGACTGATAAAGTAAAATTGTGTTATTCTTGTGTGTTTTCGCTGGAATTTTGCTAGAATTATTCTCCAATTATTCCACTTATTCGACGAATTTTGCATCTCCAACTTTAGCAACTCCTTTCTGTGAACGGAAAGTGAGAAAATGAGGGAAAGCCACTTTTCTACAGACTAAAACTATATGTACAATTCACAATTGGATTTGCATGAGATCTGTTTTCGCCTTTCTATACAAAGTCTCTAATACTATCATGTACGATGCACTGGAATAATCACTAAATCCACATTCCAAATTATTAATGTCTCTCTGGGAATTCATCACTATTGGGCGTTCTGCCAGAGCCAGAAGGCAGTGCTTCAGCATCCGGCCGTGTGGGGCTCGGCCCAGGGCTGCAGTCCGTGCAGGGCCGCCAGTGGAGGCGCCGCCGTTGCCGTCGGCGTTGTGGCGTGAGACGCAGCGGAGCCCGCGGGCGCGAATCCCTTGCTCAAGGCTTCCGCCTGGAGCGACAGCATTAGTCGATTTGCAGCCTGTCTCTCGGCCTCGCGCTCCTCCGCCGTTTGGCGTCTGCAAGGATATACAATTTCGGTGGTTAATTGGCGGAAGATTTGCCCCCAAAAGGGAAGCCACAAAGTGCCTCTCTTTAATCACCAGCGCAACTACAAGTTTCTCCCAATTTCCGCCCCAGAATTATATGATAAAATAGGGGTTGGATGTTTAATTACCCAGGCATAAATTGCTTGATATGTGAACAGATTGGTTTCATCGCATCAAGAGTAAATATTTATGGGCTGGAAATTGGATGAGTTGGTGCTAAATTTATGGTTTCATCTCTCCTATCTTCAAAACAACGAATTCAAATGTTTATGTACAAAACGGCTTGTATATGTTTTATCTTCCCAGCTTACAGTGATTATGTAACAGAAGAGTGAAATTTAATAATTCAGCTCTTTTGCTAAATAATACCCAGCGAAATGGATTCCAAGGGATGGACTTGAGCTCATAAAGTATTCATCAAAGTTAATTAGCGCGGCCGCAAATTTTCCGATGTCGGAAGCAATTATGAAGTCGATTTGTATAATTTTCGGGCATTTTGGCCACCGAATTTTCCCTGATAAAAGCAAATTATATTCTACAACTTTTTGGAAAATGATTCTCTCTCATTTCCCACATGAATTGAAAAATTCCTGACGCGACAAAGCAATTCAGAAAAAATCATAAAAAGCTCTCCACATATTGAGAGATCATAAAAACTTCGTGTCTGTTCTTTTTCATTTTCACCTATAAGCTGAACACTTCTATATTCTTCTCATTCCGCAAATGAGAATAGGAAAATTTTATTACTCCCATATTAATGATCGCTTTTGGGTGAAATTGTGCTCGGAATGAGTGGAGTTAAGAGGCTTGTTCATGTAATGGCGCCGCTAAAATGGGCATTATATTAAGTCCCAAAAGGGGGAGGTTCTTCATGGTGAAGTGCGCAAATGCAACAATCGCTTCTCATATTAAACTCGGGTATAATATTTAGGACAATGACTGTAATAACAATTATTAATAATGTGATTCACTTAAGTGTGCACGTGAATAAAAGGGTTGAAATTTCCTTCCACAAACACACACTGGGCTTATGAAGTCATTTGACTTCCAAAAAAGGGGAACCCAAAGTGTTTTTTGGGTGGAGATTCAAATAAAAGGGAGCATAATGAACTTTTGGATAAAAAAAATTGATCGAGCGAAAGGAGGTTTTTACAAGGGGGAGATAATACAGTCAGAAGTGGTGTACAGCTCAGCAGAAGTACTTCAGAAGTGGAAGTGCTTGAATATCATCAATATGATGCGTTCAAGTCATTTTCCAAAGTAATTACCGCAAAATTTTGGAGAAAAGAATTGTTCTTTGTATTTTTCTAGGTTATGTTATGAATTTAGGACAAACTTTACCACTAAATAACCTTCAAAATTATTTATTCTTGTGCCTAAGCTCGTTTAATTTGCATTTAACTGACGCAATAGTCATTAAATCTGCTAAAGATCACAAGCTTCCAATTTAAAACTGTATTAATAACGCCAAGATTGATCATAACCTCTAAAATACTGTTTCAAGATACAAAATTGTCCATTCTAAGAGCTGTTTGATTGATTTTCTACTCTAAAATAGCAAATTTCTGCTCATTATCGATTTACAATAGATTAATATTTACCAGATTTATCTCTTAAAGATTCCAAATAAATTTATTTCACTGACTCTTTATAGATATCTGGAGGTAATTTCTAGGTTATGTTCCGAAGTGCATCCAAAAGAGCGATTGAAAATTAAATCACATCAAAAAATCTACTGGAAACTTCAAATATGTCTAAATTACTGTTTCTCTGCAAGTTTTCATGGTAATAAAAGTAATAATTACGTATTTTCTGAGACAAAGAGTCATAAATTTGAGGTTATAATACTTTAGACGATTGGAAAATCTTCTAAAGTTCCGAAAGAGGTAAAGAAAGTAAGGAAAATGCATGTTTTAAGCACTGAAAATGTTCTGAAAGTGTCTGAGATTCTCCCACGGAATTTGTGGAAGTGTCTGGAAGTGGTGTACAGATTTTAGATATATTATCCTCCCCTTGGGTTTTTATGCTTTAGTCCAGTTTCATTCATTTCATAATGTGCATATTGATATTACGAAGCATTTCTCCAAAGAAGTTAAGTTTTCCTAAGAAAATATTGAAAGATTTGATCAATTGAATGCAGGATTTTGCCCTCTCGTAAATTGCAAACAAGGGGTTGTATCGGAAAAAGGGGAGAAAATCTCAATTATTAATCCAGCAAGAGTTGCTTTTTATTTTTAACACATAATATGAAAAGTTTAACAAAGCCTGGGAGGCGAGAAAGGCGGAAAATGAAGAAGTAAGTTGCAAAAAGCCAGGCACCCAAAGTACACCCTCTACCACTTTTGCTGCTTAATAATTCACATCCCCAGGAATTGAGTGCTATTTCGATTGCCAGAATCATTTTGCCACAAAACGAGACTCGAAAAACATTTGCCTCTTCTACATTGTTGATGTAATCGAATACAAAACACAGTACATTTCCCTCCCGCCCATCACAAAATCCCACCCCCCAGAAGCCAATCCGGAGGGAAGCAGTGACTCCGAAGTGGTGTGTGATCTTAATCGAATCAAAAGAGTGACACGCATCGCAAAGCAGAATTACTCCATGCCATGAATGTGTGCTGCGAGAATTCAGAAAACACACGACATTCATGCACTAACAAATTTGCCAGTCAATCGAGAGGACTTTTCCCCCAACTTCATCCCTTGCTCAGCAATGAAATAATTATGAACCCAAATCTCAAGTCACTTTCTTTTTTAACTGCAATCAAAAGGGTTTTTACAGAGAAGAAGAATATTAACTATAAATAAACGCGAACTGTCCTGAATATTGAAATAACCCAGCAAACACAAAATGGATACTAAAATATCAAAATACTAATGCGCCATTTACGTAGATGTCAAGGAATAATCAATAAATGATTATTTCTCACGTTAAATTGCAAAATATTCAAAAATAGAATATTTTCAGCGATATATTTACATAAATCAAAGTGTATTTCAATATATTCTGAATAATTTAATGAAAATTGAAGCATATTTGAATATTTTCTCCATATATCACCGCCAGAGGGCAGCAGAGTTGGCGTGAGGGACGCTAAAAATATCGCATTTTTACGTATTTTCACACTTTTTGGCTTCCTGGCGTGATCATTGCCAGGAGAGAAGGAAATAAAGGCACGAAAATGAAGCTTTTCGCATAGAAAAAGCCCAATTCAAGCATAAGCTTATCAAATTTGAAAGACATGTAGAAGTTCTTATTGTATTTTCCAAAGGAAAATTCGATACTTTGTCACATTTTGTAACTTCTTTTACTTATTTTGCTATTTTTAATGGCATTTCTAAGTGGAAAAATGTGAAGAAATTAATAAAATATCTAAATTTTGATTAAATATTGAGAAAATAATCAAAAGAAAATTCAAAAAACATTCTAATATACCGAAACTGGATGATAAGAAGTCCATGCAAGTTAGACTTTCAGTTTCCTTGCTGAGATCTGATCAGAAAAAGACAACAAATTGAAAAACAGCAGGAAAAATCACAAAAATTGCTAAGAAACTTTAGCAATCTTTCTTCGAGAACTAAAAGCTAAAATACCTGATTTTTTAGAGCCCAATTTATAGAGTTTTGTAAGAATTTTAGTTTATAATTACAACTTGTGCAAAATTAAAACTTCGAACCCTTTTAAAGTGGCATCAAACTCTGCACATTTCGTGTGAGGCACAAGTTTTGCAGGGAAGGACATTCTTCTTTCCTTTTTAATTCCCCTCTTTATGGGCAAGGCATAATACTAGCCAAATGCTCTCAAGGATCCCTCCGACATAAACCAAAATTCCTGCGCTGTATTTTCCTCGAATGCTTTCACCCTCCGTGACGCGATATTGCTTGAGTCTAAGAAGAGGTCCTTGATGTTGAGTGTGTTAATTCCCTTTATGACTAATAAATGAGAATCAATTAAGTGATTAAATAAATGTGTTTCGAAATTGAATCACTTGTCTCTCACTGAGCATGGGCGTCTAGAGAGAGAGAGACTTTGGAAGAAAATGATTTTCATCTGTGGAAACACCGGCGCTGCAAATTTCACCATGTTTCGGGTGGTGGTATAAAAAATTCACACAAGTTTTTATTTTGCACCCCTAACATTTTCGTCATTTCCAGTGTTTCTGCTGGAATTTTTATGCATCATTCACTCTTTTTGTGGAGTGGTTCTCCGAGTTTGACACTTTTAAATCGGCCCATAATGGTGGAATATGAATATTTGATGGCGGAAAACTTCATCCCCTTGCGTGTCGCTGGCATCTTTTGCCATATAAAAGCTTTTATAAATTTTTCACAGTCACGTGTCTTATGTATTTACATACATTGACTGTTTTAATATGCGCATCACATATATAGACATCCTCGTTTTCATTTCAAACACTGACAGAAGCCGTCGAAGGAGCGCATCTTCGAGCATCGCCGACAAGGGACGCTTGCCAAGTGATAATTCTAGCATCCGAGGGTTGTTTGCACTAATCTGCCAACAATTCAATTAGGCTGTGTCACAGGTGTGTGGAAATTGGTACAATGTTTCGCGCTATTTCAACTATATGTCACTCGCCCTGTTCGCACTCTATCAATCGAATTGATGCGCCTCTCGTTAGCACTTGATGAAAATTTTAGAAAGCAAATTGAGCATCAGTGAATAACCCCTGTTTGCGCCCTCTGCCACGCTAAATTGCATTTGCTACATTCGACTCACCTCCACTTTGTTCTCCTGTTTTGGAACCATGTTTTCACCTGCGCGTCCGTCATTTTCAACCCTCGCGCCAACGCCGCCCTCTCTGCAGATGCCAGGTACTTTTGTTTGTGAAAGCGCTTTTCCAACTCAGCCACCTGAAAAGTGCAATTTTCAGGAATTGTAAGGCTAAACGGACCAAAAAGAATATAGACAGAAATCTTATTTTTCCGCCGTAAACTATGAAAAATCGACTATTCATGATTTACGCTCAACATTTCTTCTAAGAAAATACATCTAAAATATTCTTAGACTCTGAATTAATATAATATTTGTCGTATTTTTTAATACTATGATATAATAAACAAGTCGACGGGCGATAATGATGAAAATTCAAAATCATAACTTTTCGGTACGAAATTTGTTAAATTTACTTTAAAACGCCTTTTAATCGTTCGTTAAAGTGCCAATATTGCCCATAATAATTATTTTGTAGATATTTCCGTTGATTTTCTAGTCAATTTCATTCAAGCACGTTCCGAAAAATCAATTTTTCAAACTTATCTTTGTGGTTTTGAAGAAATAAAATTATAAGATATGAGAAATATACGTTCAGAGTCTAAGAAAATTTTAGGATAAATTCTGAAAACCTAAAATTATTTCCCAAAAAAACGTTTCATGCATTTGACTGCAATTTGAGACGAATTTTTAAGAAAAATTGTGTGTCGTGAACGATGAATAGTCGACTTAAATAGGATTTTTACAACATTTTTACAGTTGTAGAACAGATAAGAAGCTTTTCAAATATACATAAGGTGTAAACTTCGAAAAAATACGTAAAAAGTTAATTTTTAAGAGCATTTTTTCGAATTTTCCGAATAAAATACACACGAAGACTGATTAAAATCGACTCTGTGAAGGAATATTCTTAGTTTATCTATTAATTTTGCTATATTTTAGTAAAAAATTCCATGAAAAACCAATAAAGTCAAGTGGAATATTCAGAAAAAATTTATTACAGAGAAATAATTGAGGTAAATTCGATAAATACAATTTTTATGTGCCTTTTGTTGTCTTTCAAATTAATGGCAATTTATACCTGTATTCGTGTGAAGGAAGTTCGAGGTTTTTTCCGCTTAGGTGGCGTTCGATTCTGATAAGGATGACCAATTCGTCGCGTGATGGGAAATGCTGCTGGAAGTAAAACAGAGAGAAAATCTTTATTACACTTTCTGCGAATTCCCAATAAATTCACCGCAATCATAAGATTTGTATAGCTTTCAGTGAAAAGCAACATCGCTTGCCTGAAAGCTCTTGATCTTCACCGTAAATCCTCGTGGGGGAAATTTCTCTATATAGGCGTGCAAATATTCAAAAATATGGCACTCGAGAATCCCCATCTTATGGGCATGTGAAAAAAAGAATCCCATAACATCTCTTTTACATTGATTCTCGCGAGTAAACTCCCATATATTTATTACCGGTTCGGGAAAGTGAAAAAAAACAGGGGGAGAAGAAAACTCCATCCGACTTTGCTTGCGCCAATCCATTTTATGAAAAGCACGGTGTTTGTCGAAAATAATATAAAGCATAATTTTATATGCTATCCACAACACTTTCGCCCACGAAAGGCATCGAGAGAAAGATGAACGCATGAGAAGACATTTTACGATGGCGAAGAGGCATTTATGAATAAATCAATAAGCAATAATGTCTAAAAGGATTCAAGAGGGGAGCTTTTATTTCCCTCACTTATATTGCAGATAATCTCCAAGACTTTATATTCATAAGTATCCGCGGTGGCTGCTGTGAATATTTCAAAATGCTGTCACGTACTTTTTCCACTCAGTGTAGCAAAAGTCTGCAAATTTAATGAATAGACTAAGGATTTGGCGATAATCTCTTAAGGCTTTTGCCGCATTCGACATTCTGTTGTGACTTTTTGGAATAAATTAAGAATGCCTGAAAATAGCTACTTGATCGGCGAACATGGAAAAAGTTTTATTAACTTACAGCAACAAATTATGTTAATTGTCCAATTAAAATACCTCTAATGCACATCGTACACAAGTCAATGATAACAATTTTATGTTTTGTCTTTGAATATTCTATTTCTCTCTCTTATTTCATGCCCAATGCAATCCACGGCAGGACTGCACACAGCAAGGGGGAGATAATACAGCCTGAAGTGGTGTACAACTCAGAAGAAGTGCTTAAGAAGTGGAAGAGTTCAAAAGCTTGCAATATTCCTGTCCTGAGTGCTTCTTTTACTGACAAAATTATTTCCAAGGGGGCAATCACTCGCAAGTTGAGATCATTAACTTTGTGATTATACAATTATTTCGTGATTTTTATTCAAATTTTGATTATTTCATAGAAATTCTGATTATTTTTTCAGAAATTTTGTGAATATTAGATTTAAAATCGATTTTTTCAAGCAAATTCTGATTATTTTTTTATTTTTTTCTGAGTATTATATTAAAATTTGATTATTTTGCAATTTTACCTTAGAAAATAATCATTTTTTGATTATTTTACTCAAATATTTGATTATTTCAATAGAGAACATTGAGTTTCTTAAAAAAATCGCCTTCTGATTTGCCCCTTGATTATTCTATTCCTTTGGATTTCTCTTGATTTTTACACAAAAACTATCTTTATAATACTTTTCTAGGTTATGTAAGGAATCACGGACAGATTTAGTGAATAATTCACATTTCTGCACATCAATTATTATGCTCAAGTCCAAAAAAAATTAAGCATTTGATGCCACGAAACACTGCAAATTGTATTGAACTGGAACATAACCTCAAAAATAGTCATTTAGACTTGGAAAATATTCATTTAGCAAAAGTTTCTGCATGATTTTGAGTCTGAATCAGCTCTAATCAGATGATTTAGTTATCCATAAACCTTCTAAACCTTCTGAAGTAAGTTTTTGAAGATCTCTTGGTGATATTTTGAGGTTATGGTCGGAAAAGATGTCCAAAAGAGCTTTTTGAAGTTGATTCTTGCAGAAATATCGGATGGAAACTTGAGAAATTCAATATAATGTGGGAATAAATGTGGAAACAGTCTAAGAACTTCAAGTTCTAGAAGTGTCAGGAAGTGGTGTACAGATTTAGGGCATATTAACTCCCCCTTGGCGCGCAAGAAGTCTTCGTCGCGACTCTTTTTTATCACTCAAACTTATTTTTATGCCGTCTCTGAATTGTAATGAACTTCGTTATACAAATTGGACAAAAAGTGGATACACTGAGAGAGAGAGCCAGGTCGTCTCCGACGCGAGGGGAGATAAGACCGAGCCAGAAACACGTTTTTATACTTACGGATTATGGTGATTAAGTCACCCAATCCATACTTCTTGTAGCCACAGCGAAATCGAGCGCTTCGGCGCGGTCACAAAATGCCCAACTGTGACTGTGTTATGTGGAAATTGTTTGGATGTTTTTTTTGTGCGCGTTGCATGTTTGATCCTAATCGACATAAAATTGGTATCAGTTTAAGTTGCAAAGCGTTGAAAACAGTAGCTGATTGCCCATAATATGTGACTGTGTCTTCTACACAATTCCTCTGGCGGCGAGAGATCTCTTCCACCGCCAACCAGAAGGAGGAGACACCGAAGCGCGCCGGATGTGTAGAATTAAAGAAGACATGAGCAGCGACAACAAGGAGAAGTTTGCCCGATTCCAATAGACCAGCGTCGACGATGACAAAGATCGTCCGCACAACAAAAAGCCTCTGTTTATTTTTGGGGGAAAACCCAAGGGGGAGATAATATGTCCGAACACTTCCACAATTCCTCTCGCAGAATCTTTAACACTCTTCCAGACACTTTTGAACAAGGGGCAAATGACAAAAAAATCAAAGAAAGAATCAAAAAAAATATTATTTTCCCGAGTAAAATTGACAAATAATCAAATTTTGAATTCAATAATTTAAAAAAATGATTTTTTCCCAAGTAAGATTGCAAAAAGAAAGATCAGAAAAATCAAATTCTGAATTGAATATTAAAAAGATTATTTTCAATCAATTAATCAGAATATTCACAATTATTCAATTATATTCAAATTTTGATTAAATATTCCAGAAAATAATCAATAAGAAATCAGAATTTGTATGAAATAATCAATAAATCACAAATAATAATAAATAAATAATCAGAATTTATGTGAAATAATCAAATTTTGAATAAAATATTCAAAAAATAATTTTAAAAAATAATCAGAATTTATGTGAAAAAATCAAATTTTGAATAAAATATTCAGAAAAACATCAAAAAAATAATCAAAATTTGAGTAATAATCACAAATATTAAAAAAAAATGATTCAATAATCACAAAGTTAATGGTCTCAACTTGCGAGTGATTTTCCCCTTGCTTTTGAACGCCTTAGAAGGGATTTTTCATCAGTTCTTAGACTCTCTTAACTGCTTTCTTCATTCCTTTTTTACTTATCACAAATCTATTCCAAGTTTTTCAATCTCAAGAAGCTAAAGCTCATCAAAACCTTAGATTTCAGATAGTATGAAAAGATCTTAATGTCTTTGTATTTGTTTATGAACATTTTTCGAGTTTTGTCTTCGGAAAATGCTTAAGAAAACTTCAAATCCGACCTGAAAAATCCATCTTAGACTAATTAAAATCCTTTCTAACCTAGAAAGAAGTCAAATATTTGTTGAAAGAAAAGCTTTTGTGATGCAAATATTGATAATATTTTGTCGCTTTCAATTCCTAACACTTCTGTGAAAAGCTGTACACCACTTCCGATCACAATATCTGCCCCTTGAGAAAAGCAAACCGAACACGCTGAGACGCGACCAGACGGCCGAATTTGACATGAATTTCACAGGCACCAATTCAGGATTGTGTGTAATTGCGCCGAGACACCGGGCCACCGTGCAATTATCGGGCCGCGTTTGGTAGGTGGTCGGCCCTAATCAGCGGCCAGAGGAAGTGAGGTTCCGACCAAAGATATCTCGTAATTTTTATTTCCCGCTCTCTTTTGATCATCATCAGTCGAAAATATTATTGTGGCCGTCGCTTAGATTTTTCAGCACATCGTTTTGCGCTTTGCCGCAACTTCGGCACGTATTATTTTATAGTTGGAGATGAGAATTTAGAGGAAATGGCCAGTTAGCATGATTATATATTGTAAAGTTGCATTTTCTTTTTGTCCGATTGCATTTGCGAAACTGACCTATGGACTTGTTCAGCGAAAACATCTTTAGACATCTCTGATTGCCAAGAAATTAAGGAAATAATAATCTGTTTTCTCAAGTTAAGCAAACTGAACAGTTTGAAGTTAAGCATGAGAAAGAGAATTTATCAATTCGAAATGATCATTTCATACTTTTCGGAAGATATTACTGGAATTAGTGATCTAAATTCTTAATTTTTAAGTCAATAAGAAGTATAAGAAGACTTTAGAAGAAGATAATAAAATTGTAGTGAGGAAAAAATAAATTTTTTCCAATGACTTTTGATAATTTTGAGCAGAAAATGAAATTGATTTGGCAATTGATTAAAGAAGAAATTCTTTACTGTATTATTATTGAAATATTTTGCAAAAATGAGCAAATAAGGTTAATTTCTTGAAGTTGGAAAACAAATCTAACCGTTTTTTTTCACAAACTAAATTACAGAAATAAAAAAGTTATGAAGACATATTTTAGTTTTCCTAAGAGGAAAGTCACTTATAATTTAAGACCATTAACATTGTGATTATTCAATCATTTCTTGATTTTTTGTATTTGTTTATAAAATGTTGATTTATATTCCTTATTTTGATATTATTATTGGCTTATTAACTTTGTCGGAAAAGAGAAAAAGTCACAAATTTGCTACAAGCTGGATACGAACTTCTCAAAGGCCAATTTCGCCTTTGGGAAATACAAACGGAACTTCTTCATGTTTTTCAAGCTTGATTGACTGATCAGCTGATCGTGAGTTAAGTCTTTTTCTACGTGAAAACTTCACTCTCAAACTCAAAGAGAGAAAATTGTGCGAAAAGTGCGATATTATTAGCGTCCCCCACGCTAACTTTGCTGCCCCCTGGCGGCGATATATGGAGAAAATAATCAAAAGTGCTTCAATTTTAATTGAATTATTCAGAATATATTTAAATATAATTTGGTTTCTTTGAATATTTTGCCGAAAATATTCATTTCTTCTCTATTTTTAGCTAAAGTAATAATAAATCATTAAATAATCTTCAATTTATCAATATTTTGTAGAAAAACTACATTAGATCTTGAGTACTGAGTGTCTTAAAGACGTGTAGAAGAAATTGATTTGATAGGCGGTCTTTCTATGGAGGATTTGAACTTGATTTCTGGGGTTTTAACCTCATGTTTAGCGCATTTTTACATTTCTTTATTCCTTCCGCACAACCGCGGCCTAAATTCCGTCCAGAGATTGCGTCTTAAGGCTAAGATCTCACTTTATAGTCAAAATTGTGCAAGAATTAGTGAATTACCTGCTAATCGATCTTTCACAGCCTGATGAGCGAGGGCAGCGGGGTGGAGCGGCGGAAGGGCCCACGTGAGCGGCGTGCAGGGGCCCCTCTGCGGGGGCACGCGGAGCACGTGGCCAGGAGGATACAGCGGATACGAGTAGAGACTGCCGGCGGCCGTGGAGTAAGACAGGCCCGCCGATGAGAGCGCGGACGACAGTTTGCTCTCGCTGTCCAACAGTTCCTTATCGCTCTTATTGTTATTCTCAAAAGGCTTCGACAGCAGACGCGATATGCTGAAAGGCAGGGTTTCGCTGGAGGAGCGTGTCTGTTCTGATTGAATCGGCTCGCTGTTGAGGAGACAAGAAAACACAACAATGTTGACAAGGTGGAAATTACACTAAGAGTCTGTGACGTGGAAACCTGTTTTCATCTAGGCGATGTTGAAATAAAAATGTTCTCAAGAGTAGGAATATTGAGTGTCTCTCAAACGCACGTCTTTATCTCAAATGCATTTGAATCATAAATCAAACGGCAAAGCATTAAATTTTCATGCGACAACACTTGTAACATGGCAACGAGACAATGTTCTTGGGACAGTTTAGCCAGAAGGAGAGCGCGCAAAAGTGAGAAAAATTACCTTATTGCAGTCTCAGAGTCATCGTAGCAACTTCCGCCACCATCGCAATCAATATCTGATCCACTTCCTCCGCAGCTCATCCTGGAATCTGAGTCCACGTCAACGTTGATTTCCTGTTCGTCGTCCCCGTGGGTCGACATTGCCGTTAAGGGCGCTATTTTGACTGCCTTTTTTTCTCACTCTTTGATCCACACTTTTGATCGAACTTCGCACTTCTTGAACCACCTTCTTGATATGGCGATAATTATTGCTCACATTTCCTTATTAGCCTACAAACACCTTCATTGGATGGCGAAACAGGTCCCAGGAGTATCACACCAGTCACCGCAAACATGAACAGCAATTTGCCGACCGTTAATTGACAGCGATATGGATGAGGGCAATCATCGAGGTGTCAACATCTTGGCAATCACACACTATGAAGATGATTGTCTTGCAACACAAAGGTCCGTGTCTCGCGGGGGCTGCAGAATATCCGCCAACCGCGTCTCGTGAGAACTTCTCTGCCAAACTCTTCGTGGCTCAAGATGCTTCCCGGGGCACTTCTGGACAGAGACTGCGGATTTGCCGCGCGAGCGGAACACGTAGCTGAAGAGTGGCTCCGGATTGTGGTGGTGCGCCTGAGTGTCGGCGAGACTCCGCCTCGCCGATTGCGCGCCTTCAGTGATGGTAACTGGTTGTGCAGGGAAGTCGCGTCTGATGTCGGTGTCATGGTGAGTCGGCCGGCTGGGCGTATCAGAAGCGCGGCTGCTATTGGCTCAGATTCCCAATGTTTAGTGCAAGTGCGACGAGAGAAATCGTATTTATTTTGATTTGGCGAAGCAATTTAGTTAGAAAATGGCCAAACGGATTTTCTTTGCATATTACATAGGACATTATAGCAGTTGGAGGAAGTGGAATACATTGTCAATTGACTGCTTTATTTGTCCCTCACGCCACACGGCGTGTCCTATCATTGTCGGGGTGCTTTTATATTAAAAGTTATGTGATATAGTTGAGGAAATTAATTATTGTCTGCGACGTGGATGAATATAATTTAAATTTTGTCACACTGACAGACTGTTTTGCTGCCTTCTAAACCCACGAAAATTTCCTTAATTCTTCAAATCCACAAAACGCTGATTAAATTTGCTTGACTTTGTAGAAAAAAATTAGGAAATATTGGAAAATTGCAAAAAATCCATCTAACTGTTCTACAAGGGGGAGAAAATATGGTCAGAAGTGGTGTACAGATCAAATTTGGTTCACAGCTTTGATTTTCTGTTGATTATTTTGCTCTCAGAAATTAATTTTTATGCAAAGTTCTAATTTTGGCATACTTTTATAGGTTATGTAACTGATTTAAGACTAAATTCTTGCGTCGAAACCGAAAATATTGTCATATAATTGGTAAAATTGTATATTTTTACTCAATGAAAATCATGCTTTTAGGAAAAAAGGCTAAAGTGAAACATAACCTCAATTTTAATTAATAAAAATTCATAAATTATTGAATAAACACGTGAGTTTAAAAATTGTCAGCTAGTTTTTGGTTAGATTTCAATTGGATTTCGGTTAAATTTCAGTCAGATTTCCGTTAGATTTTAGTTAGACTGTGAAGCTGATATCCTGGGAAACTTTAAGGATTTCTCACACAAATTGTCAAAGTGATTTTAGCCATATTGTCTTCCCCTTGCAGTTCTATTGTCTCAAAGTTTTTCAATCTACCGTTTTCGAAACACATATAAAATCGAAACATTAATCATCTGCACCCTTTCCATTATCATATTCTAACAAATATGTATTTAAAAAGCTTTCATTTTACTTACTTCTATTGTATATAATTGAATTTTCTATTTCACAGAAAAGTGCAAATGAAAAATCCGAATGATTGCTTCATGTTTTACATAATATCTGTGCGACTTGCGAAGCGTGAAAATGAATCAAATCCTCCAAGTGGAAAATGCTGCAATATTACGTGCTAATTGAATTACATTGCAAACAATTGGCATATTTAGAAATGAACGATGCATTGTATTATTTCCACTGTGATACATTGTTTCGCGACCATTAAAGGAGGATATCTTGGCAGATGGATGAGCTTCGGCATTGTCGAGTTGGTGTACTTAATTTTGCCTAAGATGGTGGTGAAAGTCCCTCAAGTTAAGTGTTTAAAATGATTAGCAATGCGAGTGGTTTGGGTTGTAGGCAAGCCAAATCATAAACCTTAACCGCAATTTCCGCTTGTTAAGTAGATTCCACAGGAAGGCGAGATGATGTGGAGAGAAGTATATATGAAAAAAAGGGGACGGGAAAGCGATAAAAAATGAAAATCTATTAAATACTTATTCGCAACTCAAAATGAGAATACAAACACCATCAACGGTCCGAACGTGAGAGCTCGCAAGAGAGCAATAATCGACGCAGGGAGACATTGAAGTGGCGTTTTGTAATTTGAGATGATCTGAGGTAATTATTTTTCAGAGAGAAAAAAACCATCATTTGAGGGGACAATTTGGAGAAGACTAACACAAATATCCAGCGCTGATGGAGCCAAAGACGAAGAGAGAAAGAAGAGACAAATTTGTGGTTGATAGAAATGGAGTTTTCGGTAGCATTTCCCCGAGGATCTCGTGTGTCTGTTGCAGCATTAATGAACAGATACATAGCCATAAAATAGGCTCTTTTCTGAATTCAATCTTCAATTTATTGCTCTTAAGTAGACCAATAACAATATCCATCTTATACGAGACTTGTATTCTCTATTGGCCTGATTCGATGCAATTTGTGACTCCCAACAGTGGCCGAAGTATGAAGTAAATTTTCATTGTGATATTGGCAAAATTCACTCCTTCATTCCGATCACATCGCAGCGACATAAAATAAATTGCACCTCTGTGCCGAAACCAAAGATCTTATAACAATACAATACAATGCCAAATCGAAGAACTCTCGTGTGGGAAAATTTATTCCGCGCCATCCTTATTCAAATACACTGTCAGACTTTCTGTCACATAAAACTTGAAATCTCAACGCACAAAATATCCCAAAAATCAGCTGATTTACGGCTGAGCCAAAGTATATTGAGCAGATTTATTGCCTTCTTAGAGCACAATTTTGATCATTTTTCTCCACTTTTGGTAACTTTTTGCTCAGATATGAGCAGATAAAAGCGCTTTTCTCAGCACATTCAGTGAGAATTCCTTAAAAACTGTGTCTTAGAGTTCTTTGGGTAACAATAAAATGTATTGGCAAACTACAGTAGCGAAAATTAGGTTAGGACACTTATGAAATTTATGACAATTTACCTTTTGGTGCTAAAAAATCGACATTTCTTTCAATTTTCGAGTCATTTACCTTAAAACAAGAAATAATAAGAATTTAAAAATCTTTCAAATTACATTAAAATCATAGCGATATCTCAATTAGGGGCCGAGATATTGCAAAATACAGAGAGATATGACTATATAGTCTGCCTATTGTGCTCTAAATCCATGTTAAAATTATAAAACTGACTCGGATAACCACATTAAATCATGAGATTCGAATGTTTAGAAGACATTTACATAATAAACGCGCCTTGATTTGGACTTGTCAACTTGCTTTTTGTATGTTTTTGACACTTTTTACAATTTCTTCCGCACAACCGCGCCTCAAATCATGTTCACAGGTTTTTTATAAAGTCTAGAATAGAAGGCAAAGTTAATCGTTCAAGAATAATCAGGTATTTGTTAAAATTACAGCATTTTGCTCTTTATAAAGTGTGATTCTTAGTCAATTTCTTATTATAATGTTCAGAAAATCAGTGTTTTATTATTCTGTAATGTTTTACAATTTTTGGTGTGTCGTTTTAGCGAAGTATATATTCAAGTATAACATATTTACAAATATATGAACAAATATGTACTTTTACTAATCGACGCTATGATCGTGAGAAGTTCTTTAACTTTGACCTGAAACAAGCGCTTTTGCGAGCAGATTTTCGAGCACAGTGAGATTATTCAACTGAATGCGTTCGTTGGGATTTTTCTTCATTTTGAAATTATATTCAATATTATTTTTGATCTCACTTGTGAGGCAAAATCCTTTGTAACAGTGTAGCAGCTCTGGTTAAACACAATCCCATTCTAATACAAATTGTTCCGCAATAAAGGCCAAAAGTCTGTTATAAATAAACAAGTAGGCATTCGCACATGCATACCAAGTACCAATTGCCACCGAAGGTAAAAATCGAAACTCAACGTCAGAGGAACATCCCTTCGATGCAATATAAGGGCTCTGAAGGTGGAATTCTGTGCTGAACGTCGAGAAGAGAATCAATTGCGTTAATTTCGCACAGTTCTGTGCTGTCAAAGTGAATGAAATCATTAGTGTTGCTCAAATGCAGGTAATTGTGAATGTATACATATTTTAGCCAGTGTAATACAACGGTTTTTCACGAGGTTTTTCAGTTCAATTCTGTTTATTTAGCATTGTCTCGGTGTGCTCGGCTGTAACTCAAGAGATGTGTACGTGCTAAAGTGAGCAATGAAAAATACAAGAAAATTGTGGAATATAAAAAGCAAACAATCGTTTTCCTCGAAACGAAGTAGCAATGGTCAATTTATACCGTCTTCAGTTATTTATTCCACCATCTTGAATAATTTATTTTATCTCTTGGCTATTCTGCAAGATTTATCTCTGCCTGCGCTCTTCGCTGTCATTTTATGCGCGCCACTTTTGTTTGTTTTTCACCCCCCGAAGCACCCCAAAATCACCGCCCCTGCTCGAGCATCTCCGCGGGATTGCGATGGGGATTAAAATTATAGGATTTTTCGCAGAACGCCGCGTGCAAAAGTTCAATGCAATCATTGACGAAGGTGGAGATTTTTGAAGAAACAATTTTCATTTTGTACAAATACAACTTAATAATAATTCTCCCGCGCATATATATATGAAATTCAATTCCGTGAAGCATCGAAAGAGAGAGAAATGAGGAGGAAAAAGTACAAGATCACGTTCGTGGGACTCACAATTTAAGACGCGAAATGATGGGATTTTGTACGCAAAAACGTTTATGTGTAATTTCATAAGACTTCTTTGACTCGGCAATTCCATCTCGTGGCTCATCATTTCCCATTCGGCACTAAATTACAAT